TATTTTAACCACAAACACAGCACGTCTGGACATCAAGAAAACACTTTAAAACAGTTTTGTGTAGAGTGTAGCTTTATATGAAGCAGCTGGGACTTGAATACTATACTGAAGGCTGGGAGAGCCAAAATAAAAGATTTTGAAATATGATGTTGGAAAAGAGTGTTACAGTGTCCGTGGACAAACAAAATAAAGAACGATGATATTTTTAGAACAATGCGAAATACGCTGAAATTAAAAAAGAAAACGTGAATCGGTCACTTAATAAGGAATAACCTTTGAATAACCGCAATAATAAAAGGAAAAATAGAAGATAAACCAGGAAGGGAAGGCCTAGAATACCTTTCATGAAGCAAGTGATAGAAAACACCAGAATCAGAACATACAGTTAATTTTGAGGGAACTTATAAGAACTATAAGCGACAGGAAAAAATGGGAAAACATCACAATATCATTTAACCGTTATTAATTTTTAGGATTGAAAAAAAAATTAAACATATCAATATAGGAACCAACTTATTTTAAAGTTAAGAAAATCAATAGAACGGCAGTATTATTTATTTAATTTGTTATTATTTTTTTTTTTTATTTCAAAAATGTACGCCTGGTGGGCTGCACTTTCAAAGTTACAAGTGAACATTAATTAACATAAATACAAAATAATTTAAAATAACTTAATTTATACGGTGATGTACAAATCCTGATTATTAAGAGGTAAACACACATTTACATATTTAACTATTACATAATATCGCAGTTACTGAATTTTGTTAATATGATAAAACAGATTAGACGGCCGTTCTACTAATGAAACTATGCAAAGTACGCACACACTTGGCTCACTTTCTTGGCATAGTACTTTTCTACTAAAATTCTCACTAGGTATATTTGACTCCCTCGAAATACATCAGCTGCGGCATGTCTAAAAGTATTTTGACTTACTTGATGGACTTTTTTGTCTATATTGGAATTATTTGAGATTATTTTTCCAAATTGTCATCATACAATTATTTTTTAAACGATAATACGATGTACTATCGGATTAATAAAACACTGAATTGCAATATTATTATCCGTGATTAGATTGTATATAACCAAATAGGAGCAGATTTTTAGTTTAAAATTATTGTGTCGGTACTTAATTTGTTTTGGTGGAACAACTACAATGAACGAGGATAATGGAAAATTGAGAACTGAACGAATATTTACTCGACAACGAACTGTTTATCAAAACTGGCTATCAAACGAAAAATGTCAAAACAATTATTTTTGTATAAGCAAACTTATACATTTAAACGAATTAATTAAAAATTCCAATAATCAATTAGTTTTTCGATAAAACTAAAGAAAAACAAAACAGTATACTGTTATACTTTTATAGTAGCAAATAGCTGAATAAAGTCAAGTACACTGCATATACGCTTCTGTACGTGCGCACTTTTTAATGAAAAAGAATAGCAAAATAGACCCCAGATAATTATTTTAACCTATTATAGTAAAAAAAAAAATCTACTTTAAAACCATTGGTTTATTAGATATTGAGGCACGCAGCAATACTCACTGCGGAGCAGTCATTTGAGCTCTGGCTAAATTAATGACATCAAATATCATAATTTATATTATATTTTGTGTAAAAATAAAATATTATAGTGACGAACACGTGCACTACGGCCGAACAATCTCCGCACGTCGGAATAACTGCCCATAATAATTCTTATTTTAACTCTGTAGTATAGCCGTTAACTACTACATAATTAAACACTTTACAAAGAAATAAGAATTTCCCCCGATTTAGACACACATGGTCCGAAAATGTCTAACTCAGAACATTTTTATTGACATCATTAGTATATTATAATACATATTATTATAAAATAAAACGCTGCATTCCGGATTAATTGTACATTCCTGGTTTTTAAGCGCTTTCCAAATAATTGAGAATTATATACCTAATTAAATTTTTTGTTTAATGTATAAATAAAGTTATGGACCATACATTTGTAGAAACTTTCATCACCCAATTAACATCATAACATCCCTTCCGTAGTATTTACCATACACATTTTTTTTTTTTTTAAGGGAAAACATTTCAGCCAAAACACAAAATACCATTAATAACTTTGTATCAGCCACTCTTTAAGGGTTCAATTTCTAGAAATAAAGTAGACCGTCATCGTCCTCTGGTTTTGAATATCAAGTGTAAAAAGTTATATCTAGATCGGAATAAAATAATTGATTTTTATGAAAAAACAAACATAAATCGAACTTGATTTTATATACACATAATTTTTCATTGCTGAATAGATTATGTTCAGTACCTACCTATCTTTTTTTTCTGTTAAATATGGTCAATGGACCGTGGGATGGGTCGTTCCTTAGCCGCCCCCCCCTCTCTTTAGGTACGCCACCACCGATTATATAACTATTTTTTCGATGAAGAAAGGCTTTTAGAAATAGAAATTATTACAAACGTCAATAATTATCAGTATCAGATTCGATTATAAATATTTACCAGTACCTATTTAGTATTTATCACTCCTTGACACTAACCGACGACGCATATGCGTGTTTTATTATTGTTGATTATATGTTATTCTAATAAGTACCTATTTCTAATCTTTCTGTAAGATTTTATGAAAATTTTTCATCAGTATGAGTGAATTTAATGTATTAAAAAGGAAATGTAGTTTTTCGGGCGCAATTAAATGTTTCGGGCTATTAGTTATAAAAAAGAAACATCATATTTTTGTTGCACACGCGGTTCTCATTTATTAATTATTCCCTTGGGTATTGCGTTTCTCGTATTTGAACGTAGCTCTCTATACTCGTCAGCTAGGTACACACTTTATTATTTCGTTAATTATTTTAATATTATATTTATTTTGGATGTTATACAAATGCAGTGACGTATTTATGGGGGGGGATATAGGGGATAGATCCCCTCCCTTGCACTTTTTTTTTAATTTAGGTATAAACATGGCTACATGGCCGCAATACTGATGCTATTTATAATTTTGTTATCCTGTGGGCTGCGAATGAAATTACCCAATAATATCAACAAAATTAAAATAGGACCATATTCGGGAGAAGCCGGGTAAAACCCGCTAGTACCTAATAAAGAATAAAGATAGCTCACTGCTATTATACTGTTATATACGTAGAACACGAAACTAATTGCGACAGCGGACAGAAGACGATAAGGAATTCGTAAANGAAGAGTTCTATCCAAATATAAACATGCTTTTAAAAATCTTCTGCACCCTTCCAGTGTCAACAGCTACTCCCGAGCGTTCATTCTCTTGTTTAAAAAGAATAAAGTCTTACCTCAGGAATAGTATGAAAGAGGTAAATAGTTTGTAATTATATCTTTTAATTTTCAATACAAATATTTATACTAACTGTTTAAAAATGTATGTGTTTTGTTATTATAGACTAGACCTAATGGGTTGGCTATGCTTTTTTGTCACAGAGAAGTCGAAATTACAACAGATAAAGTAATTGACGAGTTGTGCTTAAAAAAAAAGAAAACTAGAATTTATTTTATAAATTAATAAAACAGAGTAAAATTATAATCNAAGAGGTAAATAGTTTGTAATTATATCTTTCAATTTTCAATAAAAATATTTATACTAACTGTTTAAAAATGTATGTGTTTTGTTATTATAGACTAGACTTAATGGGTTGGCTATGCTTTCTTGTCACAGAGAAGTCGAAATTACAACAGATGAAGTAATTGATGAGTTGTGCTTAAAAAACAGAAAACTAGAATTTATTTTATAAATTAATAAAACAGAGTAAAATTATAATCAATATTATTGTTTTTATTGTTATCTGGCCTTACATGGAGTAACTAACAAAAGGTTGCATCAACATAAAAAAAAATTGTATATCCCCCTCCTCAAGAAAATCCTATATACGCCCCTGTACAAATGCATTGTGTGTTGGTTGAAATGGTGAGGCTACCGCGGAATCGTATACCATAATACCTAACAATTAGTGTTATTACCCCGTATCCGAGAACCGAATAATAATGACATAATTAGGTTATTTATAGCATTTTGTCTAGCGGAGGATATTAAATTTGAAAAATTGTGACCATATAGTAGTAGTCTTGTACAAATACAAATTACAATGTGTAAAGAATAAAAAAAAAATTCATGGTTAATTTTCAATTTATAATATACATACCTACTTGACACCTCTGTAATTTATTTGTAAAAGTTGTAATTTCTTGTTTTTCTTGGCAACTCCGTCAACAATCCATTTGTTGAAACGATAATAATTAATCTTATAAAGTATATTGTAAAATCACAAAATAGAGTTATCTAAAACTACAGAATAGATAAATCTATTATTATATCTATTATCTACCTAGGTAAAACTTCCAACCACGGTTTAAGATATCTTAGTCTGTGTTTTTAACACAAATACGTACGTAAAGGAGAACGCCATCTATACTTCAAATATGCAATATGTTTCATAATTAATTTTAAAAATTAAGTTACTATAATTATGAGTAATTACATTGAAACTTAAATAAATTTGTTAACTAGAAAATGAACTATGATTTATTTTTTTAATGTTTAGTTATTTTCCGTACAATTAATTTTCTTATCCATATTAACCTCAAATTCGGTTTGAACGTAAACATTTTTTATCAGTTGTGATAATCATAATACTATGATAAAACTTAAATTCTTTGAAGCACACTTTTTGACGTTTATTTTTACTTTTCCTTTTATTGGTCTTGGTGCCTTTCTATTTAGTATTTATTACTAAATTCATATTAAATTACATTATTGCATTAATTTAAAACTTTTTGTGTAAGTATTAAAATATCAATTTTTTATTTATTAATATATTCTTCTAATCACATAAATTAAAATATTTTTAGAAGTAATATTTTATGAAATAATTATTGAAATAAAATTATAATTAAGCATATGTTAATCATTTTAAAATTTAAAATTCATTTGGATTAATTAGGTCTACCTTCGATAGTCATGCCGCCAAAAAAAGTCGAGGGTCCTGAAAAAAAACCACTTATTGGACGTGTTGGCACCAATTTAAAAGTTGGAATTGTTGGTATACCAAATGTTGGCAAATCAACATTTTTCAATGTACTCACTAAGAGCGAGGCTGCTGCTGAAAATTTTCCATTTTGTACCATTGATCCGAATGAAAATAAGTATTTGTTATATTATGTAGCTTGCATATACTCTTACAAATATACCTATGCTTATAGTGGCATAATTTGGATTAGGTCTTGGAGGAGAAAGGGATGGACAATTTTTGAAAATCATACCTATATAAAGGGACTATGTGCTTATTGGCTATAACCTATTTTTAGGGTTTAGAAAATAAAAAGGTAATACTACCTATAATATTGTCTTACGTTTAAACAAGATAATTAATAGGTAATTGATTGGTAGAATTATAGATATTAAGAACAAACCAATTATGCAAATTACAATAACAGATCTACTCTTCTTAGCTTCAAAACATTTTATTCCCGAGTATATACTCTAATCTATCCTTACATTTCTTTGTACTTCCAGCATAGGCAATTTATATAATTGATTCTACTGAACAAAATATTTAGTTATTAAGTAAGTAATGTTTGTATAGTATCATATCTTTTAATCATGAACATATCTCTGACACCATAATTCACAAGTAGTTTGAATCTCTTTAAAGTACCTATAGAACATTGTGAACTGGCATAGTAGTCTCTATGAGTAAAGTATATAATAGGTACCTACTTTAAATGTAAAAAAAAATGCATATATCTAGTACCTAGTACATCTATTGCAGTATAGTGTATATAATTTAAAAACTATGTAAAAGAAAAGCCAATGGGGAATTTGACACCAAGTTCCTTTCCCTTACACCACTGGTACATTGAATAACATATTTCAGTAATTTAATAAATTAATGATGGGTTTTTTTTTCTTTCAGCAAGTCGGGTACCAGTACCTGATTCACGATTTGATTATTTATGTGAATATTTCAAACCACCCAGGTTAGTAACTACTATTTATTAATAATCAAAAACTATGTGAAGTGAGCTATAAGGCTGTATTATACATTTCTCAGTGCTTACTCCAAGTCTCAAGACCATGATTTGTAGATTACAGATGCATTTAAATTATTCTATTAAAAATACTTTGGACGTGACGTTAGTACAGAGACGTATTTAGGTACAGATCTGGAAAACGGCTGTAAATTGTATTCTTTTTAACAAAATCACAAAACATGAATTTTCATTTGATGAAATCTAATTTTACTAATTTGTTAAGTAGAAAAATTATAATTTTAAGTTAAACAATCGCGCCTGGCCTCTCAAAATTGAATAGCAACATATCATAAGTACACATATACGCAATGTGTGAGTACTGTAGGTATTATGGATGCTGAATTACTCAATAGTTTGACAATATTGATTATTTAAGCAGATTTATAGTCAAATTTAAATTTTGATGATTTAATTGATGCATTTGCTGAGAAAGAAAAAATGTATAATTAATTTATAAATTGCAAAACAAGATATTAAGTAAAATTTTACTTTCATTAATAATATATGTTTTTTTTATAATAAATTGTATATTCAAATATATTTTATAAATAATTTTAGGAGGGATGAGGTGAACAAGGTGGTGAATTAAAAAGACAACCCTAAAAACGCCACTTGGTATATACCTACTTTGAAAGCATGCAAATATTTTTATTAATATGTGAAAAAAATATATATCTTATTTCTATATTTATTTCAAACATCTGTAAATAAATTTTATAATATTTCATATTTCTGTAAAAACTTAAAAATTGCCGTAGTTACAATAGTTACTTTAGAAAGCAGTTACTTATTGGCAACACTTTAAACGGAAGTCTGTACCTAACAACATTTTATTATTAGAATGTAAATAAATTTAGAATTTTGTATTGTTTTTTTTCTGTCTGTAATCAAATCTTTAACCAGAAATTTCACTTTAACAGTCACCACCAGAAGTAGTTTATAGTTGGTAGAAAATTTGATCCGATTAATACATTGAAAAGGTCATTTTGTGTCTCCCTTATAGTTATGGTACTTACTTAATAATATTTACACAATAACAATGTATTAATTTTGCTTTTGTTTATTTTAATTCAATGGAAAATAATTATTTAGTGCAAAAATATTCTCCAAATACTTAAAATACTTTATATACTAATATTACTTTATAAAAAGAAGCTATGATATCATTTTCAAAATATTCTATCAGTTTTTGGGTTTTTATTTAATTACTAATTAGAATAATAATTAATAACAAAAATCAAGGGTTTAAAAGTTTTCTAATTCATGAAATATTCTAAAATAAGCAAAACGAAAAAATTTCAACTTCTTGTTGAACAAATTGTCCATATTTTAACTCTCACAGATTGCATATTATAGGTACTCAAATCAGAATATGTGAAAACATAAAAATTTGGAATACTGATAATTTTTGAATTCACAGATAAACAAAAAAAAAAAAACTAATATTAATGTGTCACTATACTATGTATTTAATTTTTGTACTTTATTGCTAATGTTCTAAATTGTTCAAAAATTAAACAGAAATTGCAAATAATTTGAAAAATTAAAAATTAAACCACTTTTGTTACAAGTATTTCAATAAAATTTATTTTTAGAGTACTAGGTAATTTAAAGGTGTTAGTAAATGGACGTATCAACTTGGGTCCAAATAGGTTTTTGGTTAATGTAATATTATTTAAATAATATTTGAATAGTTGTATTCTCTTCGGGTTTGTAAATATAAAAAAAAAAATTGATTAAATTTCAGTTTGATCGTAAAAATCAGAGTACGCAATATCACTAACAATTAAGTAGGTACTCAAATAAAAATGTATCGTGGGCTTGACATATGATATCTATGACAACTGATATATTTTCATTAAATTATATTCTGCCTATTGATATTTGACATAACTATATGAGAATGTATTTAGGTAACTAACCTTTTTACGAATTCTGGTGTAGCGTTATTAAATAGAATTTCTTTTCACCAAAAAAAAAAATTAATTTTGTATAACAATATTATCTGTTATCTTCAACTTAGTGCTTTTACTATTTGTTTTAAGTGAAAAATATGGGGCAGTAGAGGTATATATTTTCAGACTTAACAAAAATGCATTTTAAAATATGAACTTTACAAGTATGAAAAAAATACTGCATTTATGTTCAACTTTTTGTTTTACAACTACTTGCAACTCTTGATAAACCTTGTGTTTAATTTTCGAATATTTCCACTGCACCAAAACAATTTTAATTACATAAAACTAAATAAAAACCTAATACAATTAAAGTATTTCAAATAGTGATAAATAACTGAATAATTGCCAGAGTGTTTTAAAAAATTGTACTATGTCTGGAAACGTCTAGTTACGAGAGTACATAATATATAAGTATATGGTCAAATTTGTATGATTATTATCACTGAATTCAATATCATCTCATGAACTCTTGAGGAAGGAGAGGATTGAGCCCTACCATAATATTAAATAAATATTTTCTATAGGGCTCTATCTCTGCATTGTGGGGAACTTAAAGAGGATACTACGCCCTCTAATTGTATCACCAACTGAATTACAAAAAAAAAAAAAAAAAATCACATAACAGAAACAGTTATTGTGTAAATATTCAAGTTTTCCCGGCGTTTTTCTTAGGTTTTCCCCATTATTAAGAATACTACAAAGAAAATTTAAAAATAACCTCATTACACTAACCAAACAACATTTTTTAGTAGAAACCATCACCATTAAGACACCAAAGTTTATTATTGAAGATGGGTTTCTAGTATAAAAATTGTTTTTAGACAGAAAAAATGTACACATAGTAAAGCCAATATATTTTTGCTCGGAATCTAAAAGTGGCAGGGAAAAAATCGCAGTTTTTCATCGTCGTTGGTTTAAAATAATTACAATTTCCCAATTTAACCAGTAGCCGCTGACAATTACGCGCAATTACTATCCCGGGGAGGGCTAACCTAACCACATGTGTTGCCAAAGTATCGTCGGACTAATAAAATACTTTTGTGTTGTTTTATGGACTTAACCCTATCTAGTGAAATGCCCGCGAGCGAATAAAAAAACGAAAATAACCGAACCCCCATTACTAGCCTCGGGACAAAATAGGTCCCAGCGACGCCGAAATATAATTACGACGGAAATTTTGTTCTTATTGTAAAAAAACTGGCTCTTTCATTTCGCCGGTATACAGGGTGTGATCTATCGATAAATCTCGCGTGGTAGCGGACGTGTGTGTAATTCCAGAGGAACGAAAATCCAATCAACTCTCGGTCCCGGCAGGCGGCTGTGTGATTTCATTTCGTGTAATTTATTTAGGTAACCTACCTACCTACCTAATAATATTACGTCCTACTGATTAAACTCGACCGCGGGATTTCGGTTTTAAGATTAAAAAGATCTAATTTTTTTTCCTCCGTATAATTAATACGCGTTTAATAATATAAGCGCCGGGTCCCGTTTTTTTCTATACCTATAAAGATTTTTCAGGTTAGGTAGGTACTAAGGGCCGCGGGGCGTCCAATATGTTTTTTTTTCTAACTATTGTAAACTATTGTATAGATCACTTTTTCCTCTCACTCCATATTAACTGCTTCCACAGTCATCGGTGATTTGTATGGGAAAAAATATCCAGTATACCTAACAATAATTTGTTGGTCAGTTTTAAAAATAATTGTTACACGTTATAAAACTTTTTTTTTCTTTTTATTTTCTGTTTAAAAAAAAATTAATATTCATAAGATAATGTTCCACCGCTCAATTTATATTGCATACGGTCTTACTGGACAGAGTGACTGTGCTGTAAAGTTGTGATGTATTAAATAAATATAAAGTAGAAATTAAAAACGTACCTAATATTCATTTAAAAAAAAGATAATTCAAATATTGATAAGATATTACGCAAGTCTCAACAGCTTAATATAGGTACTTGATTTACGATATGCAACTACATTTATACGCATACTTAGATACAAATTAAAAGAGAAGATACACAAATTGGTCAGCAGAATTGAGAGTATTAAGGTGAATGTTTAATGTGGTCCTATTGAATAGCATTAGGAATGTTAACACAAGAATTAACGTGTTCAACGGGAAAAATAAATGAGAATTAATTATGATAGTACGTTCAGAAAAGAAGAAAAACTATGTAATAATTGAAAAATTAGACAAATTAGAAATGTAAATAAAAGCTGAGTAAGAGGTAGATCAAATCCACTTGTGTATATTATATGTGAAGAAGATATTAATGTAAGGTTTTCTTTTTCAGTAAAGTCCCAGCATTTTTGAACATTGTAGACATTGCTGGTTTGGTAAAAGGAGCCGCGGAAGGACAAGGTCTAGGAAACGCATTTTTATCCCACATAAAAGCATGTGATGCTCTATTCCATTTATGTCGTGAGTATAAGTTCTATTAATAGTGAAAATAAATTATTATTATCAAACATTATTGCAATGCTTAGTCTTCCTTCTGATATACTGAAAATAGCCTGTTGAGGAGTACAATTCTGTAGATTTAATTACATTTTCATTCTCATGCCTATACAGAGAATATTCCTATACATAATAATAATAAGCCTTATTGCAAAATCTCGTCCAATAATCACAAGTGATAATGGTTCATCATTTTCTTTCTTAAACAGCTTAAGATGTATTTTATAAATTCAAATTTTTAAAAAAGGCTCTGTCATTTTCTTATATTGGCCTTTTAAATTCAATATTGAGGGTTAAAAACTCTAAACTTGACATAAAAACCACAACTATTTAAGTTAGGCAGAGATAATGCAGGTCACAGGTCACATCCCCGTAACATATTTCCCCGATCTAAAAAATAATTGGTATTTAATTATTATTATTTTTACAATACTATTTTGTAAGTATAATTTTTATACAGTTTATAACTACACCCTGTATTTGTAAAATCTATTAAACTTCATTGTTTGATCTATAAAGGTTTTTAAAGGTTTTATCGAGATTTTATTCATGATAAGTTTTTATCTATCATAATAAGATTTACTAATGGGGCGATATAAATGACCCTAACTTACTAACATAATTATAATATTAAATTAAAACATTTTTCATTATATATTATTATATTTTTCTAAGTTAGATTAGATTAAGGTTAATTTTAAATTAAATCTATTTTTTTTATTATCATTATTTTTTAATTTTTTTTTAAATGTATTAATTGGAATATAATATTTTGTATAATAAATAAAAAAATAATTTAAATAAGTACGTCATAATATTATGTTCTTGTTTGTTCGCAAACAGGTGGCAATTATAAATTGTGAATAAACATACAGGGTGTGGTATTATAAAAAAAATATTGAATATTTTTAGACTGGGAAAACAACTGGATCTGGAGATCTATCTCTGGCCCATATAAAAAGACAAAAAGTAACACGTAAAAAAAAAGGAAAGTTATTATATATTTCACAAGTTTATTTTTATAAAAAGTTTATTTATTAGATAGTTCGAGTTTTAAAACTTTATATCCGTGTTGTAAATTATTAATATTGATGAATTTTTTTGACTTTATAAAAACAAAAATAATTATTCATATATGTATTTTATTATAATATATTATATAATAATTATAAAAATAATAGCAATCAATAATAATTAAAATTATATATTTGTCCTTAAATTTATTAAATATCTTTTATTTATAGTTGTAAGTCTCGAAATTGTAATTCTTTTTAATCTAAATATTATCATTAATTATTTTATGTTAATTAGGTGCATTTGAATCTGCGGATGTTATTCACGTTGAGGGTGAAGTTAATCCTATCAAAGATATGGAAGTGATCAATGAGGAGCTCCGTTTGAAAGATGAGGAATATTTTAATACAAATTTGGAAAAACTTGAAAAGTTGGCCATACGTGGAGGAGATAAAAAGCTCAAACCTGAATATGTATATTTTGTTGCCATCGAAACTGTATGCAATATTTATGTAACATTATAATTGTAATAATTTGCAGGACACTTTTCTAAAAATCAAAACAGTTTTAGTTGATGAAAAGAAACATTTAAGATTTAGTGATTGGAGTGCTCTTGATGTAAGCCCAATAATTTGTTTGTCAATTAAAATAACTTTTATAAGTTATTATTAAGATAATTATTAATTACTTTCAGATAGAATTTCTCAACAAACACATGTTCATAACAACAAAGCCAGTTATTTATTTGGTAAATCTATCGGAAAAAGATTATATTCGAAAAAAGAACAAATGGTTGATAAAAATTAAAGAATGGGTTGATAAAAATGACCCTGGTGCAATAATTATCCCATTTAGTGGGGTATTTGAGAATAAAATTATTGAAATGGAAGAACCAGAACGTCAAAAATACTTAGAAGAAGTTCAAGCTACTAGGTTAGTTGTTCATCAATTTCATGTTAGAAGTAGATAATTGTCTTATTTAATACTACAGTGCTCTGGACAAGATCATCGTACAAGGTTATAAAGCATTGCAGTTGCAGTATTTTTTCACTGCTGGACACGATGAAGTTAAAGCTTGGACAATACAAGTAAATTGATTATATTTTTTTAACTCCAAATAAACTAACTACCATCTAAATGTATTTTATGACTATATTATCTGATTGTCTTTCAATCTTATTATTTTATTATGTAAGTACTTGGTGTTATTTATTTTATTTGGCGAGACTTAAACAAATTCAAGCGTTCATAAATGGGGGATAATTTCTATATTAAAAATAAGGCGTTTCTTTGATTTACTTTTCACATTTGTGATATCAACACTGACATTAAAACAAACGTATAATACATAAGCAAAATACACAAGTGGACTATTTTCATATTTATACTAAACAATTATTTTGAAGGTTGACAGATACCTTAAAATTTTAAGAAATTAGAATATAACATGTGTTCTTAGTATTTTACTTACATTTCTAATTATTTTATTGTTTTTTATTATCTAAAGAAAGGTTTTAAAGCACCCCAAGCCGCTGGAAGAATTCACACAGATTTCGAGAAAGGATTTATCATGGCAGAAGTAATGAAATTTGAAGATTTCAAAAATGAAGGAACTGAAGCTGCTTGCAAGGTAATTAAAAAATATATTTGATTTAAAATGTTTGATCCATTATTTACATTAATATTTAAATAACCTTACATTTAGGCGGCAGGGAAATATCGCCAACAAGGACGAAACTATGTTGTTGAAGATGGAGATATTATATTTTTCAAATTTAACGCTGGAGCTGGATTAAAAGATCCCAAAAAGAAGTAAAATGTCTTTCCAAAATTAAAATTAATAAAACAAATATAATGTGCTTTTAATGAATCTACATCCGAAATTGATTTAATATTCATTTAACAATTTTCTCGTTTACTAAAAAAAATTGTAATTTTATAATATGGATATGCAATGGTATAACAACATAATGAGGCTATTTTGTTAAAAATTGTATAAAATTAAAATAAATTGCCAAAAATAAAAATATAGGTTTATTTCAATAAATACATAACATAATTGATTAGCATGTTCATTAAATAAGACTCCTAAAAGTAAATTATACACCAAATATATAAATTAAAAAAAAAAATTGCAACAATTAAAAATAAAAAGAAATAAAGAATGTTTAAGAAAACAAACAATGATTTGAACAAAAACTCTTAATTCTTACTTAATTTTTCAGTCACTTTTTTTGGGATCAACTCCAAGTCTATTACCAGACATTTTTCGTGTATATGTCTGTAATACAAAGTTAAAATTACTGCTGTGTGTATTCAATGTAATATAAACATTTAAATATAACCTTTATGATCCGTCTTATTTTCACTTCTTTTAGTTTTTGTGGAATGACCATTGAAGTAGTTATTGTATTCCCCAGGAACAAAATAAAAAATAACCCAGACAAAACAGGAACCTAAAAAATATATATAATCATTAATTAAAAAAGCATTTTATTAGAAAAACAATTTAATTTAAAACTGATAAGATAAAATCATTTTAAATAGTTATATTCAATATAGATTTCACCTGTTATTATTAAATTAATAAAGGTTATAATCACCAGTTATAAAATAGATAATAATAAAATCAATGTCTATAATGTAGTAAGTAAATTTAATTAATATAATATATATTATGATTTATTCAAGAAATCAAATAACCATCTTTAATTACTTTGAATTAGTCTAATAACAATTAATAATAATAAAATGATAGGTGTGAATTAAAAAATCATATTATTTTCTCCTTGTCTATTTAATGTACACAAAGCTACTCATATTAGACATTTTGCTTTCGTATCTCCATCAACATGTCCTCATTCGGATCTACATCTCTCTATAAAACCTCTAGCCACTTTTTCTTTGACTTACCCCTTCCCAAGCTTCCATCTACATTTAACTTATTTGATTTTCTTAGTCATTGTTTCTTCTATTACATTAGACTTCTAGAGTACTTATATATTCATTCCTAATCCTGTCAAATACTTTATAATTAAAAATTAAATTGATATTCTCGTTTTTATTACCTCAAAACTTTTATTTGTTTAATTAAATAAAACATTTTTAGTTCTATGTAAATTGATGACACCCAAGAATTTAATTACATATTATTTAGTAATATTTACTCACCTGCCAAGTAGCATGTGGATGATAGCATAACTTATATAATGTATATGCGTTGTAAAGTTGAAAAATGTATCCAAAGTATAAGAATGGCAGTAGGAAACTAAGACCACGCCACATCCAGGAATGAAAACCTTCAATTGTAATGTCCATGTTATGACGTTCTCCCAAAGCTTTTAGTCGATACAGAACTCCTTGTTGGTATAAAAACTGGAATGATTGAACTACACCTATAAATATTTATGAATGTTAAAATTAAAAATTCTGCAATTCTAGTATTCAACAAAAAAAGTACATTATACTTACTAATGAGTACATTAAAAATCATAAACTGTGGCCGAAATATGAACCATGTTTCAGAATTTGGCCAAACAAGTAGTACAGCTGAAGCTACAGTAGATATAAAATGATGTACTCGCCACCATCCCTTAATTTTAGACCCATTTACTTTCAAAATGCTCTCGCGTATTGTCAGTGTACAGTAGTACCAGACCAAAAGAAATAAGAAGGTCAATTCAAGTGCACGCCTTTTGGTCAGCAAATTCATGAGAGATAAAAAGAACCCAATAATGCTAAGAACCAATTTGAACTTTTCGTATTCATCTTTGTAACGGAACCTAAAAAAAAGTTATTTTTCAAAACTTAAATTGATATTTTAAAATTTGTATTCCGCACTTGTCTTCTTTATTCAAAATTGACACATTTACATTGCCTAAAATAATTTTTAGATATGATCCATTTGGTTTGGGAAGTGATTGTTCTATATCTGATAGTTGTTGGCGACGAGTGTTGATATCCTTCCAAAGACGTTGTACAATATCTTGGCGATCCTCCTTTTCTAGCCTTTAAAATATAATTTTAACTTAATGTATGTCATTATATTTAAATAACATTTGAATGTAATTACTTTTTTAAAGATTTGGCGATAAAATTTAAACGGTACTTTTGATGACTAACTTGTTTCACACACTGTCCTTGTAGATCACTAACTTCTTCTACTTTGGCTAAGTATTCTTTATTTACATTCTAAAATAGTAAAATATAAGTACTTATACTGTCCACATAAGCAAAAACACCATAAGTCACTAGGGAAAATTTTTGAGAAAAACATGTTTTTATATTTTACATTTTCTAAAATTCAAAACACCTCGTACATTTTAATTATTAAAATAAGACATGGATTTTTATACGTAATTTTACCCGATAAATTCAATGGAATTAAAATAATGAAATTCTGAAGTACTCATCTAACTTTGTATATTATTAAGATTATATTTGGACGATTTATTGATTATAAATACATTTTACACATGTCATATAACAATGCGAAACCATATTTTGTATTAAGTAAAACTCCGCAAAAATGCAATATCTTAATCAATATAAAGAGCGTTTTTGCTTAGCATAGTTACTACACATTTTTCGACCATTTACAGTATTCTGTCAAAATCAAAATAAATATTGCTAATAATCTTTTTTTTTTTTTTTTTTTGTAGACAATTTCAAGGCATATGTACGAAATATTGATCTTAAAAGTCTAAAATGTATAATTTCTTTTATTTATTTAACCAATTTTTTCAATTGTTTAGAATTACAGTATTTTTGCTTATGATGGCAGTATAGAATAATAATGCAATTATTGATAAGTATAGGCATTTTAATGTGTATTAATATTTATTTAGTTTCATATTTTGGTTAATATATAAAAATTGAAACCTATTTCAACTAGTCAATTTCCTTCTTTGAATAAAAATTCTTTATTGAAAATATAATACAGTAAATAATGTCAAGGAATAAATTACAAACGAGTTTCAAGTGTTTGAGAACTTGAAAATGTTTGTTCAAAATTTATCAGACACATAGGAAACAACTATTGACAAACATAAGGATTAATTTTTCTTTTCATGATAAAGGGGTTATTATTCAAAAATAATGTTGGACTTTGTCGAATAAAAAACTAATGTACACCAGGACTATCGAACAGTTAACTATACCTCCAGAGTCTTGTATTCGCCAGCGATGGACTCCCAGTTTTGTACACACTCGTCTAGATTAGCGCATTCCATCACGATAGTTTGGCGCGGAAATTATGGTGCAACTGACTTTCCAAGGGATTTATCCACCGAGCGGGTCAAAGATCAAGTGGACAACAGTCAAGGTTAAAAGTGTTGTTACACAACATCAGCAATGGTGTTGCTCGGATCGCGTAGGTCCGTCGACGTCGATTACGCGGCATTCTGCCCACGGCCGGGGCACATCATGTAGTGTTCAATCGTACCAAAAACTATGTTCGTTTGACGACAGCGAGAGGGCAAGGCATAAATGTCGTTGAACGAACAGATGATGTCTAAAGACCGAATAACTTGGTATACACTAACAAGTATATAGTATTAACAACTCGGCAATTTTAACATTCGTAATCATCACCACGCACATGAACGAACGAAATTTTCGTCAGGCGTGAGACGAAGATAACGGGCGACCGAACTGATAATGTTTGTGTGCCCGTGATATAAGCAGCGCGCCTTTATTGATATTGTCGACGGCCGTCAAAGATATTACGAAGGTCCTTGTAGGACCAAAACCGCGGTTACCTCACGCCATTTCTACTCCACCCCACCAATCAAAAGAGGGGAAAGTTATAGAAACTTCTAGAAATTGCTATCCAACGTCCGAGATTCGACACCATGTTGTTTTTAGCAGCTGTTTAATTTACGTCATTTACGTCTGCGATCGTTCAATTATTATTCGCTTACTGTACGTGTACGATTCACATTGAGTAAAGTGCAATAAGTTAATAATTTATATTCTTCGCGACGCAATACTCACCTCTTGATTTCAGTAAATTGTCTTTGACGCCTACCAATTTTCGATTGTGTTAATTTTTATTTCAACAACAGAATCCATTGAAATGGCAAGACGCGGACGTTCTCCATCACCCGCACCTAGAAGGTAAATATTAATTATTTTTATTTTCGCATCAAACGATACGACCGCCATTTACAAGGTTACCCAAGCCATTGAGATTTTTATATATATATATTTATTTCATTGTCGTTAAATCAATTTAATATTTAACTATTTGTATGTAAAATGATTTCATTTTATTGTATGTTTGATTCCACATGATTTTTACCTGACCAATATCTGACAAGATTTTGTTAGACTTTTTCAACAATTCTTATAACGTTCTGTAAAATTTTTGTTTGCTCTGACACATTTTTGCAGGTTTTGTGGTTACCGCTAGTAAACAGATACTGGTTGCCCTTTGTTTTAAATTATTGTGTTCCAAATGTTTTTTCAAAATGAATAGGTATATTTGAACGTAGGTACTTTTGTTGGTTAAGTATTTGACTTTTGTCTATCGTACAAAAAGCACATTTTATGGCTATCTCCATATAATATTTGTACTTATAAATAACCCAACATCATTTAACAATTGTTGTTAGCATAATGAAAAAATCAATTAAAACTTAACTGATTATTATATACAGTTCACTACTAAATTAAACTATATTTTAACATAATTTGATAAAATATTTTGAAATATTTCATTGTTATTTTATGTGTGCTTAAGTTATTTAATCTATGTATTTACATTTAAAAAAAAAATCATTATCACAAATTAAACATTTCTTCCTATACTTTATTGTACTTATGTGCAAGATTAATTTATGTTGTGGGAAATGTGTTTCTATGTACTCCGGTTTTAAACCTTCTTGCTCAACTAAATTCTTTAATTCCTATAGGCACCTAATTATATTTTAAATATTCTAATTCTATAATAAAATTGAATTTTAAGCTAATTAAAGTATTGATTTCCAATAATTTTACCTTGGTAAAATATTTTAACTTGATTCACTTCTTGTTCAAAATAAGTTAATTACACAGTTATTTGATATCTATATTATTATTTTCCTACTAGGTATTTGTATGCTATAGTTTGGAATTTTTGTCACAAAAAAAATTGGCAAGGCTTTTACCCCTTACTCTAATTTTCTTTGTGTAAGAATTGCACACCATTGTGCAATTTGAATGAGGTCATTAATATAAGTACGTTATACATTTATTGTATATACTTATATATTATTATTTGTATACTTGTTACCCGCCTTGTCTTCCAAAATTTAACTAAATGTAGGTTTAGTGGATACAAATCCATTATCCAATACAATTTAAATAGCGTTGCAAATGAAACATGATATCAACATTTTCTGTATATTATCAATTATAATAGACACCTTATCCTTAGCATAAATATAAATAATACCAATAGTAACTAATTAGAATTATCAATCTGAAAACTAGAATGCTGCATCCAATGAAAATTTAGTTGACAACACATTATAGTGGCACAATAATATAAAATGAATGCAGTTATAGTTTCAATTTTTTTTTTTTTTTTTTCACTGAACTTGAAAATATAATGCACTTTTTTATTTTGAAAGTTTTGTATATTATATAAAAACAGTATGAGCGACTAACCCTGTTATGTCTCCAGATGCACTTAAAATACATTTTTCTTTTTCCTGTTACCTAATTGATGTAATTTTGCTCAGTAAATCGAGTGATATTTATGTTCAAAACAGTTTAAGCAAGTGATTGACCCTGCTGGGTCTATGTGCACTGGAAAATCATTTCTCTTCAAGTCACTATAGCTATTGGAAACATAGTTTCCTATTAATTTTGATTACACCATCATCTTCATCATTAAGATGACAGTCTATGAAGTTTTAGATTCTTAGAGGCACGAGGAATATATTAGATTTACAATGATGTTTATTATTTTATAATACGTAACTTCTACCAGAAATTTTGTCCAAACTCTCAAGTGTAATGCTTTTTCCTGGAGCAGTACTTAAGGTAGGATATTTTATGATTTTCCCAGAGGTTTTCACTAATGGGAAAAACAGAAAAATGTATTATTTTAAAATCCGACATATTATGGCCTATCAAAACGTGTATAACCACACTCCATTCAGAATCGTTTTTTGTTAGCAATGATTAATCTTTGTGTAAAGATGAACATTAAATTTCCCTTTTACCTACTCAACTTCTTACGTACAACTGTAGCCCACCTATTTTGTGAAGTAGGTAGGTATGTCCATCTACTTTGATATAACTTTCAAAATAAAAGAACAAACATTTTTTAATGTATCAAAAAACACATTTTAAAGATAGAAAAAATGGGAATGATGCTAAACTATATTTGTATAATGTGCAATTTAATTTTTTCTTTTTTCTTTTTTTTATATATTTATATATAATCATAATTGTATTATTGTAATAAAAGTTTTGAAAACGAGTTTAACATTTAAATATTAAAAATAAAAAAATACCAAGTTTCTTTATTATTATTAAAATTAGACAGATATCACATCTGATATGATATGAATTAAAATTATGCAACTGGTATTATAAAATAGTATAATAAATGCATTGTAGTTTTCACTAAGCATATTCTACCTGCAATTGGAAAGGTAGTATAAGGAACAATTTTGGGTAACTTTGATCAACTTGATATGTTTTATACATTTACAAATTTTATATATTACATATTTTAGGTCTGCTGCTCCAGCCAGAACACAACAGTATGCGCCAGCACCACAACACCAACCAACTCAGGTTGCACCAGCAGCCCAACCACAACAGCCTGGATTATTTGCCCAAATGGCTGCTACTGCTGGAGGTGTTGCTGTTGGTTCTGCTATTGTATGTATACTAATAATTAAATATGTCTAAAGTTTTATTATAAGTATATGGTTGATTTATTTTTAGGGACATACAGTTGGTCATGCAGTGACTGGTTTATTCAGCGGCGGTAGTTCCAATAACGAAGTCCAGCCTCAACAGGCTCAGCCAATTCAGGCAATGCCAATGGAACAAAGTGCTCAACAAGGTGGAGCATGTGCTTTTGAAATCAAACAATTTTTGCACTGTGCCCAGAACAATGACGATATTTCATTATGTTCTGGATTTAATGAAGCTATACGCCAGTGCAAGGAAGCTAACCGTAAGGCCTATTTACAATACTTAACCTAAAACTTGTATTTATTTTTTTATTTATTTTACAGGTTTGATGTAATTCAGGTATATTATTTTAAAAAATTCAAAACTCTAAGTAAGGAAAGTAGTTTAAAAAAACTGTTAATTATATGTTCTTAAATATATAAACAAAAATATTACCAGATGTTGTTTGTTTTTTATTAGTAATTATTCAACATAGCTTCCGTTGTATAATAGAACTTATATTATTATTTAGAAATATGGTTTTGTTAGCTTACTGTAAGTTCCATTGTATGATCTAAATAAATATCATAATATATTAAATGGTTTTCTTTTTTTATTTTATTTTTTATTCAAACTGGTTATTCAGTAATCACTGATAAAAAAAAAATATAACTTTTTTTTTTCCTTTTATAATACATAGCTGCCTCGCACAGCTTTGCCTGTGCCATTTGTTTTATTATTATTTTTTTGAAGAATAGTAAATGCAAATTAATTTTATATCAAAATTCTAAAAAGAGAGCTGATATTGCTCATAAATATACCACTGGTGTATATAGAGTTAAGAAAGAAGGATAAGTGATACATAAGATACATGAAATTATTTAATTTATATTTGTTCATTATAGATTTATATCATTACTAATGATATATGATTCTGTGAGAAGTTTGACTGTACATATTTTGAAATACCGCAATTTATGTAATTTTTGTCAAAATTTGAACTTGCAAAAAAAAAAACACTTCGCATGATGGTTGAGCTACTGTTATACTTAAGAAGTTCGAAAGGTAAAAGGAAAATTTTGTGTAACTTCAAAGATTAGTCACTGCTAACTAAAAACAATTCTGTACAAAGTTTAATTATAAATGTTTTGAAAAACCGTTATATATATACGATTTGGAGTCCTAAAAGACATGCTACATTGTTAAAATAGGTTATTTCAATTTTTAGATAATTACATAATTGATGTACTATGAGCTTCCAATCTAAAGCTCCAACATAATGTGGCATTTTTTATTTAGATTCAAATTCTTCAGAAATTTTAACTAGCTGTCTATACTATATTTAAATAATAACTAAAATAAATACTCATAAAAATCAGTTATTTCTGCCAAGTCCTGATTTTTAATTAGATATTTATCCTGCGTTTGTACCAGGTGTATATATATTAATAGTTTTGACCAATGATATTACATGCTTAGTTTGCATAAATGTAGAATCTGCTATATCTACTTTTGTGTCTTCAAACACATATTTTAACATTTTGAACACAATCTCCCATTTCAAATGATCTAATACACAAGCTATTTTAGGAATGGCTAATTTTGTTATATCATATGTATTACAGAACACCTTTAAATTTTTTAGTGTCAAATAACAATATTCAGGTTTTCGAATAATTTTGACTTTGTTATTAAATAGATTGTGAATTGGTCGTTAAATTTCAGAATTGCTGTATAACCAATTTTTTTATTCTATGCTAGTAATTCGTCTACCATACCGTAATTATTTGTAATATTTAGTGCAATACCTTTATTTAATTCAAAATTGTATGAAACACATGGACCAAATTGTAAGTGTCATCAAAGTAATTGCTGAGCAAACCGTGGTTAACTAATTTAATATTAAATCGAAAATGTTACCCCGTATTAATTTTAGGCATAAGATCTTCAAATTAAATATTGTTTAATTTGGTTTTAAAATTGTCAATAACCGTATCCACCATAAAATCATTGTAATTAATTTTTACCGCTTTATTAAAACGCAGCAGTTGTCTTGATAGAAAATCCGCCGCTTTGTTAAAACTATACTGTTTATATATTATATTAAAGTTGTATCCTATTAATTTGGTTCTTATATGATTCAATACGTATGACTTGGATTTTATTTTTTTTAAACCTACTAAATTTTTATGATCAGTCCATACCGTGTTAATTGTTTGCTGAAAAGATACTGCTTAAAATGTGTACATCTAAAAATAATGCCGTCGCTTCTAATTCCAGGTCAATAAAACTGCACAACTGATTTATATTTGTGGATGACGAAAAAATCTGCGATTGTTTTTAAACCTTCGTTTGTAGGATGTATGCCATCACCGTTAATTATATTATCTAACATCTTGAGCTCGGTATAACCAAATTTACATTTGGAAATTTTTAGTTTTTATAACGCTTTAATGTTAAGTTTTTATATTATAATCTTAGTAATATTATTAAATGTGAATAGTTACTTTAGTGAATAAATATAATATTTATAGCTACTTACTCGGAGGCAGATCATAGGATATGGAATTTTTTTTTTTTTTAATCTAACCTTAGGCAATTATTATTTAGTCTATCATGGTATACACTAGTCTGGTTGAGGACATACAAACATTTTATAAACAAGTCATACGATAATCAAACATACCAATATCAATTAATAATTTGTATAGTTTAAACAGTATACAACTAAAATATTAGCTTTAATTATTATTTTTATTTTATTTATTTATTATTTCTCCATAAATCAAATTTTTTTTTTAATCTAAATATTTATTATTTTATTAGTAGGATAATAATTATTCAACATGATGATTATGTCTATGTTCATTTTCATTATTTTCAGAATTTGCGTGTGTTGGATGTTTTTGATAAAATTCTGAAATCAACAAATAGATAGATGGTTTTAAAAAATGTAACAATAAGCACTTTTATATAGTATAACATGTTTTACAGCCTAATTAAATTTTATTTGTATTGTAAATGTTGACAGATACAACTATCAACTACTGATACATTAAGTTCACTCAAACGGACAAACAATTTTCATAAAATTTCCCAGGAAGATAAGAATAGGTATCTATTAGAATAATAAGTAATAAAAATTAACAAAAACAAAACACGTACATGCGTCCTCGGTTAATGTCGAGTAGGGTAAGTAAAAAATAGTCGTACACTCGTGCGAGCAACGAGACCGACAGGGTGCATACATAGGCAGAAATCCATTGAAAAAGTTGGAGAACTTCGCCCCCACACCCTCTCATTAATAATTCTGAACGAACTTTTAATTTAATATTCAATGTAAACTATAGTATATAAATAAAATATTATTGCAATCGTGGGTTGAAGTATGGCTTTTAGGTCTGAGAAAAAAAATATCGATTAACGTCTCATAGGCTTTTTGTTTTTATATCGTCCTAGAAGAACCTCTTTTACTACTTTCCGACCGATTTTCATGGACATCGTAAATTTTTTTTTTATGTTTTGTAAGGAATTTATAAACTTTTCACCCTAAAAGAGACTGTTTTAATAGTTTTGAATACGACATAATATTTGTTTTATCGGTTTATAATTAATATCAAATTTAAGAATAGGTGCCTATATATTTTTTATCATTTTTACAATATAATCACCCTTTGAGGCATTGTGGTATTATAGTGAAATCACCATATATTTTTTTATGTAATATGAGTGCTAAATTTTAATATTTTCCAAGAAAATTATCAAAACAAATGTGTGCCTCAAAGTTTTAAATTGGTCTTCCATATAACATGAAATAGTAGGAATTACCTACGTAGTATTGTTGTGTACGATAATTCACTCCTCCCATTTACACTCCTACATGGTACATATATAGATGCATAAAATATTTAAATCAACATTCAATAACAACAATTATTCAATGGACGATAACTAAAAACAATTTAAAACACATCACTAGTATAGTGTTCCAATTTATAATTTAAATTTTTGGTATAAAATATTTTATTTTATATTTTTAATGTAAACAAATTTATAATATTAAATAAAAGAGCTGATACTGGGGATGGGAGCGGCCACTGTTGTAGGAGAGAAGTTCGGTAGGTAGGATACATAAGGTCATTTCATTTATATCTGTAAGCAACGATAAACAATTGTTTGACGTAAGACGATTCCGGGCAAGTTCGGTGATACATAATTTGAAGTACTGCATATTTTCTTTGCGATTTTCGTTTAAATTTGATTTCAAAACGCTTATGAAAAAAACAAAGTTCGATAATTTTGGAAATTTTACCACGTATAATTGATAAGTCCAATATAAGTATTATTATCAAGTTTCAAGTCTCTAAGCGTATTTATAACTGAATTACAGCAAAACAAACTCCTAAAAATTTTAATTCCTTAAAATCACAAAAGTTTTAGCGATGACATCGTAAGAAATTAAATCAAAAAGGCAACAAAAAAGATGTCTTGTGATTTTTCGATTTAATCATTTTTTCTGATAGAAAACGTCGTCCGTGTTTTTATAAAGTAATGAAATCGTGAAATTGTACGTTTTTTCCCTACGTTTTTTTCCACTTAAGTGCTTTTATTTGAAAAATGGCGTCAAAAATCAAAAAATCTGTAAAGTACAATCTCCTAAACATGAAACTTAGAAATATTGACCACAAATTTTAGTTTTAAATCCACCATTAAGAAGTGATTCTAAAAATATTACTTGTTTAGAATAAAATTTAAATTTTTTGATTTATAAGTTAAAAATGTTAAAATTATTTACGACAAATAATTAATTGGTCCTGTATATTGCGAGTGGTTTTCAAATCGTAGGACGTGAATTTTTCATTTTCCCCGAGTATTAAAATGTTAAGATCCGGCACTGAAGTGACATAATTATTATGTAAGGCGTATGATTAAATGGACAGGTATTGCTATCCATTCGTCGGGATATACATTTAGTTGTGGATGAAATTATAAACGGAATACTAAAAGTTTAGATTTTATGTTATAATCTTAGTAATAATAATATGAAATATGAATAGTTACTTGAGTAAATAAATATAATATTTATGGCTACGGGTTACTTACTCGGAGGCAAATCATAAGATATGGATTCCTTCTCAAATTTATCGTATGAGGTTTTTCCTTAAACAATAATTTTTCATTGTATTTATTTGTTTTATCATTATCTGACCTTAGATAGTTATAACTAATCAATAATATTAATGTCTTGATGGGTAGGTATAAAAAACAGCCAGAGCCAACATGGACTAGCTATTTCCAGTTATGCCTAAATATCACGGTAGACGGTAATATTATTAGCTATTATAATCAGCAGTGTGACAAAGTACGTCAACTAATTTTTCAAAAATTTTAACGTACCTCAACCATTTTTTTTAATAGAATGCATAAGATACAAGGAGGGGGGGATTAACAGAGCGATCGCCTTTTTATAATTTTACGTAATTGTTATATTCTACAAAAGTTTAAATAATATAAATTCCTTTTTTTAATAAAATCCACTTCCATTGAACAACCAAATAAAGATCCACCACTGATTAGATGGTACATATTTTGCATTTCTAAGAGAATGGATTTTCATTTTAATTTGAAATTTTAAAAAAAAATGACTACATACGTTGAACATTTTTCACACTAATAGAAACACACAATAAACCTTGTGTTAATTTTTCAAGCATTTTTGCTGAACCAAAAAAAATCCTAAAAAAAGGGCTAATACTGGTGACGGGTGTGGCCACTGTTGTAGGTGGGTAGTTGAAAAGGTTAGAAAAATAGTTTATTTAATTTACATCTGTAACCATAAAACATGATAAACCATTATACTAACGAAAAAATATTCTGAACGAAGTTCAGTTATACATGTTTTAAAAGGCCATAATATTTACGATTTTCGTCAATTTTTTTATTTTAAAACTCTTATAAAAATAATAAAAAAAATACTACAGAGTACTCGATTTTTATTTTTGACCACTACGACTTATAATGATTCTCCTATCAAATTTTCAAGCATTTCTGTTAAAACTAACCTTTTATCTAATGTGTAAAATATTTTTTAAACGTATATCATTCTCGAAAATCGATTGAAGAATATTTTTTAAATATACGAGAATACAAAATTATAATAGAATAGTATAATCAAATATCACAATTATAAAATAATAGCTATTAACTAGGTGTTATTTAATTTGGTGTATAAATCAGTATTTTCATTAGAAATAAACAGTAGGTACTTTTACATAAACTTACCGGGATATTCAATTTTATAAAAATCATTAAGCGCTTCTGGGGTAAATGGTATTCCTCCTAAATATCATAATTTAAAATTTAATAAACACAAAATGCAATCATAAAGTAAAGTAAGTAATTTGATGCAAATGGGGAGGAAGGTTCGAGAGACTTGAACCCCTTCAAATCTAGTCTTTATCAAGTAAGTACCAAAGTCCAAAGATAGGCGTTTAGGATTGTTTTGATATGGAGGAAGATAAGACCTTCCTAAATATTTGGAATATTTCTGTTCAAATAGTATATAATACAATATGTACCAGGTACATTGTACCTATTATACTAAATATATAATAATATGCTTACCTATGGGCTATGTTACTATTGATGTCTCACCACGTTCTATGGATTTTTATATCTGTATTCGTATTCAATTTTTTTTTAACCGGATTTTGTGTTCGAGGACACGTATAATATAGAGAAAAATTAAATTTGCATTTTGACCCCCTAATTAGTAAAAGAAAAGCTAGATAGATACATTTATTTGTACATTATTCAAAATAGCCATTTTGTAAATGATATTATTCTAGAATTAACATTAAAGTACCAAAAATGGATATACGATCAATAGTTTCTCAGTCATAGCTCTTATAGCTTCTAACTCAATAAGTACAGAATAAAATGAAAATACGATAATTTTAGTGTAAAAATAGTTCAAATTACATAAAATTACAATTTGATTCCCTATCGCGAATGTGATAGTAAAATTAATAGTTCATAGTTTTACATTTTTTATACACTTTTTTCTAAAACTTAAAATGGCTATTACTAAGAATTTATTCATCGATTATGCGTGTGCCAGATAAAAAAATTTAGAATAATATCTATATATTTATGTTTACTTTATATTTATTGAAAATTAGGTATTTTGAAAATTTAAAAAAGTGAACAAGTAAAATAAATTTTTTTTTATGTTTGGGGGGTTGATAAAAATTTGTAGTTTTTTCTCTAAATATATGTCACCTCTAAAATAAAATCCTATTAACAAAAAAATGATTATTTACAAAAATTTACAAATCCAAAGAACACGTTGGGGCACTCAGTGTATATACGTATACAAGGTGTCTCATGAGGATATACCCATTGTAATATCTCCGAAGATAATAAAGATAATCAAATTCTATTTTTTTTTATATATATATATTACTTACAGGGATAAGGACTATAAATATTTATATTTCAATTAATTTTTTTTTTCTAATTAACTACATTTTTTTCTCGGAAAAGTTATTAAATATCACGAATTTAATAAAAATACAAAGTTGATACGTCAACATTTCAAAAAAAATTATTTTTTTAAGTTTTTACAAAAACATAAATAATTAATTGAATTATAAATATAAAGTCATTATCCTAGTGAGAATTATTAAAAAAAAAAGAGCCGAATTTGATTGTCTTTATTATCACCGAAGATATTGTGATGGGTATATTTTCGTGGGACACCCTGTATAATGAAAAGTTACATTATGTTATATTTATTTTATACTTAGTTATTTATCTGCTTACTATTCGTCTACGACTTAGTTTTTGGATTTTTTATTATTTAATGTTTATATTTATAGGCGTCATTACGGGATAGTGTGGGGTAGCAACTGCTACTTCATAATTTTCATCGGGGTTCTAGAATAATAGCTACGCTACCCTAAGAGTAATTTTTTTTTTAAATTTTAATTGTTTTACTATTTTTCATAATATAATCACACGAATGTAATAATTATACTATTGACTATATTAGATTTGAACGTATATAATGATTATCAACTGATTACTTAATTAAATTTATTTCATATTTTTCTACCTAATTCTAATGAATAAAATCTAGAACCTGATTGATGATCCACCGACTAATGGAATGGAGGAAATTCATTAAATCACAACTCAATTAAAAATATTATTCAAGATGCTTGCTAGTTGCTACCCCGTGATTTTACTTCAAATGACGCCTATGCTTATATTATTATATTGTATGTACTATTAGCTATAGCCAATGAGTAAATATAGGTATTTATGATAATATAATATTTACACCTAGATCTAACTAGTAAGGGTTATTTAATTTATTAAAAAATTACCTAGATAAGTCACCCGAATTAAATAATCTTCATACTTTTCGCCTGTTAGTATAAAATCTAAAACAAATATAAATACAATTTAACTTGATTTCAATAAGAATAATAACAATAGGTAGAAAGAAGAAGAAGAAATACTATAAATATAGGTACAGATTTGATAAACCTAACCTATATTTATAAATATATGTATAATACACATACTTGTCCATAAGATTTTGGTAATGTCACTTGCTTTTTCTTCTATAACTAATAGAGCTATATTTTTAATAAAAAAAAAATAATAATAATAAACGAAGAATCGGCAAAGTATAAAAATATCGTTAAAAAGGATATATTGCTTGATAGCTTCTTAGTGTTAAATGGTTTCATAAAAATGCAAACAACTTATCGAAATAATTCCGAATCAACTTGAAATATTCAGGTTATAGGTAAAGTAACGGTAAGTAATACAACCGACTTTTAGAAATTAGAAAAAAAAAATCATAATTTTTTCAAGTGATGCCTAAAATGTCAATAAGTATATAGTGTATACATTATATACTTTTGGTAACCTATTATTGCTATAAAATAGATAAAAAAAGAGTGTCCTATATTGCTGATTGGCGTGCTACTGTTATACAAAGATGAGAAGATAGGATGATATAATGCATACAATTATTTAATTTTTGTCTGGATTAAATGATGAATAATTGCCGACGAAATACGATTCTGAACAAAGTTCGCTTAAATATGTTTTTAAACGCCGTGATTTTCAAGATTTACATTAACATTTTAACCTAAAATGTTTATAAAACAAAAATTACTGTAATAAGTTTGGTAGCTCAACTTTTTATTTAAAAATCAAATACAACTTATAATAAACTTCGTATTTTATTTTCAAATATTTTGGGTTAGCCGAAAAATCATATTCAGACAAATCGATAAATTGTACGTGAAATTACGAAAAGTTTTAAATTTCCATTCAAAACAAAAGTTTGAAAAATCCAAAATGATCTGGTTAATGCACCAATTTAATATAAACTTCACTAAATAAGTACATAATAGATACCTACTTAATACACAGTTTACATAATTCTTTTTTTTTTTTTTTTTACAAGTAATAAATTATAATAAAATTACTATACAATGATTTTAAAAAGCCTAACTACTGTTAGTCTGTCTGCAATAAGCCTGAAAAATAGCCGTCTGTTTTGAAAAATAATAAGTAGTTCGCAAACGAGGTACCCCATCGCAAAGAGTCTTTTTGCAAACAGACTAATTTTTCGTGCGGTCTATGACACAATATACATGTATGTAATTTTATTTATTTTGTAAATATAATAATATAAGTACTAATATCATTATGATAATATAAGTACTAATATCATTATGTTTATGTTGTGTACCCGTAAATAATGTCTTGCGTACTTACATTCGGGTTCACTTGAAGCTTCATGAAAAGCTACATAAATAATGAATTGTTATTAATTATTTGTTACAATATTCTTCGCGGATTATATAAAATCATAATTTAGAAACCAAATATTTGTCTCAAACATAAGAAAAATTCCGTGAGTATAAGTGAATACACTTACAATTGAGCAAAATACTGTGATTTTTACTTTAAACTCATCTTAGAAAAAACTCATTTAATTTTCAAACACTTTTGAGAAGGCACAAAAATGTAATCTTCATAAAACCAAATAAAAACTAAAAACACAAATAATTTCAAATAGTTATAAATATATTTATGTTGTTATCCGTGAATAACGTCCCATGTACTACTGTCAATTTCACTTGGAGCGTCATGATAAGCTACATAAATTATGAATTATTAATAATTAATTACAATGTTCCCCACGGATTATATTATATAGTGTTAATTTAGAAACCAAGCCGTTGTTATAGATAATTTAATGTATACCTGTAAACAACGATAAATCATTACGAAAAATCGATTCTGAACGGAGTTTAGTTGATAGTGATGCTTCGTCAACTATATACAAATATATATAACCGTCACATTACGGTTAAATAATTAAATAGACATCAGATATTTTCTTTATGAATATTATACCGATTTTCCGAGTTTTCGATTACTTAAATCGAATAGCACAAATGGTGATTTTTAATTGTATAAATGATCATATCGGAGTAATAAATTATAAGAGTAGTTTATGTATATTGACCATACATTCATCATAATATATTTATGCAAAATAGGTATCCTGGTCACTACTGTATATTGTTTATAGATCAAGACAAAATTGAAAATGAGCAAATAACGGCTATAAACAAATCGAATTATTCGAGTGTTAGACTTTTATCTTTATGTATGTTTTTTTTTTAAAAAAACCAGGTGTCAATTAATTGGTTTCTATCGGAAATATTCCTGTTTTTCCAGCGTTTCTTTTCAAGTGTTATAAACACAACAAACCAACCCTGATGATTATGGCCAAACTAGAGCATAATTTATGATAGAACAGTTGTTTACTGACAAAAAAAGAATAAACATTCACATATTATAATAAGACCAATGCATTATCCTAATAATCTAAAAAAATTTAAAACTGCTTAAAAAACAAACTAAAAAGTAAATAGTAACGGAAAATGACAATGACACGGACACATGGGGTCTTAAACGCATATTAATGTATACATGAATATTCCGTATATTAATTAAGGGATTAAAAGAACCCCATGCTTAATTGTATATTGGTACCTATAAGCTATAATCTAGATACCATAATATGTTATTCTGTTATTGTCATTTTTATTTACACTTTCTATAATTATAATTTATAAACATATATTATTCAAATATTATTTTATTTTTTTTTAATATTCACCTAGCAAAAAAAGGAATTTATGTTCCTAAGACTATCTGTTATTGAATTTACATAACGAATTTTACAAACACTTTTATGAACATTTGCACGTTCGCTAACATAATATATGGGTACTTACATGACTGTTCACAATCGAAAGTCCTACTTGAATCTCCAAGATGGTCTTGGCCTGGACTTATTGGAGTGCTCGGGATATTGAATTGACAGTTATCTCTTCGAGGAAATATAATGCTTTTGCTTGGTTGGAGTATAGTTGTATGAGTGGGAATTTGAATTTCAGTATTTCTGTATTTTGGTGTATGTTGTGACATTTGTATTGGTATCAAATCTTTGTACAGGACTAATACACAAAACAATATGATCAAGTGTTTAATTGTATACATGACCATATAAACAATACATTTAAATATATTTTAGATTCGCAAATATTAATCTTTATTGGTACATTATATGTTTATATAATATTAGGAAGGTATCCACATTGCTAGTACCCATTGCAATACAAAATCCACTCCACGCGTGGTCTATAATAATAATATCGTGTAGTAATATAATTATAGTTATTATGGATAGGTCAGCATAAGGAATAGGATTTAGCCCTATTTGTGTGGTGGCGTGGCGCGCAGCGTTTGAATAGTGCCCCTGAGTGGCGCGTGTTGAACTATATTTGAATGCTTAAATAAAGCTACCAAAATCTGTAAATTATGTCATAGACATTAGTGAGGGATTCATTAGTAGAGCCTTCACTAATTCCCCCCTAACTACCCAAACTTTAAAATATGGAATATTTTGTTAACGAATTTATGGAAACTAAAAAGTTCAACACCAAAATGTATTTCTACAATACTATATTTATGGATTTTTATATTGAAATTTTGAAAATCAAAAGTGGGTAGTAGTTTCAAACCCGAGAATAAGAGTGGAAAAAAACAACAATAATGTATCATTGTAATATTGGACCCAATCGAATATTTTTCTAAATTACTCAATATAAGCTATAATATAATATTTGATAGTTAAATTATTTGAATATTTGATACAAAATTAATGACTAAAAATCCGCACAATTTGAATACCTTATTATATTATACATACAGTATCCAGTTATTTATTTAAATTAACATTCTATTAAATTGTTGCAGAATACGTAAAAATATAATTTAATATTTTGTACAGGTACCTAAATTTCTATGTTTATCGAAACACAAAACTTACTAATGTTATCAACGGATTTAGTGAGCACTGGAACTGTGGCAGCCATTCCTAAACAAATGATTATTATAATTATTTGATTATTTCCTTAAATCTATACAACTGGGTAATTACCTAGGTCCTATACTTAAAATCAGGTAATTATATTCTAATCGATTTTAGGATGCATCCGAATTGCGTCCATATAAAAATATATTGCTATTATTATTACCGTTTATTTCTTCGAAAAGATAATGGGTCTCACTAAACATGTTCGTGTGGGGGCCCATGAGTTCTCAATTTATAATGATGAAACTAATATATTTATAATTTACATACAATTTTTGTTTACGATTTCAGACTTATTAGATGAAACTAACTTAAGAAAACGTCACACCGACATCCACTGTCTCCGTAATACAAACGCGAGACATACCAAATTTGCGTTAAGTAGGACACTTTTTGTGCTGTTAGTTTTAATATTAAAGCAAATTGACTTATTACCAAACATAAAGGTAAGAAGATTATATATGTGCTAGCGTTGATATTTTTTCGGTATTTTAATTTTTAAGCAGAATAAAATCATTTTTAAATTGTGATATTTAACATTTTCATATCTTATTTAAAAATAAAAATATCAAACTCAATCAAACATATCATCAACACTAAAGCTCATAATATAATCTTATTAGTTTATTACGTTTAATTTTCGTAATAGGTCAATTTACTTTAACATAAAAACTAACATACAAAACGTGTCCTATTGAACGCAAATTTGCTATTTCGCGTTTATAAAACGGTAACAGTAAATGTCAGTGTGGCGTCCTCCTAAATATATTATACAATGTAGGTTACAATAATTATTAATACATAGAAATTTAATGTATTGTACAATATGATAATATACAAATGTATGGTACTAGATTAAAAGTATAAGATATTTGAAGTTTTGTATTTGGTTCGTTCTGCGGCCAGTTAGTTTTTTTTTTTTTTAAGTATTAAATAATAGATGATTTGATGTCTAATGGTAGCATATTATGTACTTTTGATTCTATATATAAGTAAGTAAATTGAATTAATTTTCTGTGCATTAAAGATACAGCGATATTTAATAATATTTAGATATTGTATACGTATATATTACATATATCGTAGATATTATGTATGTATCGTAACATCAGAACCACTGCGTAATTTTTGCAAGACGCTCGAGTTCCGATTTGTCGGCGATAGGTCCGAATTGCATCTCAAATAATAATTTGTATCCAATCTGTTTCTATTATTATGGTTTACTGATTAAGTCGTAAATACTCGAGAACCACCAGTTAATAATAATTACCACCTATATAAACCTAATCTATCTGGAATGACTGTACATACAAATTATATACACCTACTGCATGCCACAGTGTATTCCACATATTGCGATATCATGAAAAATATTAACTTTTTTCAACAAAATATTCCACTTTTAAGTTTGGGTAGAAGAGAAGTAGTGGAGCAATATTCAAATGCGTGGGCCGTGCCACCACACAAATACTCCACTACTTTCTATCTACCAAATATTTAAAAATGGAATATCTCGTCGGATAGACGAAAATCAAATATTTCAACACCATATTGTATTCAGGTTAATATTCTATATATTTATGAAATGTATAAGTAGTAAAATTTGCCATTTGAGAGTAGGCAGTTTTAGGCGGTCGTTTATTTTCGAAAATAAGGGTAACGAAAATCAATATTAATATTTTGCTCATTTTAGAGTCGATTTTTTTTTAAATTTTTCAAAATATTGCAAAGTTTATGTTGTGAGTGTCTTTATGGAACACTGTATAATTATATTTATTATTTACTGCAACTATCAATACCAAATTTATTTAATCATGAATAGAGTTTGGATTTGTATGGTATTACATATTGTGACTGAGTATATATGCAGTATTGCAGTATTATGAAAGTAACCTAACGATTTGATATTAAAGTGTTAAGAGTGAAATATAGAGTTCACAGGAAAAAGTTTTTTTTTTCAAACACTTAAATTTAACTCTTAACACTTTAATATCAAATCGTGATTTTAAAATACTAAAAAAGTGAAATAATACAAAAATAAATGAATAATTTCAAAAATTAAATACTTTTGTGTACCACATTATCTATGTATATTGTCAAAATGTGTATCCAAATAAAAAAAAAAAAAAAAAAAAAAAAATAATCTACTTATTATAATTGATCCATTAAAAATGTATACCATTATAAAACCTCAATATACACTTGCACTTGTTGTTAATTATGAAGTTATACAATTGAATTATGAATCGCAATCACTTGGGCGCAAGTCCGTTTGGTATATAAAATAAAACATACTTACTTAACAATAATGCTTTAAGTATGAAAACAAATAAATAAATACAAATTATGGATACCTTCTGTTATAAAATAAGCTAAGTGTAGAATTATATTGTTATTTAATATATAGAAGTTCAAATACGTCTGTTTATCAATTAATCTGTAACGCCTTTACACTTTTATTTAATATAAATAATATTTAGAACAAAAATTGTAGCATTTAGGTTGAAATTGGAGTTTAAACACAATTACTCAAGGAACAAAATTTAAAAACGAGAATATTTTTGAGGGTGGTACTACATTATCTGTACAGTATGTGATTTTACTATCAAATAAATCAAATAAATGTGCTTTTATGCATGCGATTAAATATTAGCTCTATATTGCAACTATAAAAAACTTACCAACTTGCGTTCTTGCTTTCAAAAAAATTTCATTGGTTTCATGGATTTTTGGAAAAACTAAAATTAAACAAATTTAAAATCGTAAAAAAATAGACGGACATACTTAGTACGACAGGTGGGCCACTTTAATAGGTAAGAAGTTGGGAAGATAAAATATAAAGGGGAATTTAATATATATCTGTTCACAACTTTTAATCATTGCTAATGAAAAACGATTCTGAGCGGAGTTCGGTTATACATGTTTTGAAAGGTTATAATATTTATGATTTTCGTCGAAATTTGATAATAAAATATTTAAAAAAAAAATTCTATATTGTACTGTTTTATTTTTCTGTCTATCGTCCAAAATTCTGAACAGTCCAAACCATACAACATAGGCTCACTACACTTCTGTATAACTTAACTTTAAGTCACATTGAAATTCTCTTGTGACATAAAACACTTCATGCTTCTTTCTACTTTATTCTATGTCTCACATCCTCATCAAAAGTCAATGTTCTTGTATACAAAATATCTTTGATACTTAAAAATTATCTTTAGTCTCTTTTCTTCTAGTGCTATTTTTGAAGCTTATTTTTTCACTTTTAATTTAATAAACAAGTAATACCGATAACCCTTCGTGTATTTATTTATACGAGATAGTGACCTGACCATCGGGGCCATCGTATCAACTAACTTCATTGAAAAATCCACAGAAACAATTGAGTTGAAACTTGAAATGATAACAGCTAGACATATTTTGTACTACACGTTTAAATTGTTAAATTATGTGCCTCTTCAGACGATAATTTTCATTACTTTTTGAACAGCTCTTATATACAATAAACTCTCAAAATTATAGTAACTGAAAACAAATTTGTGAGAGAGTTGTCAACCAGTTTGATGCCCTTATTATTTTTACTTATTCGTTTGAAGCGATTTATTTTTTAAGAAATTTTATGGGTGTGTCCTTTCTATTACGGCCCCACTTACATTCTTAAACATTAAAGGTATATTATAAAAGTTACCTAATTCAATTGATAGTTAATACTTACGCATGTATACTATACGTAATCAAAAACATTAAAAGTAAAAGTTAATTTTTTATTCAGTGTAACAATAACAATATATAATGTGTACCTAATTTAGTTATTACATCAAGTATTAGAATACTCTAAATTTTAAATAGTAAAAGCAGATTAAATGGGTACAATAATGTATTACGAATATGATCAACATTTGAACTGCATTCGCACAAATAATATACCGTTTAAAATAATGATATGATTAAATTATAATTTAATAATATTTCAAACATGTAGGTATTGTTGTTATTGATGAATTACTTAATTTAGTAATGAATAACGGTGTAATTTTTTATATTTTAACACATACCGAAATTACTTCTACTAATAAATAATATAATTAGATTACATTTCATCTTTTGTTAATTAGTGTTAACACTGATACTTATTACGTACCTAAATAATATATTTATACCTTACACATATTAAAATGTTATAAATAGGTAATGTTTTTTTTTTTCTATTCTTTTATATCCCTCTATGTAATTTATAAATGTATATTAGCTGCATTCGAATTGGTTCTCGATAAAGACATTAAAAAAAGATGAAATTTAATCTAATAATATTATTTAACAATAATATAACATATTGTTTACCATGATTATGTACGAATGTAATTCCGGTATGTATTATAATAAAATAAATTACATTGTTACTCGTTACTAAATTCAGTAATCCATCAATAACCGTATTGTATTAAGTAGTGTTTGCATTTGCGTAATATCATTGATTATATACACAGATATATTATACAAATATCAATATATTATACACATTAGTAATAATATTATGTAGATATTCCTAATTCTACATAAAATAGTAAGGAAATTTAAAAAATTGAAATTGCTTTTAAACCAATTCGAATAGGTTTAATCCTTTGTAATAACCTAAGACCCAATTAGCATGTTTCGAAAATAATCCGGAAACCCGTTTATATTTAATTCTCGAATTTTCCTTAAAAATATACTTACAATTCCATATGTGATGATAATCTTCTTTTGATAGATGATCCCAATTGTCTGAACAATTTTTATTATATTATAATATGACTTATATATGAATATAAGTTTAAAAATTACTTTGGTACCTACTTCTATATTTTACTAAACTATCATACTGTGTCTTATTAACATTTATATCTGTAAACAAATAATAATATTAATCCTCTTCAATTAGTTATGCTTCACCCCTGCTTCTCTGTTATATTCAACTATTCAGGGTTGATTTATATGCTAATAAGATTTGGAAAATCGTGAGTTACAGACGTAGACTGGTAAAAAAGGGCAAGGGATGCTACATAATTTTAGGATAAATATCAATAATTATTGGTGCAAATTATAATCATAGAACACATTTTTAAAAGCTTACATATCCTGTAAAACATGCATAAGACATAAGGTAATTTAGTTTATATATGTATGTAATGATAAATCGGTAAAACGACTCTGAAGCATGTTTAGTTCAAAGTATTTTAACAAATTTAAATTGAAAACTATATATTATTTTATAACCACAAAAAAAATTACAACTGTTTATGTTTTAACGAATTGTTTAACAAAAAATGTTAATAGAAATAAAAATGCCCCTGTGGTCATATTGCCCGGTGCGTGGGCACCTCTCACACTCCCCTATAATAATCAAAATCAAACTTATAATGACTAATTAAATTATTAAACTGATAATTTCTTTTATCTATGTATGTATTGGTAATAGGTATAGTTCTTACCGTAAAACATACTGTCTGTTTTCCAATTATGTTCAGGAGAATCGTATACATAATATTGAGACATTCCTATTCGTAATTTTAAATAAAAATAAAATAAATAAAGTTAATAATTTGTTAAAAAAAATCTGTGCACAAAAACCATACATATAATATGGTTAGATTAGTTTCTATCAATCATATGGTATATATAATATGTATCAAATATAACATATATTATGACAAATCGATGAACATAATTTTTCGTGGTAAAACGTGTAGTTTTACAATTTAATTACAAACCAATGAATGAAACCCATTTTCTATAAATCTGACATTATTACCTATGACCAAAAGACAATGTTATAATGGTATAAATATTGTTTTGGTGGATATTTTTCAATATAACTTTTGGTGTAACCGGTATTGATGGAAAAAGACACGAGACGCGTTTATTGGAAACGGGTATTGATGGAAAAGAGGAAGGTTCATTTTAATGGAAACTGATTCCGTAATAACCGGGACAATTGAATTGTCTTCCAAACACAAATAGTCCAGTGGTTAAAGTGATGAGTGTCGGAGAGGAATGGAATTTTCCTTATTAAGATAAAATTATCAGTCCCCTTTTGTTCAAGTTTTCAAATCCGGAGAGACGCTTTAGTTACTGTCATTTTCATTAATCAAATTTTAAAAATCGGAATTTATTAAAAATAAATTATTTAATACCCATCAGTTTTAGGGAACGCTTCTTAATTTTCAGGCAATATAATTCTTTTTCGAAGTCATTCCCACTTTAACCACTGATATAGTCGATATTTAAAAAATGACCTTTGAATTGGCTCCCGACACCATTTTTAAAAAAAAAATATTCTAGATAAAAAATGTTAATAATTATTTATAAGTTTACTATGAAGACATGTTTCTACCAGTGGTGTTCAAGTGATTTGGTCACAGAGGGAAGGGAGAGAGATAAGGATATTTTTCCAGTATAATTATGATTTACATAATTTATTTTATAACTATAAAGATATAATATAATATACAGAGTGATTTTTAAAATTAAATTTTTGAGCATATTTATTGTTCACCTCAATTTTATGGATAATTTATATATTAACTAGTTGTCCCGCGTCCGGCATTGCCCGTACCAGATGATTATTTCAGACATAACGATCAAATAATTTAAAATTACTTGTATTGAACTTATAGTCCAGATGCATTACTTCTATGGCCCCAGATATTAATCTAGTAATCGCCAATGTATATTATAGAACTTATGCAATTAAAAACTGGGACACAACTGAATGTCCAAAAAGAAACTAAAAGATAACAAGTCGGTTATGACCTTTTTTGAACCTTTTTTAATACAACGCAACTTACCTACTGATCTTGGACACAAGTAGTATATGAACTAATTAAATTATATTATTTTATTATTCTAGGAGCCAATTCAAGGGTCGATTTTATATATTTACCTAAAATTGGAAGCTAATTCAATGATTCCCTACAAACATAATAAAATGTATAGTATTTGGTACAAACTATGTACCTAATGAAAATAACCTACCCTTATTTACGACGGCATTTTCAGCTCTTGATTTCATAAATTCCATATTAAAATTACTGACTAGAAAAGTAAAATTAAACAAAATGTATTAATCTATTACACAGAAAAAAAATGAGTGAGCTACCATAGGGCGACCATACATCCTGTTTTATGCAAGATCGTCCTTTTTTTCAGCTTTGTGATCTGTTGTCCTGGCGCACTGCTTTTCGGGCGCTTTTTGTCCTGTTTTTTATGTTGATGTCAATTATTCCGTAATTTATTTTATTTAATTAGATATAAATATTTTATAGTTTTAACAAACATATTAAAATTGTATTATATTTTTGTAGAAAATAAATTTATTGACACAAATATTCGTTATAGATTATGACAGTGATTGCCATTGTATTCATAAAAAAAAAAGCTAATACTGGGGATGGGAGCGGCCATTGTTGTAGATGAGACGTTGAGTAGGTAAGATACATAAGGTTATTTCATTCATATCTGTTAACAACAATAAATTGTTGCTTGACGAAAAACGATTCCGAGCGAGTTCAGTAATACATAATTTGAAGTGCCGTATTTTTTTTGCTATTTAAATTTGATTTCAAAATGCTTATTAAAAAAAAAAAGTAGTCCGATGATTTTGAAAATTTTACCACGTCTAATTGGTAAGTCCAATATAAGTATTATTACTAAATTGCAAGTCTCTAAGCGTATTTATAACCAAACTCCAGCAAAAACTCCCAAAAATTTTAATTCCTTAAAATCACAAAAGTTTTAGTGATGACATCGTAAGAAATTAAATCAAAAAGGCAACAAAAAAGATGTCTTGTGATTTTTCGATTTAATCAATTTTTCTGGTAGGAAATGCTTTCCGTGTTATTATAAAATAATGAAATCGTGTAATTGTACGTTTTCTTCCTACGTTTTTTTCCACTTAAGTGCTTTTGTTTAAAAAATAGCCTCGAAAATCAAAAAATCTTGAAAGTACAATCTAGACAACTTGAGTTTTCAAAAAAGTTGCTAGACGTAAAAATCGGAACAAGTTTACTAAAAAAAAAAACGTGTCCACAGACTGGAACAAAGAAAAAAAAGAAGAAAAAAGAGAAATAAACAAGATTGTAAAATTAATGGCTCCCTCGATACGCTCGGAATCTAAAATAATAACCACAAAAATTTATACTGGTGTTAATACATCTAAGATATCCGAATATATCTAAAATAGTTAATAATATAGGTATAATTGTGAAAAATTAACAAAAAAAAAACTATAATAATTAATAAATATTACTTTGAATGTATTACTGAAATTATTTTGTCCTGTTTTTTATTTTTTTAAATATGGTCACCCTAAGATACCACTTTTCTATGAAAAAAATTAAATTTTAATATTGTATATAATATCTAGTACTAATATATACTTTATGTACTATATCTACTGCTATAAAACTTTATAAGCACTTACCCTTTAGTTTAAAATTAACCACATACTCATCGTAATTGATGTAAGATAATGGATCTGGCATTGCTACACAAAAAAATTACATTTTATAGAAATCTATTACTATTTGATTCATAATTTTTTTTAATTTGTCTACAATATACGAAATTAATATATTAATGAATTTGTATTATATTCTCAGATAATAATTTCTTTAATATACGTGTAGGAGATGCCTTCTCGGCATATTGCCTACATCAGTAGCGCTGAACTCGACTACAGAACCAAAATTGTTTGATTGCAGGTGGGTGGGTGGTACTATAGTGGTGGGAAATATACATAGGATGATTAGTATTCTTTGAAAATATAACTTTAACAAATAGTACTATGAGTAACATATTATAAATATTACACTAGGGTTTTTTTCTTTTATTAACAACTCGGGGGCTGGTTAGCAGCATTCCTCTAATCTTCACACTTCTCTGCTTTCCGCTTTAGTTCATAGTATGTTTCACACCCTAGATCATTAAATAATTAGCTTATGCATTCGAGAGGTGGTCTTCCTCGGATATTCTTTCCTTCTATGGACCCTTCTATTATTCTAGCTAGTAGATTGTTATGTCACAGTATATGTCCAATAAGTTTTGCTCTTCTAATCTTCAGAGATTTTAGAAAGCTTCTTTCTTCTCCTGCTCTACGAAATACTTCCTCATTCGTTATATGATCTACCTAACTTATTTTCAGAATTTTCTTATAGCACCACCCTTCAAATGCAAGTATGTTCTTTTCCTTAGTTTTTCTTATTATCCATATCTCACTGCCATAAAGTACCATGCTCCAGACGTAGGTCTTTACAAGTTTTTCTTTACCTTTAAATCTATATTTTTAAAAGTAAGTAAGCCTTTCCTTTTTTGGAATGCATATCGTACTTGTAATCTGTATCTTATTTCTTTGGCGCATCATCCATCATTTGTTATCGTACTTTCCAAATATTTATATTCATTAACTACTTCTAGTGTGTCACCATCTAGTTTAATATCCGGCCAAGCTGTTTCATGTCGACTAAAAACGAGGATTTTAGTTTTATCTTATTTATTTTCACGTTGTATTCTTCCCTGAATATGCTATTGATAGCCGTTAGAATGTTTTGTATGTCTTCTCCGTTCTTCGCTAACACCGCTATGTCATCAGCGAACCGTACCATATTTACTTTTTCGCCTTAAATTTTTATTGCTAATTGTATTAATTCCCTCACTTGGTTAATTTCTTCTTGTACATACAGGTTGAATAAACATGGTGATAATGAACATCCTTGCCTTACGCCTTTCTTAATTTCTACTATTTCCTGGCTATCTCCGTAACGTATTACTCCTGTCTTGTTTTCAAAAATACTTTTAATTATTCTTCCATCTGAGTTTGCAATCTCTGTTTTCTCCAAAAACTGAAATAATGTTTTCTGCTTTACATTGTCGAACGCTTTCTCTAAGTCTACAAATACTATGAACGTTGCTTTCCCAATTTTGCTTTTCAATAACTTGCCTAAGTACAAGTATAGCTTCCCTCTTGCCTCTTTGCTTCCTAAAACCAAACTGGTCTTCGGTTAATAAACTATATATAGTGTTTTCTATTCGTTTAAACAAAATACTCTTCCCTTACTTTCTGCGTCCTATGCCGTTGATGCATATTAGCGTTCATCCACTTTAGAGGTGGTTTTTCACGTCAAGAGCAATAGGATGCCCTGCTCTTTACCTTGTAATGAGTTCTCCTTATATGGGGAGAATTTCGGTCCACTTGTTTCTGCCAGTGAAGTTCGGGGCCCCGAGTAGGCAAGATCCGTAAGGTGTGATACTAAATCAAAGTCTTCCCCTGAGGGGCACATTATTACATCTAAAGAAGACCAATATAATACAGTATTGCCTTGTTTGCCCGAGTATGTTTAAAGTGTTTAAACTACTTCGGCGCCGCTGGCCTACATTAAGTAGCAGTGCCAGACGTTAGGTTTTATGAACTCCTAGGCAAACATAACTTATACAAATAACTAATTAAACCTGAAAAGATATATTTTACGTCTTTTTTTTAAATTAAATGTGCGTTAGGTAGGTATAACGTTTAACACACAAAAATAAACAACATTTCCAAAAAAATAAATAATATGTACTCGTATACTATATTTGGAGGAATAAATACATAAATAACACACAACATTTATTCAATTTTTTTGGATTAGTATAATAGGCACATTTTGATTTAGATTTCGAAAAATACCTAATTATAATACATACCAAAAAATTTGACATCTATAAAAAGTATATAAATTTGATTTTATTATTATTTATTATCTATTAGTGTAATAATACGTTATAATCCTTATTTTTAATTATTATTACAGCTCATGACCCCCCCCCCCAAACAAATAAAAAAAATGTATCAATATTTAATACACTTTTCTGGATGATTTAGCTGTATTATAAAAATGGATAACACAAAATTCAAGACACTTACTGTAACATAGCTCGAAGAAGTAGTATGGACTCAATTTTACTTGATCATCTTAAAAAAAAAAAAATACATAGCAGCCAACATCATAATATAGAAATAACATTAATTTATTCGACTATAAGAATAGTTATTTAGTACTCACTGGCCACTGGCTAGCCAGTGTACAAAACCCAGAATATAGTTTATTATGTTTTAAAGTTTCCATGGATGATACTATAATAGGTATTACAGCTATTAGTTTGGTACCTATTGGTAGCTCGAAGTATTTTTACCTTGAAACACCGATCAAATTCTCCACTCACCCACCCACCCACACAAACCCAAAAATATCCCCACCCTATCACAAATGTATTTGAATTTGTTATATTCAAATAAAATGTGTAAAATTGATCAAATTTCCGCAGTCTAATATGCTTTTAATGTCTTGTTTTGTAAAAACATAATAATTTCTGTTATATTTCAGGAAACCCCCGACCCGCCCATATGGTTTGTTGTGAACCACGTGATTAAAATATACCTCCTTCGAGCCACCACTGCTTACATAATTTGATATTTATACACTAGAAATTATTTAGTCATTAGTTATTTAGTATAATCAATTGTATTTGATTTGAATCTTGAACCAGTTGATAGTTGTATAAGTGGTTTAATTAGTGGTGTAGTGCGAAGAATAGATACACGCCGTGTAACTAATTCTCATTTTTGAAAACATGCGTATACTAATTAAAAAAAAAAATAAAAATAACGAAGTCCGCGGATACATTATATTTAATGTGACGCTTTTAATAATTCAGAGCCTAAAATACATCCAATTTCAGAAGACAAACTTTTTAATTCAATTGATAGAGGTGATAGATTTCCATAACCAAAAATGTGAGGGGGGATATATTATATCTATAACACTGAATGCTATGGCATCTGGCTAACACTTAGAGTAGTCTACTTGGGGGTATTTAGGTGCGAGGCCTTTTATAAATTACAAAGCCCTGGTTCAGTCTGCCTTGCCTTTCCGCCGATTAAATTAAATAAATATATGTGATATATATACCTATGTAGGTATTAGTTACTTTATGATGAAATTATTACTTACAATGATGAGTAGATCGCAAACCATAAGCAAAAAAATTAGACGCTTCGTGCAAAAGTGGCAAATCTAAAACAAATATAGGTAAGTATAAAATCAGGATTTATATTAATCCGGTATAAACATGTTTTTTTTTTGTTTTTAACATAATTTTTTGTAAATATCGTATTATAATAATGATAAATTATAAATAAAATTTTATCATAATTATTTAAGACCAAATAACAGTTGAAAAAAAACGAACATACTTCACACTATGGGTGGGCCACTGTTGTAGGTGAGAAGTTGAGAAGGTAGGATATAGAGGGGATTTTATTATTTAAGTCTGTACACAACGATAAACCATTGCTAACAAAAAACGATTTGGAGCGAAATTTTTTTTATACATGTATGTACATTTTCCCGTTTTTCTCAATTCTTATGAAAACTGTTTGGAAAATCAAAAAATGACCTGCTTAGAATACCAACTAGATAAAATTTCTTTTCAGAAAAAGTGCTACACTCGATACGCCAGATTACGATTTCTGGTAGAAAAATTGTTCACAGAATAAATAAAATAAAATAAAACAGAAACATCATTGTAAAACCATTCATTCCTCGATACGCTCTGAACCTTAAATGTTACTTTTATCTAAAAGTATCAGTTAGAGTGTCTGATAAGTATACAGTGTCATTATAGGCAACCTGTTAAACAGGCAGTTCGCCTTATATATTTTTTTAAAAAAAAATTCATTCTCTTTTAATATATCTTTACTCTTTAGAATATAATATTTATTTTAATTTAGTTATGCTTAATTCACTTCGAAACAATGTATAATCGACAATCGTATAACTTAATTATTATAATATATTATAGTAGGTCTTGTATTGTGTAAAAATAGGTATTCAAATACAACATAACACAAATATAATTATACTTATATTTTTCTATAATAATAATAATAATAATATCGTCTTTCTATAAACACGTAATTTATTAATTCGTTATTATCCTTCTAGCAACACCCACTCATATATAAGTTGTTGCTTGAGCAATATTTGAAACCTAGGTTACATGTCACTGATAGGTAGGTACCTATATATTTTCATGTTTTCATCAATATATAGATACAAGTTACTCAAAATCCGAAGAAATAGCTATTATCTTGAAAAATTGTGGAAATCTTATGTATCTATTGGATTATGTTTTCTGTTCGAAAAGTTGTTTAAACAGAAAAATAAACAGAGTAAAAATAATAAATATCTCACTACACTTCGAATCGAAAAAATAATTAAACCAGTAATACTATAAGGTTTCCTGTTTTTGTCCAATTACTTTAAAAACTGCTTGAAAAATCAAAAATAACTTTCTTATTCTCTAATAAGACAAAATTTTCTTACAGAAAAAATACTAGAATTTAAAGCACAATTTCTGTAGAAAACAAAAATGTAGGTACATTTTTTAATAAAATTGAATAGATATTAGATATTTATCCGGTTTTTTTTTTGGATATTTATGTTTATCTCGATTTTCCCAATTATCAAAAAAGCTAGTATACTCACACTTTTATTTTATTTAAGCATTTAATAAATTATACAACTTTAAAAAACCCTTTAAATTATTCAAATTGTTTGATATTTGTTTAAGTATAATATATTTTTGTAAATAAATCTAGAGCAAACTAAATATAACTACTACCTACCAACTGTAATTTACCTACTCTAAATTCTTATACCTATTTTATTTACTATGTCTGTTAACTAGATATTCTATAGAATTAAAAAAATATTATTTACAAGATGATTATAAAGTTCTTGATACAATACTCATTATATCAGAAAATATGTACCTACCACTTATTAAAATTTTTCGAAATTATTTTGGACAATATTTAACCAAGCCACTCTAAATGTTGCATTTGATTTATTTTGTATAATTTTTTTGGAGGGAGTGGGGGGAAGGATGAATCCTCTACCCAGTACTTACTTTAGATTTGAAGTTGTTAAATTTCCCTTATTTTTGACACCCTTATTTTAAGGGGCAAAACCATTATCCACATTTGATTATCAAAGAGCAACATGTATTAAACATTTTGTACATAATATTTTAAATTTCAGTTTAAATCCATTTTGGTTTGGACATTTTAAATTTAATTTCCGTCAACCCGTTAACAAGATATTCTACTTTTAGGTTTGGATATGAGGAGTAGAACATATTTTTGTGTAATAGCGTGACGCAAGGCATTTGAATACCTAGGTTGTGTTCCATTGCTCTCCCCTACTTACTTTAACTTAGAAATAGAATATCTCGTCAACGGATTGACGGAAATTAAAAAGATAAACCTGTATCTCAGAACTAAACGAATGTGAGTAAGTCCAAAAATTATTATTTAGATTATTAATTAGACTATTATATTTTTTGCATTTTTATATTATGTTTTTCCTTGAGCCATAAAAACGGAAGTCTGTTAAAAATACTCCTTCCATAATTTTACTTGGGTTATAAGAGCATAAGTTCTGATAATATATGTCAGGAAACATGTCCCTTTTTTCAGTTGTTTTGCTAAAAAATAATGTGACTTACGTTAGAATGGTTTTAAGGTGCAGAAACACCATAATGCATTTAAACTAATACTCTAATCTATTTATGAAATTGTTAATATATAGGTAAATATATACTTAAATTGCTATTTGAAAATCAAATAAAGATTATGGTTTCACCACTTTAAAATTATTGTGTTGCAAAATCGATACCTACCTAATTTAACATTTTAGAGTCACTGTTTAATAAATTGTCTAAAAAAAAAATTCCAAAAAAAAAAAAATAATTTTGAAAATAATGAGCGTCTTAGTCTTATGGATGTTTGTCCGCCTTGTGAATGTAATAATAGTTGGGTAACAAGAAAAAAACATTGCATTTAATTTCCTAATATATTAATTTAGTCCGAAATATAATATTGATGTACACAAATTATTTCTCCTTTGATATCATGGACTCAAAAAGATCAAAAAGATATAATTAAATTCACTTCATATAGGTTGAATATTGTGAATTTAGTAGCGAAGCTGGATGTATATTGAAAGAATGTTGGTTAGTGAAGACATAAAGATAAAAATGATATATGTAACAGAAATAAAAATATTGATATTTAGTTGCGTGATCGAAAATAAAAGGTTGACAAAATTTGGACATGAAAAGAGAAATAATTCAGAGACTGTAAGAATGATTTTGCAAATGAATATGGAAGGGAAATAGAAAAAGGAGACCTATTATTTTAAATATGATTGTTAGTGATATGAAAACTGATTGAGTCTAATAAAGATTTAAGATCAATATTTAAGTGACTAAATCCAAATAGTTGGATAAGTAAAAGAAAGGGAATAAATATATTATATTAAAAATAACTATACCTAATTTTTATTTAAACATACCATAATCTATAATATCTTCAGATTTTTCAGATTTTGTTGATATAATGTTCATAATTAAAAATATTATAGAAATCATCAATGTTTTATAATAATTATTAACAGTAAAATACATATTATCAAATTTTAAATTAATCAACTTGAAAGCAAATATAATAAAAAGGGTTTATAAGGAACACAAGACAGTGTTCGAATAGTCTTAAACTTTATTCCAAGAGTGCAAAAAATATGTAACAACAAAGACAATTGAATAAATAATGTATCTTCATCACAGGGTGATCAACATAACGTAAGACACTCATTATCTCAGAGAATATTAACTTTTTTCGGAATTTGTTTCGAAGATTTAAGATATTTTAAGCAGCTCTAAAATATTACCTTACTCTTCTTATTGTCACCCTTAATTTATTGGGCAAAACCACTAGAACATTTGATCTTCAAATAGAAACTTATATTAAAAATCCCCAAAATAAATTAAGTATTAGTTTAGATCAATTTTGGTGATAACATTTTTAAATTCTGTCAACTTATTGACGAGATATTTCACTTTTAAGTTTCGGCGGGATGAGAGGGAGGTATACAAATCCAAAACATAATAATCTAGATTCTATAATATAACAATATGATCATAAAATCTTAGACTGCAATTTTCTAGAATTCGAACACAATATTTTAGGTGTTTCACTACTCTTCCCCAACCCAAACTTAAAAGTGTAATATTTCGTCAACGGGTTAATCAACATTAGAAATTTTAACTAAAACTTCATCTATTAATGGAATTTGTTATAATTACTATAATTTGAAAATCAAAAGTAGGTAATAGTTTTGCCTCTTAAATGAAAGGCGACAAAATATAACCGTTTTGTAAAAATAACATTAAAAAAGCTAAGTACGTATTCCACGGAAAATTTGTTTATCAATTTTAATGATTTTTATTTTAAAGCTTCTATAAACATATATTTTTATATATGTCTAAAGTTGATCTATCATCTTTTAACCTACAGCATAATTACAATACTCAGCTTAAAACTCTAAGTAATTGCAGTTATATAAATGTGAATAGGCAGTTTTGAAAATTGAATACTACATATGTTGGTATTGACTTATGTAAAAAACTTAACATAGTTATAAGTAAATTTAAGAACAAAAACTCTTCTTGTAAAATGTATAAATTCAATTGATCTAAATAATATTATTTTTTTTATAAATCTGTTTTCATATAAATTGTAACACTATGTATAATAATTTTTGTTTTGTATATATATATATTATAAATATTTTATTTTAATTAATAATAATTAGCATTACATATTGTATAACAGTTTAATTTTCCATTTAGGAACACCTACTACAAGTATAAGTCGTTTTTTTGAGAGGTTTTTATCATATTTAATTATTTTTTTCTTAGTTATATGATGATGAAATAAATATTATTATTAGTAGTGTGTAACATTTAGTGCTACTTATTTTTTAAATAATCTAAAAACAAATTATGAAAAAAAAAAATGATTACTTTCAGAGATAATAAGTGCTTACCATATGTTAATCACTCTGTATGTATGTATCTAATATATATCTGGTATACCAGTTTGTGTATACTTACAAAAAATGCAATAAGCAAATACGAAAAGCAAACCATACTCCGATTATTAAGTATAGCACCTTTTCTGAAAGGAAATGTTCTTTGGGTGGTACTTAAAGAGATAATTTTTGAAATTCTCATTAATATTCGAGATAATGAGGAAAACCTCGGTTTCAGATTAAAAAATTAAAAATAAGGTTGTTATTGGCAACTGTTTTTAATTATTTTAATATTTGTTAAACAATCATTGTTGTCATGGAAATGCACATTGTAATCATTTTACCATAATACGACACATACTATATATTGTATTGTTGACAAAGCAACACTATCAACTGAACTCCACTCAGAATCGTTTTTTCGTTTGATATACATTAAGTTGTTCGTCTGTATCCTACCTTCCCAACTACCCACCTACAACAATGGCAGCACCCACGTGCGAAATACCAATGTCCGTTTTTTTCGTATTAATATTTTAAACCACTTTTTTAATTTTTTTCATTCAACCTAAATATTGTATAGATACCATTCCTCAAGGTACCACCATATAACCAATACTGTTTAATATATAAATTAGTAACGTCTTCTCAATCCTGCTTAAGTGTGAAATTGTATGCTATGCAGATTATACGGTTCTTATGTTATGATGAAAACTAAGATGAAATAATTTACATTATTCAATCAAATTTTAATCTAATTGAATTATGGTTTGCAGATAATAATCTATTTTCAATTTAGATAAATCTCACATTCTGTTTCACTCCTTAACAAAAAAAACTTTATTGTAGAAATTGTAGAATTTATATGTATATACGACACCCACTGTATGCTACTAATGACTTTTTGTAAAAAAAATATGATAAATAATTACATAAAATATCTAGGTATTAAAATGTGTGGTAACATACAGTGGATAGAGCATATAACCAAATATCAAATAAAGTTGGGAAAATTATTTTATGTATTTACGAAACTACGAAGTATCTCGAATAGAAGGAAACTATGTATAGTGTATTAGACCACCAATGAATCCATCATATCTTATGGAATCATCAGTTACAGTGGGGCTTATGAAAATGTCTTAAAAAGTTTACAAACTAATCAAAATACACTATTAAGAATTACCCTTAACATAAATTACTTAACTCAGACTATTGACCTGTTCAACAATTTCTTTGTTTTGACAGTTAGGAAAAATATTAAAAAGTCAAGGTAGCAATATCTAAGAAAACATAATCTACTTGATCCACTCCTCGCATATCATCAATACAAGATTTGCAAAAAAATATTTTTTAAAAAAACATATTTATCCCATTTTGTAAATATGATTAAGGTATATTACTATTAAAACAATAGAATAAATATAAATAAACTACTAAATTACACTCAACTGTTTATTTTAACTACAAAGTACAATTGAAGATGAAAATCTTATTAAATTTTTGAGCATTTTGGCCGGGCCAAAACAATTTTATTTACATAAAACAAACAAAAAACTCCAAAGTTTCAATAGACTATAATAATTAAAAATTAATGTTTTGAAAATTGTACATCTAAATAGACCTAACCTAAGTATTTCCTAAAAATTGCAAGTCTTTACAATTATTTTTAATAATAAGAATAAAAAGAGCACTGTTGATCAACCAAATGATTTACAAAATAAATTTAAATAGGTTTTTTTAAAAAAAAAAATCAATATAAATAGGTAATAGATAATTCAATTGATAAAATTAAACAGAAAACACAATGACGATGTTACAACATTTTATAAAACTAAACATAAAATTTAAAGAAAAATAAAATACAATCATTTATAGTTAAACTAAAAACAGATAAAGAATTTTAACTAAATTCTAGTATCACCATGTGTAGGTAAACGTTTAACAGTTATTTTTAATTAGTTGGATTGATGAGGAGGTTCAGTGCTAAAATAAGGTGCTGAATCTCGTACCAATAAAGTATGACAAACCCGACACACATGCGAGTTTCTCATATTGGGTCCACTTTTTACAGCTCTAGACAAACAGGATGCACAAAATATTCTACCACAATGCCGACAATGATCCTATTAAAAAAAAACACAATTTGATTTTGAGTAAATAACATAAGGTTATCTTATACAAGAAATAAGTACTTTTCTAGTTTTAGAATCGGAGAATACAGTTCCGCAATCATGACAGTCGCTAATATCTTCTTCATGTTCCCATCGCACCTAAACAATACATTATGTACCTAACAAATTTTTTAAGGTTGTCACTATGTTAATACCGATGTCCCAGATTCTCGAATTCTTTCCAATTCCTGTTGAAGCGATTGAGATAGACGAACAAAATCACGTTGAACTTCTTCACTATTGGTCAAGTCATTTTGTAGGGCCATAATTTTATTTCGCTGTTCCATAACTATAGATTCTAATTCAGTCTGAAACAAAATTAAGATATTTTATTCTACCAAGGATAGTGAAACAGTTTACAGTAACATAATAACTGTACAATATGATCCAAAGAACTAATTATTTTGGAATATGCACAAAAAACTTTTGATTTAATTAATTTAATTAATATTGATAAAAATATTTATTAGTTTTATCAATATCCAATTAATACAAGTATCTTGATGATGTGACACACTGATTTTAAGAACCCTACATTTCATACGAGATATTTAAAGGTAAGCAAATTTTTATTAACTACTACTATGTGGCTTTCCATTAAACATAATTTATAAATTTATATACACTAAACTTTTCTTAATATATGTGAATAATTATGTAAAATATTGTAAATGGGATGAAATATTAACCTTTTATGTATTGGTCTGTAAAGTTCACAAATGCAATTTGTACATTTATAAAAATTTGTTGTTCTGTTTCAAATCCCTGTATATGAATAAGTATACAATAGAATCCTGTATGGGTCACTCATCTTGCTTCACTAGTTACTGATCATGGATTATAGAATAGCTACATTAATAGAGTAACCTGAGTTACAATTATTACAATTAATGTAAAACAACAATGTATGTAAATGTTAAAGTCTAATATCAAGAAATAATAACTAGCAAAAATGAATGTGATAAAAATACACCATAATATTACAATACACATTACAAATGCTCTATTTAACCTTTCAAATTAAAAACCCAAAACTAGAAGATTTTAAAGTATTTAAAACAATTAAACATGGCGAACACACAAAATTCACAAAATTTAAGAAATTTATAACTAGAGTTCAAGGAAAATATTCCAAAATATAAAAATAAAATATCTTGATAAAAATAACCTAATACTTAAATTTTTAGATTAGTATTAAAAATGTATCTAGAAAGATAATTCTGTATAGTGTTAAGGGGCAGGCATGCATATAACCTGTTTTTTAATAAAAAAATTATATTTTACAGAAAAACCTTTCATGTCTCTTAGAGTTAACCGATTTCAATTATCTTTTATTTATTGGAAAGAAGAATAAATGGCATTAGATTTAGATTTTGAAAAATTTTAAAATGTAATAATCATGACTTATTTTTAACATTTTAGATTTGGAGGGTAATGAGGATCTTGATATAAAAATTTAAATTGATTGGGTAATTTTTTAAGTATTATGAAGTGCAAATGTTAACAATTAGTTATTAAAATGTCTAAATAAATTATATAGAACCACGAGTAGGACTTTTCATACTCTTCTACTTCAATTGTTTACCTTTCTTTTAAAAATGGTATCCAGTTGGGCACGGCAGCTTATTAACTCGTTTTCACATTGATTTGTGTTTTTTATTTGCTCCGAAAAACGACTTCTTTCATCCAATAATTGTTTTCTTTAAACAAAAATGTATACAATTATTTATTATTATTGGATAATATAAGATATAAAATAATACAAATAACTGTAAGGAAAATATTATAAAACATAAATTACCATGTGAATTATGGAATATAAAAGTAATTATTAGTGAGTAGTAAGTATATTTATATTTTATGAGTTTCAATTGATTGTTTTAAATCTACTTGATAAAAACATCTAAAAAATACTAACATAAATATAATCTATCTAGACATTTGTAATGTTTTATAATGAATATTGATGTTCAAAATTGTTATCTCACTATATTAATGATAATGATAAGGTGTCTATATATTACAGAATATAGTAGTAAACCATGAAAAACTCAATATTAATAAAATGTATAGTCACACCAAACAAATTATACTTTTACATATTAATGAATGTTGTAGTGGCAGATCTAGGGGGTGGTTCAAGAGGTCTTCTGATTCACAATTAACTTTTGCTGGTAAAATTGGTCTTTTTGGCTACTAAAAACAAACTGTAAATTTACACATAATAGAGGGACAGTAATTATTTGTAATATTAAAATCATATCCTTATCCCATTCTGTGTGTTTTGTCACAAATATTCTTAAATTTCCAATGAAAATAGTTACATTAATATCAAGTGAGTTAGAAAATAAAATAATGTCTGATTCTGATAGCCAACATGGACTATCCATCATTTATTATCTATGGTTTTGCAGTTATAGTATAAAGAAGTGTGTTTATGGAACTGATTTAATGTTATATTTATAACCTAATAATAATAAATTAGTACCTTAGCCTTCCTTCCCCCCCACCCAAATAGTTGAACTCCTAAAAAAACATTATTAATTTCATTAGATACAGACTATAATTTTCATATTGAAATTGAACTTGAGTAAAATAATTTTTAAAACTATTCAGAATACAGTATTGAATACTTCTGAAAAAAGTATTTTTTAATTATTCAGAATACTACCCATGTCTATGTTATATATATATATATATATTTATTACAACTATGCACATTGCGTGAATATTAATTTTTACTTGAATACAATATGTAAGCTAATTGAAAACACATCTCCCCCCCCCAGTTTAACAGACAGTAGTGAAGTATTTATTTTAACAATACTTTTTCATTGCTATCATGAAATAAATCAGACAGTTAATGATGCCAAGACAAAATTAAAATATAGTTTAAACTTACTCGAGTAAAGACACAGTTGAATTTAGTCCTTGTATTTGACTTTCAAAAATAGCTGCACTATTTTTTATTCTGTTTATTTCTTCTTCAATAGATTCTTTTACTATCGACATAGCTATAAGTTCTTCATTCCGTTTTAACAAATATTCGTGAAGCTCCTTTATAAAAATATGTTATGTTTAGTAAATGTGAAAAATTACATTTGCCATGAAAGAAACACTAACCGCTACTGAACTAGGTAAATTAATCTCTTCATTTTGTAACTGTACAGAAAACTTCATGTGTTTCTCTTTTAAATTATGATTTTCTTCTTCCAGCCTAGAAAAGATAAACAATGTTTTCATAGAAAACATTATAAAAACTATTAACATTATTAATCATATACTTCAATATGTGTTGCTTCATTTTAGCACCATTTTCTGTACAAAGCTTTAGTTCTTTTTGAAAATCTATTACAGTCTGTTCATATTGCAACTTAACATCACTAAGCACCTCATGTGATTGATCTGAGAAATTTTTCAATTCTTGTACCTATAAAAATATACAAACATGAACCTATCTAAACATAATACACTATGAAATTAATGAATTATCATAATTACTTTATTTTTATGTTCTTCTAATTTTTCATTCCACTTTTCTTCCATCTGTTTACGGTAGATGGTCTCTTTATCATGTTCATCTTTAAGCTTGTCCATGGCTAAAAGACGTTTATCTGCATCATTTAGTTTGTCTTGCATTTCTTCCACACGGATTTTATATAATGCACATTGTTCACATTTAGCAACATTATTATCCACTATCACAATTAAATTCATTAAGTGTTTACATTAATAAATCATACTAATAATATTTACCAGATGTGTTAAGGAAAACAAAATCACTAGTAGCTGAAGAATTTGATGATTCTTCTTGAGAATTATCTATGAAAGAAAAAGAATTATATAAACCAAATAACTGTATAATATACAAATATCAATTTTAGCGTTTGATTAATGCTTGATAAGTTACTCATTATATCAAAAAGTAAAACTTTTTTTTTTTTTGATAATTTATAAAACAAGCAGATCTAAAATCACGCTATTTTTGACACTCTTGTTTTTGGATGCGAAACGACAACCTACTTCTGATTTTCAAATGGAAACCTATATTAAATATTCCATAAAAAATACAATTTTAGGTAAAATATATTTTAGTGTTGACATTTTTAATTTTCAACAAACTGTAGATAAGATTTTTTACTTCTAATTACGTGTATGGGTTGAGTAATTGAACAATATTTGTGTACAGTATAGCTCGCAATGTTTGAATAGTACTCCACTACTCTACCACTACTCATACTTAATGGAATATCTCATCAACAGGTTGATTGAAATCAAAAATTGTTTTACCAAAATTAATTTAAACTATTACTCCATCTATAAAAAACTTATGTTTAATATAGGTTGCTATTTGAAAATAAAAAGATTGTTGTTTAACTTCCAAAAATGATTGTAACAAAAAAGTAATGGTAATGTAACATTTAATAGCTGTTTGTTTCTTAAATTGTTTTAAATAATTTTTTTTTTTAAAAATCAATACTCTATGAAGTAATGAGTATTCATGATAAATTAATAACCTTTTTTAATGTTATATAAAAAAAAATACATACTGGCTGTGAGTTTTTGTTCAATAACATTATCTTTTGATTCAATTAGTTTAGTTTTATAGTAACTGATATCTGTGTCCATTTCTCGAATTTTTTCTTTTAGAGCTTCAACTTCTTCTTTTAATGGATCCACCAAAGCTTTATACACATTATCATCATCATCTTGAGACTTTCAGAAGTGAATTTAAAATGTGGTTATTTAAAAAAAATTATTATTAATTTCTGTTAACTACTAATTGATAATTTACCTTCCTGTAATCATCAGATTCAGCACTGGAAGCTAAATTGGTCATTTTTCTAGCAATAGCAGAAAGAACAGTACCAGGTACATTAAGTATTTGTTGCTGAGTTGATTCACCTAATATACTATTTCCCTGTTGACCAATCAACATTTGATTGCGACAATTTTTCAACTCGTTTTCTAATTTTTCACTCATTGTTTTGTAAGTTTTAGTTTCATTCTCTCGACGCCTAGATTCTTCCAAAGTTTCTATTAAAAGTAAATATTAGAATAATAAAAAATAAATCATTTCATAACTAATATTACCAGCAAGCACTTTATCTAGAGACGAAATTTCCTCATTGTACTTGCGAGTTTGTTCTTCAAACCGTCCTTCCATTTCAAGTTTTGTTACAGTAAGCTGGCTCTGAGATTCATCTAATGCATCTTGTAATCTCTTTAGTTCAGTTGAGATGTTTGTCATATTCTTGAGTTCCTCTAATAATTAAAAACCCACATTAAATTTCACTTATAATTATGAACAAATGGGTATCATATTAATAAAGAAATGAAATTATATACAATTTTATGAATATACATAAATATATACATATTTAAAGCAACAAAGCAATAACTGGTCACCTTCTTTTTGCAGTAAAAACCCCTTCATTTTGGCACGTTGCAAGCCGAACTCTTTTTTCTCCAATTGTAATTCATCTATTTGTTTTAGAAGCGAGTCCAAAGTCAACGGACCTGTCAATATAAAGAGCGTGCAACACCAACATAAGCATAGACAATTTTTTTTGAAAAAAAAAAAAACAAAAAATAAGTACAAGTAATTCAGTGTAATGTTATAGTAATATAAATTAAAGTATATGTATTTAATGCCAGTGTTGAAAAATAAAAATACTATGTGTATGCATGGCCACTGAATTGCTTGAACGGTCATGCAAAAAACGTGTTCATACAGTAGGTATATTATAATAGTAAAACACACAGAGTGCAACAAACCAATAAAATATACGTGGAAGTGTATACAAAGAAAAACAAAACAGACAATTAAACATGGTAACACTTGTTACCAGTGATTGTATACTAAAAAAAAGGAAATTAAAACTAAGTTAAAATATTTGTGTTACCTTGATTTTTATCCACCGGCTGTAGTTCGTCTCTCATGTCGTTCTCCATAATATTCGTGCAGTCGCAAACACTACTCAACCAACGGTACCTAGAGTGATAGACAAGTAGTGTACACTTTGTATCACTACAATGACTCGGCTATTCCTATTACAATAGGAAAAAAACGATTATTTTATATGAAAACGTCAATTTATTGTATTTACAATAGAAATTTATTTAATCAAAACCGCACACTCTTGTGCCATATGTCAGCAAGTTACAACGCCAGCCGTATTCCTGGTTTTCACAATACAACTCACCTGACACGACTTTTCGAAAAAAGATCATTTTATGACAACAATGATCCGCACATGATAACTGCGGCCAACATAAAATTTCCTTGTAATGAAAAAAATATGTCTTCTACTGCGATGACTACTTGCAACTAAAAATATGGAAATACAAAAACCTAATGACGCGCGCACATAAGTTACGTGGAAACGTTGTTTGATGGACGTAATAATCGGTTGATATTGTACTACTGTAGTACTGTGTTCTGCGATATTATTGTACTTTGTAGAGTAAAAAAACTAAATTATAATAAATTATTGGTACGTTTTTTTTCAACAAGTTTTTCCTAGTGATAAGAAAATACGAATATCCTAGCTGTTGATAATGTACCGACAAATGGACGCATATTATTATCTGTACTACAGATAATGTATTATTATCATGAAATAATTTATGATAAATTCATGATTTCCATATCATATACATTATATATTATTAAAGAATACTATTAAAGATTTACAGTAAATTTGTTAACCGGTCCTTGTAAGTATCCAAAATTTCTCCGGAGGGCAAGGGCGGATTTAAAAATTTGGCGCCCTTGTTCTAAATTAAATTTACCGCCTCTATTCTAAGAAAAATAACTTATGTATAATAAAATATCCATATATATGATATTTATTTTCTCAATAATATGTAATTATTTTTTCATTAAGATTAAAAATAATATTTACTAGGTATTTATTTTTATAAAATTAAAATAAACAAGAAAAACATAAGTTTATTAATAATTTAAGTGATTTTAATGTTAACCTTTCATAGTTATTGTTTACATTTTTTTTTTTCTAAATTTTATTCTTGACAAATCATCAATAATCTTCATAATCTAATGATGATTTAAACTCATTCTCTATTGTCAATATGGCCAAGGAATTCAATCTTTCTTGCAGCATAGTTGACCTTAAATAATTCTTCATTATTTTTGAGATCAAAAATGAATGTTCGGCAGTACAATTGGTGTTGAGACGAATATTCAAAGGTCAATTTCAATATTTGGATAAATATCTTTCATATTACGATCTTATATTACTTGCAGCAGTAGGAATGGCGTAATTTTCTTTTCATTGAAACATATAATTTAATGAGAACGAAATTGTAAAAGTCCATTTATAAATTCATTCTTTCTAAATTTGATTTGTAAATACAACATAGTTAATGTTTTTTAGAATTTATTAATTATAAAATTATCTTTTGCTGATATTTCTACTTGTCCATTCCGAATCGTATTAAAGTTCGTTCCTTTTTCTTTTTATAGAATTTTCAAATTGATACATTTTGTTTTATACTTAATGATTTTTCTATGTGCTCATCAAATGCACAAATTCACTGAGAATTTACTAGATGAATCATATAACTGAAATACTGTATACACATCAATGTCAACATTCTGTAATTTTTCGATTACAACATTTAACCTATGAAGTAAAAAACCCCACACTACAGCCATGAATGTCACTTCCAGTTTCTCAAGTTGTATTCTAAGTCTACAAGCTTTACATTTTTTTTCTGATTTTTCGGTTTTATCCAATTTTATTGTATTAAGAACTTGTATTATTTCATCCCATGATTCATTCAAGCTGACATAAGATAAACAATAAAATAAGCTATATCAAAGCATAGGTATAAAAATCAACTAAAATCAGTTTAAAGTTTAGACTGGAAGAGTAGGGTGTGTAATAAATTGCATATCTATTCTATCTATAATAAATATTGACATAGTTTGTAAAGAGTAAACTAGATGGTGTTAGTAGCTTGTCAAAAGTAAGAAGGTTCGATTATTTCATTTATCACGTTCGTTCGGTATCATATATATCTTAATTCGTGGTCCGTACCAATATTCTGAGGCGCCACTACATACTATATACTGTATATAATATATATCTGTGGGTGCCACCAATCACCATAGATAATATAATAATTCTTATATGATCTAAGTTGCCACTATAGACTTTTAATATATTATAAATCTATGGTACCACTATTTTTTTTTATACCCGTAATCACTGTTTCCTAAAATCATATTATCTCAGAATATCTGTGATATTATTATCATACCGGTTATGGTTGTAAAATGTAAAGTTTAAATTGTAATAAAATTAGTAAAATGCGATTTACCAGAATCTTTTAATTTAATTAAGTTATTTATTTGCACGATTGTTGATTTTAAGCTGTTCTTTGATAATATTGTTTTAATTTAACTTTTTATTGTGTTATAGTAGTATAAACATTTATCATCTTATATCAAGCCATTTTCTTATCCAGGTACATCAATAATTATAAGTTTTCATAAATAATAAATACATATTTCCTATAAAAATGGGTATTATTTTTTTATTACTGGCCAATTTAATGTATATAAACTTTAACTAATTCTACAATTAGATACCTACTTAATTATATTTGTCCTGCTGAATACAAAACATGTGATCAAATGTGATTAACTAATTATTTATATTTGAAACAGTAAGCAGGTATATAGGTATATCCATTCTATCATACTTTGCCTTTAAAATAAATTCATTTTTATTTTTGTAGTTTTTCTAGTCTTCTTAAATTAATTTATAATATTTCTTTGATTTATAGTTTTTAGTTTTTACTTAAGTGATAAATTTATTATTATTTTTTTAAATTTTGAATCAATTGTTTTTCTTATCTTTTTTTGTGTACTTAATTTAATGTACAAGGATATCTCAATACCTCCATAGATATTTCAGGGTTTATTATTTTTATTATATTGATAAAATGGCTGTTGATGTAACCATTTTACATAAATTATCATATTGTATTTATTTTATATTTTGTTCCTAAGCTACCTGTCATATTAAAATTGTTATTGATTTGAATTACTAAATTGAGTATTAAGTTAACTGGTGTATTAATAGTTTTACATTCATTTGGAAAAGGATTTTATTTGATTTTCCAGTTGGTACTTTACCTAAAACATTCTTGTTTCCCAAAATTTTTTCAAACAAATAAAAAAATCATTTTAATTTGAAATTAATAAAATTTACTAAGCTATACTTAGATTTGTTATTTGTTTACAATATCTATATATTTAGTTTAAGTACTAAATTACTCTAAATACTCTCTCTACCTTCTAAGACTGGTAACATACCATGTCATTTTTGTGGATCCGTTTATTTGATTTTAGAAATAATGATTAATACCATTGATTATATTGTGTTACAAACTGAAACTACCTTTACCCTTCATTTTACCATTTGTTACATAGTTAAATTTTCATATTTTTTTCATAATATTAATAGCATTGTAGTAAATGCTCCTATTTTCATTTTATTGATCTGGGGATTATAATACTATGAAATAGGTACTATGAATATCAAAATATTACCGAATGTCTTAATTTAATGTTTTCAATATGAAATTGAAAGTTTTTTCTGAAGGTAATCTAATCATATCAATTGCTTATCTATTATCTAGTAAACTTGAAATCTATTGAAAAAGTATAAAATGTACCTATGTATGCTAACATATATAATAAAGTTTGGACAATGATTCCGGTGTTGAGTTCTTACTAAACTTATTCAAAATCTATAAAAAACTTTCTAACAATGATACTTCTTTTATTTTATTTCACACAAGTTTTAGAGCATCAAACTTAGAAACTCAAAATATTACTTTATTTTATCTTTGAAGTTCCAATATTCAACTTTTTTTTTTTGTGTTTTTATCTCTTTATTTAGAATCTAAATTTTAAATATTTGATCTACAGTGTATGCAATTTTATTTAGATAATGCCTATAGTATTTCTATTAATGGATACCAAGTATTTATGAGTTATTTTATGTATAACCTATAACTATTATTGATGATTTTAATTGGTTAGGTGGCTACCTCAGTTTTTTAATTGATAAAAATTATTAATATTAGGTAATTTATTATCCTTTATAATAGGTATAATATAATATTTTAATATTTCTTGAAATAATCAAATAATCTCTTGAATGTTTGGACATTAATGGTTAATTGTCTCATGGTGAATATAATTACTTAAATTGTTACATACATTTAACAATTATCATTATACAAAATGGTATAATTTCTAGAATCATTTTTATTTTAAAATCATTCAGATTTTTAAATAGTGTTAACAATATATAAATCAAAATATTTACTTAATGTAACACAATATAACTAAATTTTGTGTAGTTACAAGTAGAAGTAGGTTAATAATTTTGATAATATATATATTTTGCTACCATAAATTATTGAAGTATTGTCTAATTAAGCATATTGTCACTCATTAAGTAAGAATAAGAATAGTAATCATTAGTTTTTGTTTATTTTTAATATTTGTTTACATAATAAAATTTGACATAATTTATTGTGCCTATCAGCTATCACTAACCATAAAGAAAAACATATTTAATCAGAATTTCCACCGGATCTTTTACCTCCCCACGGAAAAAAAACTGAACTTCTTCTCATACTTTTTAGACCTGCGTATCGAATGCCCTTCTTTTCTTCTGGATCCCTTGACCAGTCTGAGAAAATAGTAAACAGTGTATGTATTCCTTTAGTCATTTTATTTTTGTAATTTTTTTTTTCTTCCTCTTTAACGTTGTTTAGTTCTCTTTTTTCCATCTGATGTTCAGCCATTTCTCCGTTGTCATCATAACTATCAATTTCATTCCTTTTGCCACCCCAACTAGAGAATGTTTGTTTAGGTCTACTGCGTTTATCGGAAGTTCGTTTGCCTCCCCAACTGGAAAATGCCGGTCGTTTTCCGCCATATGGATAAGTGCTCTGCCTTTTACCACCCCAACTGTTAAATATGGGTGTCTGACGGCGCTTTTCTGGCAAATCCAATTTATTTATGTCAACTAGACCAGACGATTTTTCCAATAAGTCACATATATCGATACTAGGTTCTATTTGGCAAATATCATACACTTCTTGAAATGATACGATTTCATGGCCCTTGATTTCTTGGTAAGTGAGTTTCATTAGAGCCAGCAACAACCAGGACACTCCAATTTTTACCATACTGCTGAAACATAAATATTTAGAATTAAGTTTAATCTTTTTATAAAAATCGTATTTAGATCATTTCTAATACGTAATTTGAATTATTATAAATTAATCTACTTTTAAAAAAAATATTTACATTGTAATTAAAATGCATTTCTACCTTAAATTCTGTTAACAATATTAAGTGGAACTCACAAATTTACATAGTGTTACTATATTTTTCATGATTCCACAAAATGTAATTAGCAATGTTTGAGATTTTTAAATATATATGAATTATGCATATGGTTTAAAATATTAAAACAATATTATTTGTATCTGAATATTTGGCTACAAATTACAAAAAAATTTTGTTGTACTAATCATTTATATAATATAATATAGGTAAATTAAATGTTTCTCATACATATTTGCAAAACTATAAAAATTGTCCACTTTAATTAATGATTCATGTTAAATATTTTAGTTTTTGTAAATTTTATAAAAGGATAAATAAAACTGTATTCATCAATGATTTGTGACTGAAATAAAACAAAATAATTATAAAATAAATCAAATAAATAATTTATTCAATATTACTTTGCGTAGATACCTAAAAATTTGTATTGGTCCAAAATAAAATATTAATCCTCAAGTAATATCAATCATATTAAAAAAAAAAAATGATAATAATTAATAAAAAAAAATATACATATTATCAACACTTTGTTTTATTTACAAACTTCGCTTAGAATTGGATTTTCATTGACAATGGTTAATCGTTACATACAGATTATTACATACATATATTCAATTTCTTCTCTACTACCTTCTCAACTTTTCACCTGTGACAATGGTCCACCCACGTGTGAAGTGTGTCTGTCTTTTTATATTAAGTGTAATTATGTGTTTTACGAAAGCTCAAAATTATAAAATCGAGTTAGGCGTACTGAAAATATATTTTTATTCCCTCTGGTGTAGATTTAACAAGGTTATTTTTTGTTGACGTGTCTCGTCTTTTTCTGTCATTGGAGACTATGTGGACAGGTAGTTAATTTTTACATACAAAAATATGATTAATGATCAAAAATTGAAAAATTATTTTCTTACTTTACTCGTCAGTTTTACTGAAGATTAACCCAACTACAAAGTAACAGTATTTTGTATTGATTTGTATTAATTGACATATCTACTTGTATATCTATATTCAAACATACTTATAAGTTTATAGCTAGTTATACCTTAAACAAAATTCATTTTAAATGTTTATTAAAACATTAAATAATATATAATTCAACAATAACTATTAACATGTTTGTTGCTTTCGACAATATTTTTAGGTAATTCAAATTGAATTTAAATACCTGAGTTAATATCTACCATAAAATTTCAATTGATTCCCAGTTTATTTCAAAGAATTTGAATAAATTCGAAATTGTCCTGCTAGTAAAATTGCTCTTCCTATTTCATTAATCTGAACAAAAATTGACTTATAGTAAATAAGGTTTAACATATTTTAATGTTGTATATATTCTATATAATAAAATACTTAATTTGATTTCTTCTTACACATCCGTTTCAGTTTATTTTTGTTTATATATATAAATATAACAAATATTACATATATTAGATAACAAAAAATAATGATAATATAAAATCAAATAAAACTATCTAGGATATTTTACCTACTATCTAAAAATATAGTATACAAATAATTTATTTTTATTTAAATATGTCCCCTTTGTAACACAAATAAATGATCAGAAATACGATTTTTAATAAGTAGGTATAAAGTTATACACATGAAAATATAATTTTTGTTTATATAACAATATATTTTTTGTTCTCTGCTATCGCCATTTTATATGTGGTGTTTACGTAACCCTTAAACCCTGACTTAATCTAACTTCCTCCTTATCTTTATTCAATTATACATACATATGAATATATGATGTTAATCAGGATCTTGAATGATTATTTAATATTAATCTATGTGTTTAGTTATTACATGTTATTTAAACATTTACTTACATTGTTGTTAAAACCTATAAAACTGTTATTTAATTATTTAAAAACTTTTAACTTGGAAGTATAATAAATTTACATATTAATATTTTACAATCATTTGATAGAAGAAAACTACCTACTAAATACAGCTGCAGTATACATAATCATATAACAGTTTGTAAATATTTTGCCAGTTTAATTTTTGTTTCATCAAATATAACTGTTAACTAACTAATAATATAATAAACCATAAAACTAAACTATATAAAATATATTAAAATTTGACTACCCAGGTATTAAATAATATTAACAAAATTTTAAATAAAAATATTGGAGAAATAGTGTACTCAATAACATATAGGTAAATTAGGTAGGTAATAATTATATTTTAGGCAAATAGTTTATGTTTATTTATCTCGAATTCCAAAATATAGCTATAAGTTGAAATTTGAAAATTATTTCCCTTTTTTAATATTTTGTATAATCTATCATAGATAGCAATACTAATAAATTAATGGCTATGTATTGCAATTCTATACTTTACACTGAATCGAAACAGAGGTGTGGTTTAAATTATTGACTATAGTTTTTGTTGACATAATTATATTATTTATTTTTATTGATTGTTTTTTAATAAAATTATTTACAAAATATATACTTGTGTGATTGTGCCCTATAATAATATAGACTTGTGTTCTGTATAAGTTCAATCAAGGAAAAAAATAAAATATTTTATTATTTATATATCTTATATATATATATATCACTATATATCTTTACTTTATTTGAAACATTTCAAAAATATAGGTATAGTTACTAAGATGTTAATATACATTTGTAAAATTATAATTTTATTATAATTTACAAGGAGTGTTAAATTTTTTTCAGACGAAGGCTAAAAACTTAAACTTTAATTTTACATATCTTTGAGGCTACAATACAACTGAGTTGATTATTGACCGGCGTTAGTAGGTAAGAACAAGTTTTTTTTTCGTTTTAAATAATTGTTTTAAGTTTAAATTTTGACGAGAATTGTACAAATTACGACTTTTCAAAATCCATATTTAACCGAACTTCGCCCAGAACCCTATTTCGTCAGCAATGATTTATCGTTGTACTCGGATATAAATTAAATAACTTTACCCTACCTTCTATCAACAACAATGACACGCCCATCAGCAGTATCAGGTCTTTTTAAAAATTTGTTGTTGTTCAATACTATGCATGGGTAAAGCCTGGTAATATATTATAGGTATATTGAATATGGGTGATTTGAAATTACGTAATTATTTTTAATAACCACGTTTACGACCGAGTACCCAATCGTCAGCACCATCATTTTAATATAATATAATTTTATTTTTATTTTTTACATCCAATTGTTTTATAGTTGCGGTAAACTTTGGTTAATTATTAAAAAATATGAGACTTAAAATGTTACTTTTTGTGTAAACAATTTAAATTACAAATTAAAAACTTTTTATTTTTAAGTCTAAAAATATTAAACGTCTTTTTGTTAGAAGTTTTTCATAATTTAGTGTAGGTATTAATATCAAAATAATTATATAATTAGAACCACGGGCGTGCCAATGAAATACTGAATGCAACAATATATCATTGTAAACAAAACAAAAAAAATGATTCTGAGCGGAACTCGATAAGCAATTTGATTAATATTCAATCACTAAATGATTCATTTGTATTTTTAACGTATTGTATTAATAATATTTGAATTTTCGAAGAAATGTGATGTTTACGCTAAAATAAAAATGTCTCACCAGTAATCCAGTATCTTTTTTCAACATGTTTTAGTAATAACATTTAATTATGATGTATTCAATCTACTTTTTATGCGTTTAATGCGATAATAAAATTCAAATAAATATATTACCCTATAAATACTATACACGCTAATGCAAAACTAAATTATTATTTTACTCGGGATTTAAAAATAATTTTATTGAAAACCTACACTCTATCAAAGGGAATTGCAGTATCATTTTTATTTAAGTAATTATACTGACTTTTCGAAAATTAAGAATTGAAGACACATTTGAGGTTTAAAATAATAAGGTACAATTATTATTTTGTTCGCTTATACTCGTACTTTGATTACTATTAAGTATTATGACACGAACACTAATGTTTATTTAATTTTTTATTCCCATTCTAAACCTCATCACTAGATAATAATATTTCAAACATAATTCTATTTCAAAACGTTGGTATGTGATGACTTTTATACCTACCTACTATTCTCGCGATTACTTTAGTTGACTCAACTCAATTAATCAAAAACTTAGACGAATCCATATTAATTTCAGTGTTGAGAGAGTTAGGTGCATTATTATAGACTTTAGATCTACTGTTAGTAGTAGTAGTAGTTACTAGTAGGTAGTTAGATTATTTAGATTATTACAGATCTTAATCTGTTTATACATTCGAATTAAAATGATTCATAAAATAAAAGTATAATTGTTTCGAAACTAAACAAATTCTTGTAAAATCATTAAATTAATGTAAGTACAGGTGTAGGTATGTACGTGTTTTTTTTTTTAAGACAATTTAAAATAGATTAGGTAATATAATTAATAGTTTATCCGCTAATTCTAAATATAAAAACGTTTGTACATTATTGATATCTACATATAGCCATAAGTCAAATATTTTATGTAATGTTGACGGGTTGTACTATTATTTTTTGGCCTGGTAAAAACTTCTTACAGCACCTTCAAATATAAAATTAAAATTGGTCTTTGAACGCCAATGGTACCTCAAAATTTTATTTTTTTTAGATTTTCTCGTTAGTCTTTTAATTGTACGGAAACACGATCAGAAAATGAAACCCGGGTAAATTACACTAAGTAAGCTACATTTGTTACAACCAATTGCAGCTATTTCATCATAACTAGAAAAATAATTCTACTGGAGTCTTGATGTCATTCGTCAAATAACAAATTTCCCATTTCGAAAAGTTTAATACATTTTCAAAGTTAAATATAAAACATTAAACAATTTTCGAACGCAATGATTTATTGTTAGTTTTAATATAATACCGGGTCTTCCAGATCAGTTTCCCGCTAGCCCTAGGTGTTTTGATATTAATTTTACTAATTATAGTTTATACAGTGATAAACGAGTGTACATAATCATGGTTACATATGCATGCACGATTTATAAGTAGAATATTAATGCTTATTAATATTTAAAGCATTAAATTTGATTTTTTAATGCCTAAGAGAAATCTATAGTTATAACAAATATATGTAATAATTAAGTTAGTACCTATTCAAGAATTTTAAATTGAAAATTATGAAAAAAAAAAATGAAGTACACAATATCGCAATTATAGTATTGTAGTCATTGTGTAAAAGTTATTGAATATTCTTTTTAAAAAAAATTTTTTTTTTCGTTGAAATTTAAAAATAAAATGACTTCAAATGTTAATATTTTTTCCTGGATACTTTGATAGATAAGTAATATTCGCGTATCGTGTTCTTAATAATAAGTTAACCAACTTAAAGTAGTGTGTATAAATCCATTTTAAATGATTTTAGCATTACTATACCGTGTCTATTATTTAGAGGGAGAAGCTTATTTACTCATTTAAATAAAGTATATGATGTACATGGAATTTAATCAAGAATTGGAATTTTATTTCGTTTTAAAATAAGTTTTTAAATTGATTTTTCCCTCTGTATATTTTGCAATTTGTCGGTATAAAGATTGAATATTGAACATGTACGACCTTTAAATATACGTTATTTATATATGATTTTACAAATCGAATATTTGTGCTATCTTTTAAATTCGGAGGGATCTATTTAATTTTACTATGATGTGTATTTTTTTATTTTTTTTTTAAACGACGTTTCAAATGGAAAATTTGTTCCATTTGAAAAATTGAGGACATTTTTATATTTTTCAAAGGGTTTTCGAAGTAACTAAAAAAAAAACAGGAAATAAAATTATATGAAAAACGGCAATTATTTACGGCACACCACGGCATTACGTTTTAAGATACAATTGTAAAGAAAATCTTAATTATAACGCCTTTCAAATAATGTATAAATAACTTCGCTCAGAATCCTGTTTCGTTAGCAACGGTTTATCGTTACTTACAGATATATATATAAAATAACTTTATTTTTCCTTTACTTAATGAAGGTAGAATACCTTCTTAACTTCCCACCGTTAATAGTGACGTACCCATCAGCTCTTGGTTTTGTACGAACTTATGATTGGAACACAATGAAAATACGTCGTGGAAAACTAAGCTCCGCTCAAAATCATGTTTGTAATAATATTATGTACGCATGTTTCATTTCCAAAAGTATAATTAACAAAACTTTTTTACAATGATTGAAGCAAGATAAAAGGTCAACTTTACTAGCTCAAATTTAACATCCGCTAATAACGGGGGGGGCTATAGCCTCTATATTCTCTCTCCTTGTATTCGCCTCTGGCTATGCAAGTAGTTAAAACATTTTAAATATTATAAAATCGTATACAAACTTTTTTTTGTTTTAATAATCATTCAATATTGAAATGTTTTATAACGGAACTTTAATGAATTTTTTCCACGAATACCCATACAATAATATAATACTTACCAGTTTTATGATATAAACAGATATGTATATTATTATACACAATGAGTTTATAGAATAATAATAATAATAATATGTAGAAACATATTATACAAAATTCTTATTGATAATATTATGTAATATGTATATATGTATCGTATATAACTTATCGTAATGAATTAATTCTATATTATTTTATATAATCAAAACAGTACGTCAATTCAAATGAAATTATTATTTAATATAAAGCCGTAATTGAAATGGGGTTTTGAAGGTCCCCCCCCTTCAACATTATTTCCCAGTTAAGGTATTGATATAATATAGGTATGCAAAATTGATCATGCTATTATATTGAAATACCTACTATACTTTATTGTAACGGAAGAAATAAATTATAGGTATAGGTAATTCGCAAATTTTTATATTGCCTAACATTTATTTAAAGGATTTTTAGTATTTTCGAATAGCTTAAAAAATATATGACATTAAAATATATAACCGGCTTTTCCTATTTTACGTTTACCTATTATATTATAATGTAACGTTGTGTTATTCGTCTCCCTGTAAGTCCGCGAAAGTTAAAAAATTAAAATTATATTATCTATTTGAATGTATAATATTATCGTGACTTTCGAAAGCAAATATAAAAAAATGTCGTCTAAGTTTGATATAGAGATATATTTACTAATTTTTTTTTAAAACTTTAGATTCATAACCTATAATACAATTAGGTACCTACTTACATTTTTCTTTTCATTTTTTTATTTTTAAATATTCTTAATTATAAAATATTGTATTCGTGTTTCGTATATAAATCCTAATGTTTATCTATGTACTATCTATGGTCCCAGAGAAGAAGGGCTTGAGTGAATTTTGGGCGATTTTTTTTTCTAATTTTTTATTATATAATTGTTTTTCACGTTTTTTTTTTTTTTTTTTTTTTATATCCTAAAGACATTTGTGTAAGTATTTTAATAATTTAATTTGCTCGTATATTGAACACTTTATACAAAATAGATATTATAGTAAAGTCCTTCTTCCCCGGGACCGAATATATTAAGATGTATTATTTGTAAATTAATCAACTACCTATTAAACTTGGTGTAACAATAGAATTTGTATTATTAATAATAATCGTAGGTATAATATATTATAATATAAATAGTTGTCTTACCTGTAATATTATTGCGATGACAGCGGAGTCCCTGCGGCTACGGTTATCGGCCACTACCAGATCAGCTTATACGGGGATATCGAGAGAGCGCTTTAAGATATATACTTCGCGGATACAATGGGTGGCGCTTTATTTCTTTTGCAACAAGTAGGCGTGACGTATCACACGCATTGGCGTTTAATTTTTATTGCAATGCACACACAATATCACACACACACACACACACACACACTTGTATATTATGTTTTAATAAAAAAAAATAGCACCATATATATACATATGTATATGGTAATATTGTTTTTATACCCTAGGTGTACTTGGTGCTATGTATATTATGATTATTACTATTTTTTTCTTTTTTAACGTGATACTTTCGTATATTATACCGTTTTATGGATACCTACCTACGACATTCGTACTCCATTAAACCGTACTGAAAAACGTATAATAAAATATTGTGATGCATACACGGACTATTAATTTTGATGTTATATCCGTTTGAAATGTGTCGGAATTATTTTGGTCCGCAAAACAGGACAATTTGCGACGTTTTTTTGATACTTTAAAGAAATTATAAAATCATAAAAAGAAATTAATAAATCAATAAACATTTTTTATTTTTTTAAATTTACTATAGAAATTACAAATCACAACTACATATATGATAATTCATTGACAGTTACACTAACGTTCTTTTATTTTTTTATTTTATGTTATTATCAGACTCGTCTCTAGAACGGTAATTTGAGTTTGATGATACAGCCGTTGGATGCTTCCAACTGTTTCCTCGACGTCCTCTTGTTACCCAGAAATAGTCATCGTCTTCTTCAGATCTTCTGTCCATTGTTAGCCACGCTGGTTCGTCGACGTAAAGTGGCTTTTCTAAATGTCCTTAAACACAAAATATTATTAATAAGACAATGATTTAAAAAAAAAAAGAGCTGATACTGGGAATGGGAGCGTCCACTGTTGTAGGTGAGAAACTGGGAAGGTAGGATACATAAGATTATTTCATTTATATCTGTAAGCAACGATAAATCATTGCTTGACGAAAGACTATTCCGAGAGCAGTTCGGTAATACATAATTTGAAGTGCCATAATTTTTTTTGCTATTTTCGTTTATATTTGATTTCAAAACGATTATAAAAAAAAAAAAGTCGTCCCATGGTTTTGGAAATTTTATCCCGTATACTAGGCAAGTCCAATATAAATATTATTACCAAGTTTCGAGTCTCTAAGTGTATTTATAACCGAATTACATCGAAAAAGATCCCAAAAATTAAAATTCCTTAAAAATTCAAAAGTGGCTCAAAAGTTTTGTAAATGATACCGTAAGAAATTAAATCAATAAAGCAACAAAAAAGATGTCTTGTGATTTTTCGATTTAATCATTTTTTCTGATAGAAAACGTCGTCCATGTTTTTATAAAGTAATGAAATCGTGAAATTGTACGTTTTCTTCCTACGATTTTTCCCTCTTAAGTGCTTTTATTAAAAAAATGGCATCAAAAATCAAAAAATGACCTATTTAAAGTACAATTTAGACAACTTGAGCTTTCAGAAAAGTTGCTACACGTAAAATCGTAGCTAGTTTACTAGGAAAAAACATGTCCACAGACTAGAACAAAGAAAAAAAGGAAATAAACAATATTGTAAAACCAAAATCATATCCCCCCTCCATACTCTCCAACTTTTCCTAAACCTATTAATTATTATTTTCCAGATAAATGCTAATTAATTATATTATGTTTTTAATAAAAATAATAGATAATTTAATTCAAAATCTCTCCCGAAAATTTAGTCCAGCAACGGTCTTGCAATTGACACCCTTCATAAGGTTATAATACTAGACCTAGCATTTGTGCTATTGTGAGTGAATCAAAATAAGTATTTTAAAGATATTATAATATATCTAACAAATAGTGTTTAATAAAAGTTCAAAGTATTTAAATTATATGCATGTATACAAATATTATTTGAAATCCATCTAAAACAGTGTTTCTCAACCAGTGGTCCGTGAGCCTGTTATAGATGGTCCTTGGTCCCATAGATTTTATCTTATTTTTTTTTGCTTGTCCATTTAAAAAAAAAAAATTAGAAAAAATATAGTATCCATTGTGTTTATCCATTTTTTAAAATGTTTATTAAAGTAATGAATAATATTATTATCATTATTACTGCCGACGATCGATTAGTGTGTTTCAACTTTTATAAGTGTGTAGTTTGATTAAAGTTTTTATTAATTACCATTCAATAGCGATTTATTAAATATCATTATTGCAACCGATAATTGTTTACCGATAGCATAGTTTCTTAAATATTTAGCTACGAGATTAATTAAATTTTTACGAATTTTTACTGAGAGTATACAACTCCAATTGGATTAGCTTTCTTAACGATTCATTTTCTTATGAACTGATGTACAAATATTTACAATACAATATTTTGTATATTTTGTTATTTTATTTTTACATTATTTTTATTTTATACAATATTTTGGCCTATTGTGTAGTATTTTGGATAATATATTATTTTATTTTGTAATAAACCACACCTAATATCAATATAAACATATGAATTGCAGACTAAATTAATCTTAAGGATGGATACTATGTTCCTAAATTTTGTTCGACTATTTTACATTTATGTAAGTTCACATGTTGGTAATTTTATATATATTTTTAGGTTGGTGTACTTGTTTAAAATTATTATGTTTAACAAATACATTTTAGTTGTACGTGTATAAAATGTTATTAGTGAAAAAGAAATTGTTTCCATTATTTACAATTTTGTTTCTCCTGAACAATTTTAAAAAGTGAACTTATCTGGTTGTTACAGGGAGCCCTTCAATTAAGGTGGTCCACGACCTATTCAAAATTATCAAAACGGTCCGTGGTTGTAAAAAGGTTGGGAAACACTGATCTAAAACAAATATTTGTATATATTATACGTGTTTTGAAAGGTCGTAATATTTACGATTCGAAAATAATATATTTCGTAAATTTTCCGGTTTTTCTTACGTTTTTTCTCATTTATTATGAAAACCCCTTTAAAAATTTAAAAAATAACCAAACTTTAAAGTACCACCCCTCCTTTCAGAAAAAGTGGTCAGTTGAAAATCGGAGCAAAATTTCTGATAGAAAAAAAAATAATTACTGTAAAACTAATACATTCCTAGCTTCGCTTAGAATCTAAAATTATGAAGTACCTAAATATATCGTATATTCGTATATATACAGTAATGTTAAAAATAAACATTTTAATACAAATTAATTATATTTTTAGATTTTAAATAGAGAGATGTGCGATTTTTTTTTTTTTTGTTATCGAAAAATCTTTCTGGACAGTAAAAAAAACAGTTTTAAAGATAAATGCATTATCACCACTCATTGACTACTGTTGCCTGGTAGTACTATTTTAAGATAGGTAATTTTTAAGGTTCCTTGGCCGAAATGGCAAAAATGAAATTATTATAATTTCGTTGTGTCCGTCCGACTACCTGCATTTTAGAGAATAATAATTCTGCTGTTTTTTTACCAATTTTGTTGAAATTAAATGAAGTTTTATGAATACAATCGGGTAGTTGAAAAATTAAAAAGACTGCTTTTATAATTATTCCACTGTTTTCTAGGGAGGATATAAAGAGTAATTTAATTTATGTCTGTAATCAACGATAATTGCTAATGAAAAACTATTCTGAGCATAATATTATTAGTAGTATGTTTCTCCTTATTGCCAGGATAACTCGGAAATCAAAAAAAAAAAAAAAAAAAGTACAGAAAAATGCCAGTGTTTCTTATTTATTATGAAAACGCATTATTGTAAAACGAATACATTTCTCGCTTCACTCAGAATCTAAAAAATAATTTAAGGATAACTGAGAGTGAAAGTTTAATTTTCATATATCTTGTCCTGTGGGGTGTTTTTGGAAGGGTTTTTATGAGATATTTGTTTTTTATAAATAAATATTTCGTAACATACAAGCTCGTTTAATCAATAATACGTCATCCTCTCTAACTACTCTGCTATGTGATTAAAAATTCTGAACATATTCAAGAAAGTAAACACTTAATAAATATTCTAACGAAAATAATTTGTTAAGACTAATATTTTATTTAGAAAAATAACCTGAGATGATTTGCCGTTGGTGTTGGTTTAAATATTTAAAATAATTATATATAATATACTCGTTTTAATAAGGTAGGTATAGTTTATGCTATTTAAACTTATTCACTTTATATTATTCGTGATAACGTATAAAGTTATCTAAATTTTGAATTACTGTTGTATTAAAAATACTTTTCTTATCATAAGCATTCGATTAATTTCAAATTTACTATATTTTTTTTTTCAATATTTTCATCACATAAGACATAATTATATGCTGTAGTAAAATTCGTTAGAAATTAATGTAGGTATGCATTATTTCATACCGTTTACAGTGTTCGTGTTATATTTTCTCGCTAAGTATTGTTTAATTTTGGTTTCTGGGCTGTTCCTTCGACCACGTGAAGGCCAAAAATTCGGATCCTCGTTAGTACCCAAAACTGCACTGATGTCTGCCCTTGATATTCTGGTGTCTCCATTGACAAGCTGCAAATTATAAAAGTTACGAACTTAAATATTTTCTACCAAAATGTTAAGTACATAATATGTATAATGTAATATATTATATATACAATATACATATTAAAGGGACATTCTTGGTGTCACATTTATGTAAGATTCAATAATACGTTCTACCCCGATTCTTGTTTTACAAACATGAGGGTCGTTTTTCACTTCATAGTTCATACAGGTATATATTTTTTCACGTTATAAAGGTACATATGTATGTATATATATTTACAACTCTTCCAAATTCCAAGATTTTCTGCATTAGAAGAAGTATTATATTATAAAAAATACTTCTCGGAGAAAAAAAGCATGCGAGGTACTCAGTTCTCTATTGAAGTTCTGTAGTAGAGTTTCAAAAGTGTTTGCAGTATACAATGTATAATTGGTAATAGATATTATATTTATATTTTATATAATTTCAAAACTATAATGGTTATGAAATTAATAAATCCAATAATAAATTAAATTATTCCATAATACATATTTTAACATAGTTTTAATTTTGATACAATTTTATAAACTGCACGATTTAATTAAACATTTAAAATGTATGTTATTACTGCTGTTTTATGATTATCTTTACAAATAATTTTTTTTCATAAAATAGTAGATACATGTTTTCCCTTTAAAAGTCATACATTTTTAATTTTTGGAAAAATCGATAAAAAATCATATTATTAACCAACTTTAGATGGTGTAGGTATCTCAGGTAATTTTTGAAGTATAAAAAAGTATAAAAAAAAATGTATTGATCGTATTTGATTGAAAAAAAAGTAGAACTATTCAAGTCTAGTGTCGAAAATAAGTGCTGCTAATCAGAAAAAAAGTAATTTGTATCGCACAGAAGTTAGGATTGAAAAATTTTAATTTATCATAAGAGCGTATTTTAGTACCCCTTACTATCTTCCAAAAACAGAATTCAAATTCAAGATCATCCGGCCGAAATATTTAATATTACCCGGAAATGCGAACACGCTGTATATTATGCTATTAACCCTAACAAAGTATAATTTTCATAATACGAATTAAAACTTTTGTTCATATTGTTATTTTTATTTAGTATTTGTTTTTTTTAATCAAAGTCGTGTCGAATTATTTATTTATGTCTAATTGATAATATATTGAACACTACATAAGCATAATATACAATAAAATCGTGAATATACCTGTATAAAATAGGCGACTCCTATCAGGTATAACTTCGTCCTGGCGTCCGTTAGCTCCATGGCGTCCAGTTGCGAATGTCTTTCTTCGCTAAACTCGCCACGTTTATATATAGACCATAAATCCTTATTACGTTTTTGGGTGTGTGTACGCTGCGGCACAATGTGTACCAATATACGTATAGTTCCTTTAGTTCCGGACACACCGGGTGATCGCGATGATTAACTCTGGGATCGGTACCGATTCCCATTTTAATCTTGTTCGAGGCAAAAGGGATTCACCGCACCCTCGGGTTATTATATTACATGGCCCGATCCCCCGTATCGTCACCCCTTCGGTTCATATTATACTTATATAGATATGTATATAGACCAAAGGGTCCGTGAGGCTTAGGTGTATATATATATATATATATATATACGGGACAAAGCAATACGACACGTTATTTTATTATTATGTGACCAAAGAAAATGAAAAAGAAAAAAAACACCGTCGTATCACCACTATTATTATTATATTTGTTTTCTGGTGGAATAACCTATTTTTCTTCCGTATATACGTTTAGGTGTCCTCCGGGGAACTTTTTCCGCTTGCGGTGTTTGTCATCAACGTGTCACAATGGTGAGTATAATTTACGAAACAATACTTCGTGTATATACTTGTAATTAATCTAACCTCGTTGTTAATCGCTGTCAGACACATTTCTAGTAGATTATATTATGGACGCTTAAGCGCATCCGAACACTATATAAGTCGGGATAATTTAACACGACCTACTTATTATAATGGGCATTATTGTTATGATATTATGTTTTGTGTACAGAAATTCAAATTTTGCGGTGGTGGTGACTGCCCAGAATGGCTATTGGCTGAGATCAATTCACTCTCGAGAATGGTAAGAATATTTAAAAAAAAAAAATATCACCCCGCCGTACATTTAACTGGTACATAGGTATGATAAAGTAAAATGTTAATGTTGGAATTTTTCTTTGCCACCCATCTACTATTTCAAAGTAAAAATTGCAAGCCTATTTAATACTTCCTAAGAAAATCATAATCATCTGCACTAATGAGTTAAAGTTTTACTTTCAAAATACATCTGATTTTTTTCATTGGTTAAGTAGAGAAAACTCCGTGGGAAATTACATTTACAGAAAAATTGAAGGACCCATGTACTAACTAACTAAACATGTACTAACTAAACCCAACCAATCTTTCAGAAAACTCATGGAGTCAAAACTTTCAAAATGTTTTTCTCTCGCACATATTTGTATTTGTAAAAAATGTATAATGTCTAAAAATAAACTTTCCGCCTCCAAAAAAAAAAAAATTATCCTACACATCTGACTGCCTGATAAAAAAAATTGACCAATATTAAAAAAATGTACGTTAAATTGAGTTTTTAATATTTCATCAAAAATACAAAATAAAACAATCATATCTTATTATACATTTAAAGTTTAATAATGCTAAACTAATAGTTATGTGTATATAAAACATTCTCTTTAAATTTAAATTTATAGAACAAAATTTAAAAAAAAAAATCAATCACTCATTTTGCTGGTTAATCTAAACAGTGATAATAAAAAATTATTCTTAGAAAAAGATGCTACACTTAGAAATCGGAACAAAATTACTGGTAGAAAATTTGTTCACAAATAAAAAAAAAGAAATAAACACTGTAAAACCTAAACATAATAAAATAATACTATTATTTTCATTTAAAAACAATTTTGATACATTTTATTGGCATCTTGTTAATTCAATACTATTTTAAATAATATGTAGGTACTTAAGGTATGTAAGCACACTTCAGTGATATTAACTCAATTATCTCCTTGGGCTTTGAAAATTTAAACTAAAGGTGAAGAGTAGTTTTACTTTAAATAAGAAGGAATAGTCCGTCCCCCTCCTCACCACTTAACCATTTCTTAAAAAAATTATACAAGTATAAAATAACGGTTTTTATTTCACAAAATGGATAAAATATATGTCACATTACATAATTAAACCATTATGATTTAAATTCTTGAAATGAACCTATCCATTTTTATGAAAAACTCGTTCACCACATTGATGTAGCATGTATATATATACCTTTTTATAATATGTCGGTTTTCAAATATTAGAAAGTAATTTTCAAATTAGAGATTAATATGATTTTAAATTCACCTTTTTAATTTTTTGTTATAATGTTCAAAATATGTGTAATTGTTATAGAAATAATATTGAAATTTTATATAAATTTCCAGACATCAATTAAAATGCACCTTTTAGCCACAGAATGCAGTATTTGTTTAATAGATCAAGATGCAACCAATGTAAGTTTAAAATTGTATATTAAATTCACTATCTATGTTATTGTGTCGTTTTTATTTATTAATATTATTGCAGTTGTGTAATTTTTTTAGCCACCTATAATGTTTTATATTATAAAAACTTGTTAACATATTTAAAAAAAATACAATTAACTAATTCAAAGGAACTCGTTAATCTTAATTGTTCTATTATTTATGGTGGTTGCCACCAAACTTTTTTTTTATTTTTTGTTATATTTTCCCTTACAAAAAAAAAAAAAAAAATTATAATCTATTGGGATTTGAAAACAAGCTATTATTTTTCATTATTATACATTTATTAATTTTTATATTTTTGTTTTTAAAACAGTTATTTTTTATTGTTACAAAGAATTCTGGCCCCTTTTATTCTTTATACCTTTTTAAGAGAAATTCGCTAAACATTACAGATAACATCATTTATGTTTGCGTAATGGACCACATATAAGTACATCTAACTTTGGTCCAATGTTTCAAAAAGACCTTAATAAATCTGATTATGTCTTTAGCGGACATTCTTTAATGGAATAATAGCGTTAAATTATTATATATAAGATGACGTCGTTGGTTAGAAAGACCTCTTTCTTTACTATAATAATATAGAATTGATAATATTTCATTTTTGCTTGATGATGATGTCTTTTTTGAAAAAAACAAATAATAGTAGTTTTCTTAAGTAGCTTAATGTTAAACAACTTACACGTATTGCAATAGATCACTGCACTTTTCACTGCTCCCATTTATGACCCCAGAATTTGATATATCGTTAAGAAAACCTATTATGTGAGAGATGATAATACAATGCTGAATAATTAATGACAGCTTTTGTTTTCTAGCTTGATAAAGTTAAGGCGCTTATGGCTGATGTTAAACTGGGTAAGTCAAATTGTTTTTCTTAGAATAATTCTATATGAAATAGTTTGTTAGTTTAAGAATATTGGATGTTGGGATTATTATAAAATCGGTAGGTATACATGTACTATAAAACCTTCAACATATCGAGAAAAAAAAATATGAAATAAACCAATTAATAAAATAAAAGTAGTATTATTTACTGTATAACTGTTTACCAACCTATAGAGCATATATATTTGTTTACTTATATACTTTTATATTTAAGTTAATAATTTTATTACTGGTGCCCATGTACATTTTTCAGGAGAGGGGAGTTAAATTTTAAAATATAAATTGTTTTTCTATAAATCATAATGTAAAATTTAAACTATAAGGGGTTACTTATGGTTAAAATTTCAGGTTGATTAAAATACCATTCATTTTTAATAGCTACTGTCAAGTACATTGAAAATTGTATATGCTGTTCATTTATTTGTGATGTATAATATATTATTTTATATTTTTAAAAATATGGCATTCTAATATATGACTTTCTAATATATTTCATTACACAATTATATTCATAAATTTACTCATATATAAATATAGCATTATACATTAAGTATATTAACTACTATAAATTGAATTTGGACAGAAAATCTTATAAAGGAATCTGTGTGTCTTCATCATAAATTAATATAATGGAATTTATTTTCCTTTTTCCTGAATTTATCTAAAACAAAATGTTAAATCAATTTTTATGTGTATACTTTTTTTTAAATATATAAATAAGTAAATATTTACTGAAAACTAATACATATTAAAATTTTGGTACAGCAGACCTAAAATGTAGGTATTTTATTGAATTTCTCACCGTATTAATGTAATTTTACAAATATCAACATGTCCTTTGATGATCCCATTAACTGACCACTGATTAGTAACTATAACTATACAAACTCATTTGGGTGCTTTTTCTCTCTTCGCCATTAATTAATTTCTATATTTTGTAGTATAACTTTATAGGGTTGTATTACATCATACACCTGCAACACTGTGACATACATTATAATAATATAATATACTCGTATAATACCTATATAATTAAGTATGCAGAAACACTATACAATATCTGCTGTGTCAGTGGTCCCTGTATTATAATAACAGATGGGACATTTATAATAATATAAAATACATATTTTTCTATTTTGTAAATCATTTTTACTTTGTTATTAAAAAATGTATAGATGTGTAATTAATTGTCATTATTTATGTAAATATAAAATTATTATATAATAATTTTTTTTTTTAATTCAAAATAAACTTCCTTAATTAATAAATGCTTTATTTATATTTATTAATAAAATAATAAAGTAAAAACGAAATTTATAAATAATATTTGTAAATAAATAAAGTAAATAAATGAATCAATGCCTTGTCTGAAGTATTATAAGTGTATTATAAGACCAGTTTTGAATTAAAAATTGATCATCAGGTATATCACAGTCAAAATGTAAAACGGGACCGAATATAAAAATTAAATGAAGAAGATTACATAGAAAAAAAAATTATACAAATTAATCGTTTTACATAGAATATAAAAATAATTCATTTTAATAGGAGAGATTATTTAAAACTAGTTATTATTAGAAAATAGATTTGGTTATTATTTATTATCTAAAATATATTGATGTAAGATATTTTTTTTAAAATTGATTTGAACATTTAAAATATTATTAAAATTATTTTATTTTTTTTTGTTGTGCATGTGTAATTCTTTTATTTATTGTATTTTAAATTGTAATGTTATAAAATCACTATTATAGTTTAGATACTACTTACTTAGATTTTATCACTTATATTTCCTAATTGTTCACTTATTCCATCATTGATTTACTCATACTTTAAACTAATTTACTCTCTTTAATTAGATGTTACAAATTACAAAGCTTGTGCAGCCGCAATCACATTTATTTTGAAAAAAGCAGCATGCCACAATGTTCCTCGTGATCATCTCAATAATGAGTTACAACAAGTATGAAATAATTTTATTAATTCATAAATATCATAGTCAATTGATTGTATTTCATACAAATTTCTCAATATTGGTACTATTTCATTGGAAAATATAAGATGTGTAATAATATTCAGTGGTATTAAAATGTTAAAATACATATTTAAATGTATTTTTTCTTTTATGCTTAACATACTGATCACTTTTAAAAACATTTTACAACTTTTCCTTACAACATTGACCTAGAATCATTGCAATATTACTAAATGCTATTGTTTTTTAGATTCTGAGCGCATTATGAAGCGATGAATGTATTAGTTTTACTATTATTTTCAATTTTTTTTTTTTTTTTTTTTTTTTTTCCAGTTAAAAATATTTGTAGAGTTAACATTTGGACAAAAAAGTTATTTTTGTCTTTTTAAAATTACAATTTTCAAAACCTTTGAGCTATTTTTAAAATACAAACATTTTAATTTTGAGGTTTTTACATAATTTTTATTCAGTATGTACTCTGTGGATAAAATTGTTAGATCAAACAGAAATGCTTTAACATTTAACAGAAGATTCAATATAAGTCATAATTTGTGGTAAAAAAAAAAAAAAAATTGAGTTTAATGTAGAATTTTTATACAAATTTAAATGATAATTGTAAATATTACATCCTTTCAAAACATGTATAACCAAAATCGTTTTTGTTAACAATGATTAATTATAGCAAACAGATTTAAATTAAATTCCCTTCTATATCTCACCCACAACAGCGGCCCACTTATTGTGCTAAAAATGTTAGTCTTTTTTTTTAATTTTACTTATTGGCTTTAAGATAAAAATATAATTTCTTGTAATAATATAAAGTAATGTATACCTTTTTGTCTAATTCATTTTTTAAATGTTTACCATTTTTAGATTGGGTTGCCCCGTGAACATGCTTCTGTCTTGTGTCAAGTATATTCAAAGAACATAGATCTCATTAGTACAGAATTAAGAAATGAATCGTTAAGAATTGGCCAGTTGAATGACGTTGACATATCCAAAGATGGTGATGGCGAATATTTAATAAAATTCAAGATGGTGAATACACCTAAACGGTTTGGAAAAGAGAAAGAAGACTCGTTTTTGCTGACCAAAGAACAAATTCAAATTTTAATTGCTGGTATGTTAAACAACATTTTTAATGTATGCATTTTAAAAGTAACTGATATTAATATGAACATATGAGATAAATTAAAAGAATATTATTGGTACTTTATCTTTTGAAAATTGTTTGCCATTTTAATGGAAACTGTTATCAATATTTTAGGTAGTCGTCTGTATATATTTTATGAAGTATAATAAAATTTTGATTTTGAAAATATCTAATAATCTGGAAATGAATCAACATTTCATAAATATGTGGGACTCATCAATAACATTTATAAAATGTCAATATAAGTTTTGTCTCTTAAAGAATATTAAAAAAAAAATCATTAGGTTACCATGCAACAGTAATCTATCATCATCTGAAAAAAAATTTGTTTTTATTTTTTGCATAATATCAAGATTTAGGAATTAAAATTTTATATAGGTAGTCTCAATTTTTTATACATATTCTTTTGGAATGCTTAATTTGCCAATTTTATTTCCTATCTCATCTCTACTTATGATATATGTTAATTATACTTGATATGAGGAAAACAAGCCTTATCATTTTTTTTATTGTGCACAATTAAGATATGCAAAACGCAACAATATTTTTCGATTTCTGAGATTCGATCAAAATTATATTAAGAATAAGAATAATGATTTACTTTTTGCATAATAGATTAAAATACAATTTATTTCACATTCTTATTGCAATTTTTTAATTTTTAATATCTCTATATGGAGTATTGTATTTGTATTAAATATATATGTTAAATTCAGGCTTATTTTCATTGAATAGAACTTGATATGATATGTTTCAAGAATGAATATTATTAAAAAAATGGCATCTCTGAATATCATATTATATAGGCTCCCAAGTGAATTAAAATGTTCACCAAAAAGACCCTACTTTATTATGTAATATTATAGAATGCTCTACCTGAAAAATAATATCACAATATTTTTAATAATCTATTCCCTCTAGATCTAGTTAAGGTGTTGACAAGGCGCATTGTCATACTTAAATTGTAAAGCAAAAAAAAAAAAAAATGATCAGTCAGTCAAACAAAAATTGACCTATGAACCATATTCCTTTATTATTTTTAGACCAAACAGTTATACGATAATAATGCACTATATTTTTATATTTTCAATAAAGATCTATACTTTATATTTTGTAAAAAATTGTCTATATAATTGAAAAAATTTAAATGTTAGTACTGGATACTTGACATGTATGTAACTAAAGCAGATATACCTATTGTGCTATATATTTAAAAACAATATATTTCAAGAATTGTTCTAAGCTTGATATTTTTAAAATTTGTTTTCTACTTTTTCACAACTTCATAGAAAATGCTATTAAACTGAAAAGATAAACGGTGTATCGGTTTATGACAAATGCACTGAAAATGTCACCATTTTTTATTATATTTTTCCCCTTTTAAAAACTATTATAATTTTTGTAGTTTATATTGTTTAAACAATATCCTATATCCAATTTTATGTCTATCACATGCTCGTAAAACTAAAGAATTTTATAATTCAAAATTTTTTTTTTCTTTGATAAACCATATTATAAATTATTATGAATTTGAATGATAGCTATTTATATTTAACACCATCATTTTCAGTCTTAACAATTTATTATTATTTATTTATTACATATATTTTCTGTCCTTATTTTAATCTCATATATATCTATATTAGGTTATAGTTCAACAATTTCATTATCTCATATGTTCGTGTATAATGAATAAAATATTAGACTTAAAGCTCTTGATACATTTCAACAAAGGTACAGTTACAATGTTCACAAAGTTATAACTATATTCTTGACAGATTATAATGATGAAAGACCAAGTTAATCTAGTTACATTACTCTAAAACAATGGAACAATTTTTTATCATAGTTTCTATTTAATATTCTGAAATAAGACATCATTTCAACAGCGATCAATATTATCATAACAGCAGTATAATATCTACTCGGCTTTATCTAATCTAAATGTATAGTTTTGCATAATGGCAACAATCTGTTCAAAATGCTACATTTATCAATGTATTGTGTCAACTAAAAATATCATAGGTACCTAGTAAAGACCTGCAAGGTCGCCGGGTCTACTCGGCCTGGTACTCTAAAAGCCCGGCCCGTAATAATTTCGACCGGCCCAGTGCCTTAGAAACATAAAACCGGTCCGTGCCTGGACTATTTTTTATTCAATTTTTTGGTCCAGATCGGACTGAGCTTAAAAAAATAACTTTGGACCGGGTCTGGGTTTTTATTTTACGTCGAAATTTTTAGACTAGATCGTACTGAGCGTAAAATAAATGTTATCGGACTGGACTAGGCTTTTAAAGTCATGGAATTTTATGAAGAGCCAGATCTGAATTTTTTTTTTTTTTTGGTTTGGTGTTTCAAAATGTATTATGCAATATACTATCGAGTATGTAGTATCTAATTTAGGAATATACTTATAACGTAATAAATTTTAAGTTTAATAATAAATCAATGAAAAAAATTAGGTACTAAATCAACACTTTTTAAGAGATTAGCATTATCATCGAACTGGGCCTGGGCTTTATTTAACAGAATATTTTGCACCGGGCTGGACCGGTCTAAAAAATGTCATCAGACCAGATATCCTCGGTCCGGACCGGGTTTTTTAAAAAGTGTAGCATTATTTGTGGGTCGGGCTTGTGCCTTTTTTTTTCGACCGAACCGGGCCGAAAATTGATGGCCCTTGTAGATCTATAGTACCTAGATATTAGATATCAATTTTTAGATTCTGAATGAAGCAATGCATTTATTTTATTATAATAAGGTTTTACTTTCATATTTATGAGAGTAGACCAATTTTATGACACTATAAAATTCTATATTATTATACTTGAAAATAGGATAGGAAAGTATAAAATAATTATATGTGTTATATTTATGTAATCTCTAAAATAATCTATTACAAAAAGTCATTGGACACTTATAAAATATTTAGATTCGACTTCATAACCTCACAAAAAATTATTGAAAACATATGAAAGAAAAAGAATAAACTTAATAAAAATGTGTACCTAAGTTTATGGTTCTGTGTACCTATATAGTTATAAGTATACAGAAATTGAGATTTAATCATATACTCAGTATTTCAAGAGTATTAAGTTTCAAACGGATCAGAAATTCAGAAGTATTAAATAAGTAGTACATATATAATATATAGGTATTATAACGGGCATAGTAATATAATAAAAATTTAAGACACCCACATAAATATAAGTTTAAAATACATTTTTTCGAAACTTGAGTATACTTTATTATTGTAGTTTCTAAAAGAGAATCAAAACAAGCTAAATTTTATAATATCACAATAGTTTTAGATTCCGTGCGAAATGAGAAATGTATTGTATTCAGTGGCGGATTTATAAGGGGGTTTCGATAAAATATTAAACAAAAAAAGAGGCATCTATTATTAATAGATACTTTTTAAATACATATGATTTTATAGGACCACTCTATAGTGGTCACTCCCCGAAAAATGTTGAAAATCTGCTACTGATTGTATTTATTATGATGTGTGCTATTAGATTCAGAGCATAGAAAGAGATCTAGGGTTTTACTATAATATGGTTTTTTTTTGTCTGAACAACTTTTCTACAAGAAATCTTGTCCCGAAGTATCAAATGTAGCACGTTTTCTAAAAGGAAATTCTCTTTAATTGGTGTATTGGCAGGTCATATTTTGATTTTCTAATGGGTTTTCAAAATAATTAGCAAAAACCGGAAAATTATAGGTAAAACGGTAAATATTTACAGTACTCCAACATTACCAATTTCATTGATTTTAATTTTTGGAAACTATATTTTCTATCAGAAACATTGCTTCAATCGAAAACTGACTATTGTTCGATTTTGTTCCTTTTAACTCATAGTCATTAACAGAGAAAATCGTTTTTTGATATCTATAGTATTTTTCATAATAATTAGTAACACCCAAAAATGATGAAATAAACAATTTTTTTCAAATAACAGCACGATTTCATTATTTTAAATGTTCACACTTATGTTTTCTACTATAAATATTGCTCCAATAGATATACAAAAAGAGATTATTTTTGTTGCATTTTTAATCTAGTTGTTCGGTTTTTGATTTTCTTTGTTTTAATAAATGAGCAAAAGTTTAATGTATATAGTATTTTTTTTTCTTTGTAAGAGTTTTAAAATCAAATTATGATGAAAATCGTAAATATGACCTTTTAAAACATGTATATATGCTTCGCTCCGAATCGTTTTTCATTAATGGTTTATCATTGGTTTCAGGTATAAGTTAAATCACTTTATGTATCACATCTATAGGTATAGGTAGGTAAAGAAGGTATAATGGTAGGTAGAAAATAGTACGTGTTGGAAATTATTTACATAACAATCCCTAATGTGTATATAAACTTTATGCTTATTATAATCGCTATATCCACATATTATATTTCATTTAAATGTGAAAACATTATACCTACACAGTCCAATTGACAATTTGTTAAAACGTATTCAATTCAGAATCAGTGAACTTTGGACACTACATTCTTGATGTTAATCTCATTCTGCATACCTATATTAACATTGTTTTTGTCGGAGGTGTCGTGTTTCTCCCAAATTCTTTAACTACATCCACATTTAATTTGTGTACGTAGACGTAAAATTCGACTAAATATTTGTTTTTCCTTTGAATTTAAGGTACTTACATTCTATAGTGTTCAACAATAAATTATCAAATATATGTAGGTATCGATTTCAAAAGATGCACATTAAAAATGTCATTCAATTATTCTAATATATGACCTATAATATAATCTGCATATCATTTTCAAAATTTCAATAAATTGATTTACATTAATTTTTTATAAAAAAAAAAAAAAAAAAATATTAGGATTAAGTAATGAATACAAAACAATTGCATCAATATTCCAATATTGATAATACCTAAAATTAAGAGAGTTTTTAATATCGGTGCATAGTCACTAGTCATCCAAGAACATATTTATAGATTTGCATCGCCCAAAAAAAAAAGAAAGAAATGAACACACTTCGCACGATATGTAAGCCAATGTTGTGTTTGAGAAGTTTAGAAGATTGGATATAGAAAGTAATTCAATTTTTATTTGTACACAACGGTAAACCATTGCTAACGAAAAACAATTCGAATCGAAATTTCTTTTATACATGCATATAGATCTTCCCATTTTTTCTATATTTTTCCCAATTATTATGAAAACCCCTTAAAAAATCAAAAAATGACTTCCCTAAAGTACCACCCAGATAAATTTCCTTTCAAAAAGCTACTAAACTAGAAAATCAAGACAAGATTTTTGGTAAAAAATTTGTTCATAGATAAAAATAAACATCATTAATCTAAAATAATTTGAATAGGTACCCAATTGTCTTTTACACTTTTAAATGTTTTATTCATAATTAACTCAATGTCCAAATTATTTATATACAGTATTAAGATAAATACATTCATTTTGTAACACAATGTAAACTTAAAAACTTTTAATACCTAGTTCTCTTAAGGATAAAAAACAAAATTTATTGGCCACGGTGATAATAATAAGCAAAATTATTTATCACTATTTTCTATATCTATACTCATAAACTTGTCGGTAGATATTAAAAAAAAAAAGAAGAAAACACTGTTTAAAAGTTTTCTTTATTGAAACGATGCAACCGTGATAATAATATTTTATCGCAAGTGATTCAAAAATTCACAAAACAACCAATCTGAAGAAAAAAAAGAGCAAATACTGGGAACGAATTTGGCCACCGTTGTGGGAAGTGGGAGGAAGGTGGGATACATAAAGTTGTTTAACTAATACTTGTAACCAACGATAAACCATTAATGACAAAAAAACATTATTTTATCTATCACATACTGGACTACCAACAGTAATACAAAGTAAAAAAACATTTTAAAAATGTATTTATTAGAGCTAAAACAGGACCAACTTTTGTTAAATACAACTAAATGTAATTTTTGTTAAGTTATAGAATATGCTAATAAAAAATCAAAGTTTTTAATAACAAACTTTTCAGTATGGCTTCTAAATTTGTACTTAATAGTTAACAATTATAGGTATTAATTATTGTGTGGAGAAAATCTGTTAATATTATAAAGTAAGAAATCAATTTTTAAATATATATAATATTAGTTTTAATTTAAGCGTAAGATGCAAATAATATAAATTATACATACAAAATTGTATTTACATTTTTTTGGAATGTTATAAAATAATTTCTCTATTCAAACTTATATTATAATTACAATCAGTCTCTAATACTACATTTATACACATTAAATTATTGTCCGTTTCAATATAAATTACATATTAAATAATTTTTGTTCTTTTCAGAATTCAGTGATGCACACAAACGAATGATTGAACTAGCACAAGAGTGTAAAGAATAATTTAATTTATAAATTACTACACTAGAATTTTGTAAGTACAATTATAACAATAATTATTGTCAACCTTTTCATAAATTGATTTTAATAAAAAATTACGATAACATTTTAATCAACAAATAAAGTTTACATAATTATTTATATACATAGATAATAAATAAATTATTAACTAACTGTAATGTTTAATTATTAAATATAAATTATTTCAAACAAATTAAATCGGTATAAAAGTTAAATTAATAGTTAAAGCATTTATGGATGTTATAATATATAAAATCCATAAAACATGAACTTGTATTTAGTATATTTGTACTGATACATATATTTTTGCTTCATTAATTAATATTTAATAATTTGTGGATTTCGGATTTTACATATTATTTGATTATAAATAAAGTAATATTTAGCCAATTTTTAGATACTAAGGATAATTTCATTAAAAACGTTTAAGTAAAATTAAAAAACTAGACTATTAATAACGTCTTCGAAAATGAGCAACAAAACATAAATAATATGCATAGTAACAAAATAATTAACTGACAAATACTGAAAATTATTATTAAATATTTTCCTAAAATATATTTTTATATACACCTCTGTATACTATCAAAACTGGGCAGTAACTAATTTAAAAGTTAAAAGTTACTTTTTTTGATAAATATTAGTGTACAAAATACGTTTATATACTAAAAAATAATTTTAAAAAAAGTAACTTTACTTTTAAGTTTACATTTTCTTAAAAATGTATAACTTACCTTACTTACTCATATTCAAATATATTTTAAAATTGACTGTAACTTAACAAAGTTATTTTTATTCTTTAAGAATAATAACTTAAAATAGTTACAAAAAATTGGTTAACTTGCCCAGCTTTGTAAACTACGCCTATATAATGGCCTATATTTAATTGCAATATATTTAACCAACCATAACTCTAATAATTAGCATTAAAGCTAAGCAATCCATGTTTACATTTTTTTTTTATAACAAACAAAATATCCAAAAATAAACAGCAACCTAATCAGTAAATATTTAGTGTCAATTAAAATAAAGTATTATATTAAATTAAATATTATTATAATAATATTAGATTTTAGATTTCAATTTCTGTATGGTATAATATTAAATGAAAAAAATAAATATATATTTCTATTTTAATGAGACCAATTTTATTGTTATTATTTGTATTAATTTGGTTGTCACAAGCAAGAGAAATACATTTATTATTAGTTAACAAATATTTGATTATCAAACCAAATAAATATAAAAGTATAATATGTAATATTCTTATTATATTGTAGGTTAGGTTCAATCACAGTTTTACATTATCATATATTAATTTTTTTTTATAACAAACAATAAACTTTATATTTAAACTTTATAAAACTTATTTGGTATAATTTAAACAGTAATAAACTTAATTACAGAGTACAAATCGTACTTTCTCTTTCAAAAAAAGAATTTTGTTTGATTTGTAAAAAAAAAAAAATTTTAGTTAATTATTATATATTTAATATTATAATTATTATAATATATAATATAATTCAGACTTTAATACCAAGTTGAATTAATATTATTTGACTAGATATTATATGATTAAAAAAGAAAATTAAGTAGTCACTAATTGCTATGTACATATATATATATATTAAAAAATCATATTAATTATAATAAAGCAAATGGCTTCAAACAAATAAAATATTATCTAATGGTAACATGGTAAAATTAGGCACATTAATGGTGAAAAAATGAATAGAAATCTTCAAATGTCCTTTAAAAATTTCCTTACACAATCATATGTAGCAAAACTTATTCCAGTGGCAATTGGACCTTTAATCCAGTTCATACTTAGACCCTTGAAAAAACCTTGTTGAATTCCTTCAGTTCTAAAATAAATATAAAATTGTACAATACTACAATTATTTAATTACAATTAATAATTGTGATTTGAAAATACTTTACTTATAAATCATCACAAATGTTGTCCGAAGGTTTTTGTAATTGTGTCCTGTAATTATTGATGTTTGCATCTTCCGTCTAATAATATCTAAAGGATAAGATGATGATTGACCAGCCATACCTGCCACTGCTCCACATGCCAAATTCACTACTGCATTGTCATATCCATGTTTTTCTGCAATAAGAAATAGAAACAGTTTTATTGTAGTAAAATAATTTTGTTCAACATCATTTTCAATATTATAAATATTTACCTTTAATAAATATCTTTAATGTACCATATGTAAAAAAACTGGTACCGGCATAAGGTATAATGCCCAATATTGTTGGAACATAACCTCGGTAAAAGCCTTTTATGCCTTCAATTTGATAGGTCTTTCTAAACACCTAAATAAATAATAATAATTGTATGTATCATATTCCCCTTGTTTATTTTACTTAATTACTCTAAACTTGTTTAAACTAAATAATCAATTAAACTATTTTCATAATAGTAAATTTAATAAAATAGATAAATACTGTACATCTCCCAATGATCCATATTCATTTTTGGTAGTAACCGCCATTCTTGCTCTTGCCAAATCTAATGGATAAGTTAAAGTTTGCGAAGTTACCCCAGCCAAAGATCCTGAAAGAAACTTAAGAACTGCTTTATGTCTATAAAAAAAAAAAAATAACATTAAACCTATGCATCTATTAAAATTATTTTTTTATGGCGAAATAGATAAGATAAAAATCATAGGTTGACTATACTAATATATAATAACTCATGATCATGATTCAAACACTATAAGAAACTAATTACAAATAATTCAGGCAGTTTGTATTGAAAAATAAAAATGTTCAAATAAACAAAATTTAGATTAACACTATAGGTTGATAAAAATGTATATACTATGTAATACATCGTACATGTTAAAGTAACATAATATATAATAAGTATTGTTGGGTGGTTTTTACATATATCTGATAAAGTAATAAGCTTTATGCATAATGAAAAATGTAAACGATTTATACATTACAGACTTTGTAGACAAAATTGTATATTGCATATTTGAGCATATTTTGGAGATAGGAGAATATTCAGCCTATTTTTCATATTTTAGAATATATTGTATTATTTTTCATTAAAAAAATCATATATTTATTCATTTCTTGAGTTGTGGTGTTTTCACTACATGGAAAATGATAATTATTTATTTGATTTAAGAATGATATAAATCATTCAGGTTTTTGTTTGTAATCGAATTAGTAATTTTGTTCACTATTTTTCTCAAATTGTTAACAAAATCATAAAGAGATTTTAGTGGGTGATAATATTTAGTATCTATGAATTATGGTTATAGTATGTGACCAAATGTTTAAAATTATAACAACAATTCAAATTAACCATAAACTTAGTTTAGTTTTTCATTTTAATTTTGTTATATTTTATTTTATTTTTTTTAAATGCCAAAACAAACAATAATATTATGTTATGCTTGCATATTATTTTTTAAATATAGCTGAGTTTAAATAATTTACCAAAAAAATGATACAAGTTAATTACATTTTTTGAGGTGCAATATTAATGGTAAATATAAATATTGTAACTTGTATACAATTCTATAAATTATTCTATATAAAAATAATTTTAATATACTTAATATGTTTAAAGAATATTAAAAGAATATTTTAAGGTTTTTTTTAGAGCATATGAGCATTATATTTTAAACTTTTAAAAACCTAAAAATTTGCTCTCTAATAATAAGTAATGTATAATATAACAAATGTGTGTTTTTTTACATTTTCATTAATAATATTATAAACATATTATTCTAATCATCATAAATCTATTATTTATTTGTGTTTGTAATATGTTTAAACATGATGTATGACACCTAAATTCTAAAATAAAGATTTTTTGAAAATCCATTAAAACTTTTGAAATTAATCGATTTGAACTGTTCATATCACAAACAAGTACCAAATAAAAACTATTTCATGTACACAGAATATTTAAGTAAAATAGTAGAATAAGTATTATTAGTCAAATATGGTCTTATTTTGAATTTTGCATACAATGTGTTTATGTACAAAGTACTACTAGCACATTATATATTTCCTCTATGATCATAAATTGTTTATAAATATAAGCTGATCAAGTCATACAATTTGGTCACTTACTCGCTGCGTTCACTCGGACAATTTTAATCGTAAATAACCCTGGGTATGTTGTTGAAAACCATGTCGGGTAGGTAACAGGATAAGGCGAAAAAAAAAGTGAAACTAGAGATATAAGGTGGTCACTCAGACAATTTTAATAGAAAATAACCCTCAATTTGTTATCTGAATGAGTTCAGTCAAACAAAGCGCATTTGAACATTTGTACCTCTAAAACTAAGCCAGATAAACTCATTCCAACCTCAATAAAAAAAACTTTGTTATCAAAATATTAATATAAAAAAAAAAAATTTGAAAATGTTAAATTCTAACTAAGAAATAAACAAAACCTAATACCCTAACTAATTTTCCCTTATAACTTTCAAACAAAGTCTGTTAAACTTTTTTTTCTACATTCTTAATGTACACACAAAAACACATTTTGAAAAAAAAAAAATCAAAAAGAGCTTGGGCCATTAAACTAGATTTATACCAATATTATTAAAGGTTCAAACAATACTTAACATAAATAACATCAAGTTTATAATATCTGAATGTACTATAGAATAGAATTTCAGTTTCCCTGGGTCAAATAAAAATCCAAAATATACTGTATTAAATTTTATTGCAGCAAATGTGTGTTCAGGTGATAAATTACAATTAAAGTAACTTATGGTCATGTAATTATATGATTATTTAAAATTTGAATGTTTAGAAGTATTTAGTGGATATATAGATAAGCTATTTACATATTATAGGTCCAATTTAATATTAATATGTTATTGGCACTGATCAATAATTTTATATATTAATATAATTTGTAATTACTCTGTGTTTGGTGAATTAACTTTTAGCAGCTTTCCCCATTGTTCGAATGCTGTAAACTGTATGGCTGCATACGGGATAATTCTTGTCATGGTGGCTGTATTACCTCGCCATAGCATAATAAACCCATCATTTGCATATGTTTTTACCAAAAACTGAAATGCAGCTCTTACTGAATATGGTTCATGGGATATCTAAAATTATTTGTTATATATACTTGTACGTCAAATTTTTTAATGCACGCCAAAAGTAAACAAATAAATAAATTCAATTTTTTTTTTTTTTTTTACAAATATACAAAATTTACTTGAAAATTGATTTTTGTCCTATCTAATGGAGCGATAGTACTTTTGGCCAGAGCACCAGCAATAGCACCAGCCGTCAAACTATGCAACACATTTGTTGTATCAGGTTCATTGTGCTGAAACGAATAAACGTATATTTGTTTAAATATAAACAAAAAATATACTTATACAATTATTGCTTATTTGTTGATTTCTTTTTTTCATTATACACTATTACCTTAGTATCGCGTGCCATTATGGACGCCAAAGTGATTGAAGGTATTTCTCGTATTCCATTCTTCGTGTGGTAAACATTTGCAGTTGGTATAATATTTGGCAGCTGCAGACCAACATCAGCCTTGATATTTAAATAACATTAAATCAGGAAACGGTTGATATCATTTTTTTTCTTCTACGCGGGACGTTAGTTATATGACAATTGATGCGTTACGAAATCGGTTTGACAGTTGTCGTTAGAATGTTTTTTATTAAACTGAGATCATTAAAGGTTTATTACATACGATGTACTTAATATTATAAATGTTTAAATACGATTTCTGATAACGTCGTTATTATCGTAAGTGATAACGAACATATGGTACCTATTTTATTTTTTTGTTGATCAAGGCCGATTAAGTTGTAGACGCAACTTGTACTATAGAAGAATAATATGCTCCATTTAATATAACAATAAATAATTGTATTTGTCGATAAGTTAACGATTCGGAAATCAGTAATTTGTGCGCACAGTGTTCACAGAGCGATCAAAATAGAGAACTCGATTATAATCTCGTGTGTCTTGCATATCATTATTTTCAAATTCCTACCTACTTATTACCTACCGTCGCTACAACACTATCTCCCCGGTAGGTAATAATAATTGCCTATTATATCTAATTACTTCCGGTATTTTTTTTTTATTATATTTAACAAACACGTAGGATTATTGTTTTAGTATTTTTAATCTATCCATGTTTTTAAAAAAAATAATCTCCGCATTAGACACGATTACTCACAAATTACTACTTTTCGATCAATTGGTTCTGCTGAATCTTACGGATTATCCGTCTGCTACTACATAATTATATTACGTATCCAATAGGCTTCCGTACGTTTGACCGAAAACTGAATATTATTGAAAATAAAAGTGGCTTAATTAAATTTGGATTGGTAAATCGCGCGGTTTATTATTGCATTTTATACAAGCCATAAGGAAACGAATATAAAAAAAAATTAATAACACTTTCGCAGTCGGTCAAAACACTTGAACTGTATAGAGATTTTGTACATAAATTAATTTATACTACAAAACTAGAAAAATAACAAACATCGCGATCCCTTGAACATGTAATTTTCTTAATGAAAGTATATTGAATGATAAATTTTTATTACTAGGATCAAATGACGTCGTAACGCTTTCTTTTTGGCAAGCATGCGCCGTTGTTCTTCTATCTCTAAAAACACGCTCCTATCGCAATATACGCATTAAAATAACTGGCTACTATTTTTTATTTTTTTATTTTTGTAACACTCATTATTACGGTTCAATAAATTGTAACTCTGCGTAATTTGTTTCCATAATTAAACATAGCGATGCTCAGTAGAAGTTTTATGGGGGGTCCAGGGAGTCTGGACCCTCCCCTAGACTCCGAGTTTAGACTTTGAATTAGTTTGTCATTGAAAATTAGAAAAATAAAAACGAAAATAATATTGGCAAATTAATACGGGTTATAATTATTTTTTTTATACACATTATACATTACATGAAAAATATATCATGCATGATATATAATATTATATATACATATCAAGTGGGAAAAACTGAAAAAAAAAATGGAAAAATTTAAATAATAATATATTAGTAAAATTTACGGTCTTTATCGATAAATTTTCTACTAGCAATTTTGCTCAGATTTACAATGATAGCATTTTTTCTAAAAAAAAATCGAACCGTGGAGGCTCTTAAGCAAGGTCATTTTTTTGATTTTCCCAAAAGTTTTCCCAATAAATGAGAATAACCGAAAATTAGGTACAATATTAAACAAATGATATTAAAGAAACTATATAATGCATATGCAATTATTTTACCATAATATGACAAAGCAACACTATCAACCAAATTCCGCTCAGAACCCTCCATATCTTACCGTCCAAATTTCTCACTTACAACAGTGGTGGGTCACCCACCGTGAGAAATATATCCGTATGTTTTTTATCTTTTTAACGTGAAATTTACGAACAATTATTTTTCTATCATGAAGTAATAGTGTTATGATAATTTTTACGATTATTATACCCGACCTTATTGACATGATAATAATTAATAATATTATGATTGTTATTCTTGATTCTAGATTTCTGCATAGTTGCGTTGATTCCAATCAATATTGGTAATATTCTTATAATATCGAATATCGAAGGTGTTAGTAAATAATATCGTAACAGGATCGTCGGCGAAAACGCGGCTAATATAATATTAAAACATACCTTATAATATTTTGTGCCTGTTATTAATTATTGTTGTTATTAAATCGAGCAACAGGTTTTAGAGTATTGCGTGTAAAACATTCGCCGGTATAATCTACACTGCGTGTAATAAATTATGGTGCGCGATGTAATAATTCGTACAGGTTTGCGAACACCAAAAAAAAAAAAAAAATGAAACAAATAACATTAATTCCACCGTCGATTTTTTTTTTTTTATTTACAACGACTCCGGTTTTTAAACTATTACAATCGTCAAAACATAACTCTGTAATTACAAGCAGAAAACTATAAATTTTCAAATAATTTTTTCGTTAGTTTACCGAACAACAACAAAAAAAAATGCTTAAAATAATGCTCGACATTTTCCAATGCAATGTTAAATAATAATATCTCATCGTTAACAATATTCTCGCGCACGCCTGAGCGTGTGCCTTTACTATTACGGACACAGTTTTGAAAATGTTAAAATTACTTTTTCTTTCTAAATCACATCGCATTCACGAAATACTTAAAATAATCGATGCGAATACTGCAACTGTTCCAAGGACGTTTTTTGAACAACTATGTAATAAATTATCAGCTTGTGTGCTAATGTGTACAAATATGGAAAACAAACGTATAAATTATAAACAATAATATAATTGTTGAACGAATATAATATAATGCTATTATTCTTTTTTTTTTTGCTTGCCTAAATAAAAAAATATCAATTTTTAAAAAGATAATAACAACTAGATACAAATTTAAAATCGATTGATAAACTTTTAAAAAAAAAAAATGAAAAATAATAATTTAATATTATGTACCGATCAAATTTGTATTCCGTTTTTTTTTTTTTTTTTTTTTAAATCATCTAATCATTAATTAAAATAATAATATAATTTGTTAGATAGGTATATGAACACCACTTGGACGTTTTTAATTTATCATTACTCGTAAACTGAACAGTGTAAAATATATATATATATATATATATAAAAAAATACTAACAATCGTATAAAATGTCGTATTTCAATAAATTATTATTCATCGGTAATACTTAAAAAACATGAATCATATTTAATTAAAATTATCGTTAAACTATCGCTTCTATTATTGTACGCGTCTACGAATAGGCGAATAACCCTGATAACGAATAATGACATACTTACCTATTTAACTATTTGCCTAAAAGAATATAGTTGCAGCATGGTAATTATAGAGGTTAAAACGTAATCTACTGAAAAATATAATACAGAATAACCCTACTCAGATAACGACTCAAATGCATTGCGCACATTTTGCTCGTTTTTTCTATTAAATACAAAATTAATAACATTTATTGTAATAGATATAGGTAATAAAGTATTTATGACAAAGATATTTAATAGGTTATTTTTTTTAAAGATAACATTGTAATTGTATTTTCGAATAAAAACGATAAGGTAAACGGGGTACCTCGCACCTAATAAAATAAAATATGGCCGTTATTAGATAGGTAGGGGCAGGTACTAATATTTATTTTACCTGAAAATTATAACTATAGTCGATTTTTATTTCTAATTTGTCCATAAACTCTATAATATAACTACAAACAATTTTACATGATAAATCTTTGGTCCCAGGGAGAAGGGTTTAAGTATAGTTGTATAGCTTTCAATACAAGCAAATTAAATTTAGAAAATTCCTAAATGACCTAACCTAAATTATTGTTCTAAATGGCTCAAGTCATATTATAATTTAATAATTAATAGATATGCTTTTTTTGCCTAACAAAAAATACATTAAAGTGACTCAAGATATTTTAATTTTCAGGGTAACATATGTTAAAATATATTATTACATACATTTAGCCGATTAGACGAAAAATTAGTGATAAACAAATTGTGTTAGACATAATTAAAAAACCAAACAAAAAATGACTCTCTTTATTGGGACCAAAGAAATTTTAATAAATACCTACACAGTACTATACAAAATAATAAAATTGTAATGCTTATGTTTTATTTTATCATTGTGTTTACCGAATAAATATACCAAACATTAATATTAATGCTGGTATTTATTTGTATAATATGCGATCGAATTTAAAATTGTAGACAGTATTTAGCTAAAAGGTGTGCACGAGACAAATACACCTGGTCCACGTGAGCTTGTTTTAATGTTCAAAACGCGCAATACCTATAATATGTATTTATTGAACGCTTTTATTCGTTTATCTTTTACACATCCTAAATAGGTATATACTATATACATATGTACATAGTATACCTATACACTATGTACTATATAGGTCCCTCTCTCAAATTAAATCGCTGGAGTAACTACTTAAAATGCAATTTTTTGTTGCACTTTGGTCAAAACAAAAATCGGAACCGCGTGACGGCGACATTTAATATGTCCTTTGCGAGCGTTAAACCGAAGAAAACGTACGGATACGGGCGAAAATAACGCCGAAAATGGTGAAATACGGCGAGTGGTAATAAAACATTACGCGACGGCCAATATAACGACGAGAAACGGTGTTGGAGAACGGCCGGCCGGACAGAGCGAAACACGTTATTGGAAAACGGAAAATTCTATAAAATCGGAAAACGAAAACCGTACGGTCAGGGGTCACGTAAAAAATGTAAAATAGTTTTAAAAGGTTTATAATATGATTTCATTACAGATAATATTTTAGAAATAAATATTAAAAAATAAAAAATGGTTATTTTTAAAATATATATTGTATGATAATCACAAAATATTTCAAGTTAATGATTTTTAAAATATTTACGAAATAATTTACTTAAAATATTTTACAATATATATTTTTATATTTTTAAAATATATACTTTTAAATATTTTCGTTATGTCGTTAAAAAAATATTTTATAAATATAATCATCATCCAAATGCTATGTGGACTATACTCTAAAAAATTTTCTCAGGAGTGACATTTTCAACGTCTTGGGTTCAAAGATTTGAAAAGATTTCCCCCGGCATTTTATTATATATGTACCTATATTTCCATTTGTTTTAAATAACCATACATTTATATATAGTGACTTTTAAGTATTCTCAAACTTTCAAATTCTGATTTTTGGAATTTGTATATGTACTTAAAGACATTATATTCGAATACTTAGATTTTACACAACATTTAATAACTAATAAGTATCCTGTGCCGATACTAACATCAGTCATTTAAATAAGAACCTACATTGAAATTATGAATCGGATGATTTTTCTGACAATATTGACGTATTTTAATCAAAATTTGAACGAAAAGTTTCTGTTTAAAATTTCTACTTTAAATTAGTACTAAGGATAGGTAACAGTCTGTGGGTCTGCTCAGAGAGACTACCTGTATAGGAATCAACTATTAAATCCAAAATCGATCGCATTGTTACTATTATAATTTACTACTTCATTTATGTTATACCAACATAACTATTTGCATACAAAACATAAATAAAGTTGTTATTATGAATTTTTATTAATTGCATTTTAATAAATTGTTAATCAGTTGACTGATAACCTGCATTGTTTAAATAATGTCTCTACTCACTAGATAGTTTTAGTTGAATCTGTAAATGATACTTGATTATTATTATCGGCCAATATGCAGTGCAGTCTACCACAAAATATAACATATATGGCCTGCCAATGAACGTGGTCTACCGCAGTAATAATATTATATTATTATAGTTTGCGGTCTATATAAATTTTTAAATAAAAACAAACATATTTCGCACGTGGGTTGGCCACCCGTTATAGATGAGAAGTTGGGAAGGTAGTGGAGAAGAAGATTAATCAATGGAAACGGATACAGCCACTGTTATAGGGAATTTAATGTATATCTGTACGCAACAATTAACCATTGTTAAGGAAAAGACGATTCTGAGCGGAGTTCGGTTGATAGTATTGCTTTAAAAATATACAAATATGTCTTATTATGGTAAAAAAATTATATATACATGAAATATTTCTTTAATGGGATTAATAATATACCTATTTTCTCGTTTTTCCCGATTTTCCCATTTGTTGGGAAAATCAAAAAATTAACATCCCCAATCAGATTTCCTTTTAGAAAAAGTGCTACCATTGTACATAGGAGCAAAATTGTTAGTAGAAAAGTTGTTTACAGAAAAAAATATATAAATAAAAAATAAAATAATAAACATCATTGTAAAACCAATATATTTATCGCTCTACTCAGAATCTAACATCAAATAATGCAAAATTTACTCCAAAAATATAAAATAGGTGTAACTATATTAATTTCATCATAGTAAGTAGGTATATTAGCGGAAACGGGAATGAAACCTTTTTTAAAATTGATGGAATCGGACATTTCAAATTTTGACGAAAACGGTACATGATCGTAAATAAGAACTATAATCCATGAATCAGTGGCGGATCCATAGACGGGAGGCAATAGAATTATTTGCCTGCTTTTTTTTGTATTGTAGTCAAATATATCTCAAGTTTCATTACTACCTATATGGTTTTGTCCTCCCCCTTAAAAAATAAAATCTGGATCCGCTATTCTTATTAATAAACGATAGAATCTTCTTCTGTTATACATAACTCGACAATAATAATTTAAAAACTGGATCAAGGATACCCAATCCAATTTATATTCAAGCTTTTTTCTTTGTAATAATTTGCCTAAAATGTATTACAATTTCAATAAAAATTACTAAGTAATCTCTCATATTTGTCGTATTTTTAAAACAATGAGGGGATATTACCTCTAAAAATAGGTACGTTACCTTGCGATCCATCACAATCGGATAGGTACTCGATCAGTTTACATGTTTGCAGTGTATATTTGTATATCAGAGGATGTAGGCGATACAGCCTTTTTTTTCTACAAGTTAATCTAATATTTGAAATTTTATTACTAGAACTAGTTTTGATACACGGTAGGTAAGAGCCAAGTGATAAACATGACGGCTGTCACACAAATATAGGTAACTTAGTAAGCCTGTTTGCATATTTTCCAATAATAAACATCGTCTTTGCACAATTTGCATTTATTCGGGGACACAAAAAGTCGAGGTAGAAATAATAATAATATTGTTTTATGAAACCTGTACCGGTGACCCACCACTGTAAATAAGTATTGTTATACATTTCCGCAGGATACTCGTTGCCTATAAATTATAATGTAGTATACAGTGTAACATGATAATAATACTATTGCAGTATATATTATAGCATTAATAGATAGAACGTATAAAAAAATAAAGCTGGACGGGAGAATGGGGACGGGTGCAGTCACTGTAATAGGTAATTGAATGTATATTTGTAAGCAACGATTAACCATTACTGCTAACGAAAAAACGATTCTGATCTGTGTTCAGTAGATAGTGTTGCTTTGTTAACAATATTTATGTCATATCATGGGTAAAATAATAACATATGCATTATATATTTTCTTTAATAATATTTGTTTAATATTGTACTTATTTTCATTTTCACATTTATTGAAAAAATGAAAAAATATTCTCCCTAAAGTACCTCTCCAGTAAAATTTCTTTTTAGGAAAAGTGCTATCATAAATTGGAACCGGTAGAAAACTTTCTACAAAAAAAAAAAAAAATAATAAATAAATAAATAGGGCTTATTCGTTCCACTCATAATCTTAAATGCCTTTATTTGTCATATTTTATAGTCTTTATTAGGTACCTATGTAGATTCTGAGCGGATCGAATAATGTATTAGCTTTACTAGGTGTGTTTTTTTTTTATTTTTTTCTTCTGTGGGCAACTAACCAGAAATCTTGCTTCAATCAAAAAATCACAATTATTTAACTGTTCGCTGCATTTTGGATCTTTTTGGTGAATAAGGAAGTCGTATTTTGATTTTCCAACCAGTTTCTAATTAATTAATAATTGGGCAAAACCAGAAAAAAACGTAATGCCGCGTCCACACTAGTGAAAATTTACGTTGTGCGTCAAATATAGAATTCGCCGCACATATTTACGCCGAACATATTTGTAGAAGTCGTTTTGATTCGTAAGTAAATACGTTCGTGATGCACTGTGCGTCCTTATCGACTCTTGCGTAATCAATCATATTTCCGCCTGCGGTTTATATTTTCGTAGTGTTCAGTGTTTATTCTATTATATTCTTGGTCCAATCATAATTATTAAATTCTCAAAATCATTCATAGACATACGAACAAAGTTATTAAAATGAAAACCGCACATTTTTTTTTTCATTATAACCAATGTATCAGATATAATACATATAATATATAGTTTGGTTACTAGTTATGATTAATTTTAAAACCGATAAACACAAAAAAACGAAAACATACGTTCACACTGGAATGAAGTTGCGGCGCAAAAAATCCATGGTCCACGGATCGTGTGTGTGAAATGCGCCGAAAATATTTGTGTGCGCTCTTATGCGGCGAACACGCAGATATTTAGTGCCGTACGAACAAATTTTCGCCGAGTACGACGCACAACGTAAATTTTTACTAGTGTGGACGCGGCTTAAGAAATACGCGAAAGTTTACGGCGTTAATGGTTTCGTTATTTTTTGATTTTGGTGTTTTGTTGTAAATCGGTAAAATATTATTGTAGAGAGCTACCTACGCAGGATACAGAGAGGAATTTAATGTATATCTGTAAGCAACAATAAACCATTGCTTACGAAAAACGATTCTGAGTGAAGTTCAATTGATAGTGATGCTTTGTCAACAATATATATGCCATATTATAGTAAAATAATTAAATATGCCTATATAGTTTCTTTAATAATATTTGTTTAATTTGTATCAATTTTCCCAGTTTTCCTACGTTTTTTCTATGTTTTATCTCGGTTTTTCACATTTGCTGAGAAAACTCACGAGAAAATCGAAAAATGACCTTTTTAAAGTGCACAGAAAAAAAAAGAAGGCCGTAATAATGTATTTAAACTAATACCTACATTTCTTATATTTTCCCGGTTTTTCAAATTTGTTAAGAAAAATCTTTTGTTTTATTATACAGACTGACCCCATCGACTGACGTTTACGAAGTAAGTCCTGTTGAAGTCCTATAAAATATAATAATATTTTAACATCATATTATTATTGGTCCGATAGACTATTCCTACCTTCTTAACTTCCCAAATACAACAGTGGCAGCATCGTTTCCCAGTATCACCTCTTTTTTTTCGGTTTGCTTAGTAGTTATTTTTTTCGGAACCCTCTCCAAAATTAAATTCTGGATCCTTCACTGTTGGGGCTGTACATATTGAATTAAATTAAATTAATAATATAGAAATGCATGCAAAATACATTTACATTTATTATAAGAAGCTCTTTTCTTGTTGATTTCCAAAATACATAATTGTATAGTACGATATTATTTGTACCAGATCGTATCGAACAACATGTAATATTAACCGAATCGACAAATTGTTCCATAAATATAATATTGCGGATATTATTACTCCCTAATAAGTCATAAATATATATTATTTTCTAGAATTGTCTACTCTCGTGGTGATTATTTTGCATTATCTGTTGACGACGCCGTGTTCGGAACCATAAAAATATAATTTTTAATTTATATTAAAATATTGGACGGTCACTACTATTACCATAGATAAGTATACTGCATTATTATTATGGAGTAGAAGACCTTAATAGTAATTAATAAGTATTATTATTTTAAATTTACTAGCATCACTTGTTAGACAATCAATTGTTATTTTTTTTTTTATAGTTGATTAGCGAATTGCAAACAGCTGATAGATTTTGAATTACAAACGTCAGTCTTCTTATCACTAATAATTGTGATAATTATTTTTTTATTATCTGTTACAAAATACAAGTGTAGATAACATAATATTTGTTTTTAAGCTGAATTTTGTGATATAATGCATGTAATATTTTTCTGTCGAATGCCGAGCACTGAACTGGGCAATTGCTGTTTGACTTATCACTTTTGAAAGTGCGCTTTCGTGTTAATCAACGTTAGTTGGATCGACGGTTTCTATCATAGAAAAGAGATATTATATTCAACGTTACGTAACGTTGTATAATAAAAAACTGTAAACTACCTGTATAATATTATAACCTACCTGTTTTAAGTTTTTTTATTGAGTTTTTCTAAAAGTTACCGTTGACTATACCTGTATAATTTAAGTAATAATCAAACGAACAACAGAAAAATGTCACGTAAGTATACCTATTTCCAAAGATGTTTTCTATTACCTATAATACAGCTCAGAGACCTCAGTACCTACTTATAACAAATTCTATATCTAGGTACTACCTACCTATTTACCAAATTACTAATCATAATATTTGTATTAATGTTTTATTAAGTAATCCATTATTAAAATGAATGATCCATTTTATTTGCAAAATTTGTTTGATGTTTGAGTTAAAATTCAATTTATTATTCATTAATATTGGTTATTCCATACATTTATTGATTTTTTTTTTTACAAAATACATAAAAAATGTTCAATTTCAAACCTATATATCTATCTAAAGATCATAGACATCTTTATATATTATAAAAAAAAAATATTTTTTTTTTCCAAAACCAAAATGTGATATTTCAACCAAAAAATATAAAGCTCAATTTAACTATTATATTTAAAATTATATAACAGTTAGGTACTTACCTAATGACCTTCACACTTAAAGTTAAATATTAAAGAAAATTTTTTTTTAGTATTCGTCAATATGATTTGATTAATTTTTTTACACCAAATCAAACAGATAATTATATGACTTGTTGTTTAATATTATTGATACTTTGATACTTTGAACCTTGGCGTTCTATACTGTTTTGTACCTACCGTAATAATTTGGTATTTAGAGTACTTATACATTTTAAATGTATCTATTATTATTATCTTGTCGTTTATTACATATATTATGTTTAATTATGAAGTCATAAATAATTGACAAAGTACTTTGAACTTTATTAAATACCTACATTTATAACTATAATAAAAATGATTACCCATTAAATAATTACAAATAAACTATGTTATTTTTGTTTATCATCTTAATGAACATAAATAAAAATGGAAAAATGTATGTAATATATATTTTATATGTAGTTAAAAATGTAATTAGTTATTTTAAAATCTTCCCAAAATGTGTATAACTGATACCTACATATTTAATTTATTAGAAGTTTCACATTTGTGTTGCTTTATAATTAGATCATACAATTATTGATAATGTTGTAATAGTTATATAAGCTACAAAACATTGCTAAACAATTAATTATAATACTAAATACTGTATATATTATCAATAATACTTAATATTTAGTACTTATTTCCCTTTCTTTGGGTTTAAAATTTAAAATAAAATAATACATATACATATTTTATAAACAATATTATTGATTTAATTGTTATGTGGGTTTTTTTGGCAAAGATTTTTATTGTTAATGTTTAATGTATAATATTTTATTAACTTTTGGATTTTGGTCTTTAATAAATTTACATTGTACTTATAATCTAAGGAGTCGGTCATTTAAAAAATCTGAATGTTTATTTCACATTCCGTATTTAGATCAATATTCAGAATATAGGTTGTCCATACAGATGTCTATAATATCCGTAATATAAAAAAAAGGTGTTATAAAATTGGGTTTTCAACTGATATATAAGTTAATCTGAATATTGACTTATGGTTTTCATAATCAAATATAGGATTGGAAATTAGTTTTATCTGTAACAAATATCAGAATATTGGTTATCACAAAAAAAAAGTCATATCAACTCATTAGTAATTTAAAATCAAATTACCAAAATGAGTGTAATTAAATGTTTTAGAACTAATAATTTTACCCAGTTTATTGAAAATTTTAAATGTATTTATAAAATGTCTATTAATTATTTGTATTTACAGATCCATTTGAAAACTTTAAGAAAACGCTTACTGTAAACAACAAACAATATTTTTACTTCGATTTATCTAGTTTTGGTCCTCAATATGGTAATATTATGCATTTATAATAATAAGTTTTGTATATTAATATATATTATACTTATCTCAGTTACTTAGTGAATAAATCTTTACATCAAAAGTTGTCTATTTCATGAAACGAAACAGCCTTTTTTATGTTTCACAATATGGTTATTTGAATTTGATATTGTTTAAGTTGGTTTGCAATATGATTGACCACCGTACTGAAATAATACATATTATATGGTACTCAACTATTGTTGTAGTATTATATTTTTATTTATAAGGTATGCCTGATAATATTTAAAACATTTTCTTAGCAATTATTTAAAAATGGCATATTAAAAAAAAAAATATTACAGATTAAAATATAAAAATAGATTTTATTTTACTTTTTATTCTTTTAATAATACAATTTTAGTTTTGAATAAAACTTACTTTTCACTTCAAAATTTGCAACATTAACACATCAAACTACATGCTAAAGTGGAATGTGTATGATCAAAATAGCAATTTTACAAGTACACTATTGAATATTAAAATATAATAAAATTACAACACACTTCAAAAAGTCTATTACATATCAGAATAGACTAAATATTATTTAATACCTGACCTTATTTGTGATAATTGGGGTTATAAAAATAAAAACAAATTGCTATATGAAAAATACTTAATATAGTTTACTCCTTTTTTCTCTTTTTACCTATTTTTTTTTTCTTATTAATACACAAAAAAATAATAATGTATCATGGCAATTTTATGAGAATAGTAGATCCAACCTAACCCGTGGTGAACGTTTTTAAATAAAACTCCTTACCTTCACTGTCAAAACCATGCTAAAATTAAATACAACCTTGAAATCTCAGATAACTTGTACAAAGCATCGAACCCACAAGAGGACCACCCTATGAAGATTCTCTCTTTTCTAAAAAAATTTAACATGTAAAACTCAATTTAAACATTATTGTACCTTAACTCATATAACTTAATTTATCTTTAATTTTATAGTTAATGTTTTTAGTAGTTAAAGCTGTAGCAGGAAAAAATATAATAATAGTTTAGTGCGTTAATTTGAATATATAATGTGGTCGACCACATTGCCAAAACAATTTTATTAAATTTGTGTGACCATATTGTGAAATATTTTTGTATTTCACAGAGTTTGAAAAAAGGCATTCCCTTTTCATGGAAACGTTAATTTTACTAATTGGTCACAAGTTGCGACATTATATTTATCATTTATTCTATTATAACATTTTATGGTCTAAATATACCAAATGCAATAAAATTTTGTTTTATACTTTATAGAACTACTGCCTTTTTCTATGAAGGTACTTTTTGAGTCTGCTGTTAGAAATTGTGATAACTTCCAAGTCACTGAATATGATGTGCAAAATATATTAAAATGGACAAAAAATCAAGGCATTGATAAAGGTGTTGAAGTAGCATTTAAACCTGCTAGAGTTATTTTACAAGTAAATTATTATTAAATACATCAAATTTCAATTTAATTAAAATTGTGTGGATTGTAATGTATTAGGATTTTACTGGTGTACCAGCTGTGGTAGACTTTGCTGCTATGAGAGATGCTGTTAAGAATTTAGGAGGTGATCCAAACAAAATTAATCCCGTTTGTCCTTCCGATTTAGTCATTGATCATTCAATTCAAGCAGATTTTGTCAGAGAGTAATAAAAACAATATTTGTTTAAAATTTAAATTAAATAATATTTTGAAATTATTTTAGAGCTGATGCACAAGAGAAAAATGAAAATCTTGAATTTGAACGAAATAAAGAAAGATTTACATTTTTGAAAGTAATTTATTAATTTAATTGAATTTATATTTTGTTCATTGCTTAATGAATCAAATTTAATTTTTGTTTAGTGGGGAGCTAAAGCCTTTAAGAATATGTTAATTGTGCCACCCGGTTCCGGTATTGTCCATCAAGTAAATTTAGAATATTTAGCTCGTGTCGTTTTTACTGATGGAGATACATTGTATCCAGATTCTTTAGTGGGCACAGATTCACACACAACAATGATAAATGGTTTAGGCGTTTTAGGATGGGGTGTTGGAGGTAAATATATTGAAAATTATTACTGATTTAGTGTAATAAAATCTAAGTATTTGTTTTCCAATTTTTTATTTAGGTATAGAAGCTGAAGCTGTTATGTTAGGGCAAGGAATATCAATGTTACTTCCTAAAGTTCTTGGTTACAAGTTAACAGGTACTCTTGGTCAGTATGCAACATCTACTGATTTAGTTTTAACAATTACTAAGGTAAACGTTTTATTTTTCGAAATCATTATGCTTATTGTGTAAACTTTATTTTATTTTCAATTTTGTTTTAGCATTTAAGGCAAATTGGTGTTGTTGGAAAGTTTGTTGAATTTTTTGGACCTGGAGTTACGCAGTTATCAATTGCTGATCGAGCAACTATTAGTAATATGTGTCCAGAATATGGTGCGACAGTAGGTTACTTTCCAGTAGACCAAAATACACTGTCTTATCTTCAACAAACAAGTACGTAAAATATAATTTTTGTAACCGAATATACAATTATTAAAATAATGCATCTAGGAAAATTCTAAATTTATATAAATAATTTAAATAAAGGTTTAGATATATTTATTAATACTATTAAATAAACAAAATTGTTCCATTTAAATAAAAGTATCTGCTAGACCTATAAGCATTAAATATAGATTAAATTTTAACATGATGTGTGCAAAAATATCTGTTCGAAATAGATGACCTTACGATATTATTACTAATTATCTTCGTATATTGTTGAATATAAGCCTAAATATCTGATTTATGTCCAAAAATGTTGGCGATTCTAATTTAGGTTTCATTTTGTACGTAAACAGTTTGTTTTCAATTGGTTCTTACAATCTACACTTAATTAATGTTTTTTTTATAATATTATGATTACTAGATATTAAATATAAACACTTGATAAAAATGAATAGTTCCATATTCAATTTTAATTTTTTTTTTTTTTTTTTACCAGACAGAAGTAGTGACAAAATAGCTGTTATTAAAGCTTATTTAGTAGCTTCTAAAATGTTAAGAAATTTTGATGATCCATCTCAAGATCCATTGTTTAGTGAAATCGCTAATTTAGATTTGGCTGATGTTGTGCCATCTATTAGTGGGCCAAAAAGACCACATGATCGTATATCTGTATCTGAAGCTAAACGAGATTTTCAAACTTGTCTCACAAATAAGGTAAGTGAATTCTGTTATGATAGTTAATACAATTAAAAGAATGGGTAAATAAGTTTAATGGTGTATTACGTTTAATCACCAATTAAACAAAGATGACCTTATTTAATAACTTATTAAATAACTTTTATATTAGTTAACAATTATTATAAGTTAGAGTAGAAACGATGACTAATTTTGTGAGACTTATTCAAAATGTATCCTTATATTGATTTCCAACTACCATAGAATTTTATTTGGTGGTTTATATAATTGTACACAATATTACAATTACATAATATCTTGTTTTAAGTGGTATTGATCAAAATTATCTTATCGATCAATAATAATAACTAAATTAAGAAATTGAATGGTCATTGTCGCAAATACAAATTGTATTTATACATTTATATTTACTTTTGACAGGAATGAACTATATTAAATGTGTGCATACCATATAATTAAAGAACTGTTGTTAAAATCCTAATGTATTTATAATAATAATCAAGGTACAAACCTTCATTTGTAAAGTGATGAATATTTAATGGCAATCAATTGGACTTTTTGAAATGATAACATTTAAGTACTAATTTTATATTGTTTTTAATATAATTTTTATTGATATATGATACACAGTAGACAAAGGGAATATTATTGTATTTTTAACTATTCATTTTAATTTTCCACAGGTAATTTTTCTTCATAAAAATATTTGCCAAAAATAAAAATAGCTTTCTCCCATGTAATTATACAATGCTGACTTAATAGTTTAAAGTTTTCATTATATTTTTATTTTTATTTTATTTATTAAGTATAAAAGAACCTTTAAAGTTCCAGGACATTCACATTTATTCATCTACATATTGAATATACATACATATATTCAGTGGATTTTAATATACTGTATACAGTTATGTATTATTAGTATAAGCAAATGTATATATTTATATTTCCTTATATCAACTGTAAACAAATGAAAAATTAATTTTTTTCGTAGACTTCTTAATTTTCTTCTTTAAGTATTTTAAATTGTTTTCCATGTAGTATCTTAATCATAGTACAAGACGAAATAGTACAGTATAATATCTTGAGTTTCATACCTATTTAATTTGTAGCTGTAACTTGTGTGTTAGTAATTATTTTTATTACTATTTAATTTTCTGAGAGCTATAAGGGTTAAACTCATTGTCGGTATCGTCATATTTTAAAATATGATTGGTATCATGTTAGCTAACGCTAACATTATAGTTTTTTTTATTAAAAATTTTCTATATTCAAAATTAAAAACACATTTTTTTTTTGTCAAAATTTGTATATATTATATAAAAAAAACTTGTTATATGCTCTTATACACACCATATAATGAATTGACCTTTAAAACTTATATACAATAAAAATTACCATATACCGAGTAACAAAAATATTTTACTTAAATATAATAATATAATAATTTCATTTTGATAATTTTTGTTTATTTTTTAAAAAAAAAAACTGAAATGAAAAGAAATTATTATTTGGTTAGTATCATGCAAGTGGGACGTTAACATAATCGGCAATAGAAAATTTGAATGCTTATAATGCTTAAAAATACAAGTTTAAAATTTAACTTTGTTATTTTAGTATAATATTATGTAAATTAGTGAACATGGAGTTTCAAAACAATATTTTTTTATTTGAACAAGTGGATAGGTTACTAAATGGTTAAATTAATTTTTTGCGTGGAATTAACTTTTTAATACATTAAAATGAGTTAAAAATAAATACAAAACAAAAGCTCAGTAATTTTATTATCGCAATAAAATTGTTTCAATATTTAAAACAAGAATTCTTATTTATTTATTATAAAAATCATAAAGCTAAGTTTATCTTTTATATTGATTAATACGATACATCTAACCTAATAATATATATCTTTTTCCATAGACAAAACATGTCAAAAATTAAGATACATGCTTCATGAATTGTCACCAGTGATAGCATTCAATCATAAGTACCAACTAGAATCAATTCATGGTGCCCGCATCCTAAAATTGATTGAATAGATACAATGAATTAAATTAATTGAGTCTCTAAAAAATATGATTATTTTCATCCACTCACCTTTTTCAAACACTGATAGAACACATCGTAGAACACTGTTACTTCTTTACTGTTTTCACTAACTAAAAATTGAACAGCATCAGAATTTCATCTATAATTGACTCTGATAAGTAATGATCCAAATTTATCTATTTACTGGGTTATACTATTTACTTTACATTAATGGCATATTGATCATTACGTTATGTGAACCTTGGATATTTTCATTAACTTGTATGTATTCGTTTATGTCAATAGTCTTAATGTGTTTGCTCTCTAGGTTTATATTTAAATAATGAATTTACATTTTATAAAATGTTTAAAATTTGAATTTGTTTAAATAATATTTAGCTGTTATAGTAGTAATTTTCTATACTAACTACTAGAAATGTTCTGCAATTACTTGATTGCCCAGTACTCAATATCATATTTAAGACTCGACCCTTACTTGCTACTCATTGTAATATATACATTTTTACTCAACTCATATCCAGTAACTGACAAACACTGATAATCTCTACATAAATATATATGCATACCTATAATTAATATAACAGAAAACAATTTAAAATTTTAAAGTGAAAAAATATAAAATTATTTATTTTGATACATTTTGAAATTACAACCAATTTACAATAACCCGTTTAGTATATTATTAATAATTTCTCAAGCAATAATTGGAAGTTGATAATGTTTATAGTGCCTTGATCCCCATTTTATATTTACATTTCTACCCAGTCAATACTCAACATCCGGTTAGTATGGAAATTTCTACTTGACCAATACTCGACACTCAGTTAGTATTAAACATTTGTCTATGCCAGTACTCAATACCTTGTTTATAACAAATTATTTACCCGGAATATCTCTACTAACTACTCTACTACTAATCTACACTTAAAACATATATATATAATTATTCAAATTTTTAAGAAAACTTATAAAAAAATATTTTTTTATTAAACTAATATATTATTTACTGATATTGAAAAAATTTTAATTATTTTACTATATGTTCCTATATGTGTATAAATATACCTATATATTTATATATATATAAAAAAAAAAAAATATTATTGTTTATTATGGCTATATTATAGCCAATACAGATCTCATTATTAATTGAAATTATTCTGTACTTAATAAAACAAAAATTATATTTTAAAATAATTATTAAATTAATTTATTGGGCATGAAGCCTGTATATTTTGTAAAATAAAATAGTCCTCAAATTTACCTTACCTAAACCAGAAAAAATATCCAAATACTTGAAATTTCTTGCTCTAGTCATAATTTGTTGAGGTTTAATATTGAAAACAGTATGTTAAATTATAATGGGATATTTTTTCAGAACTTTTTGGATGTTAGACCAAATTTTTCAGTATATTAAAACTACTATAACCAACTGTGGTATAGGTGTTTGAAGCTTTTGTATGTTTTAAAAATTTAGATTGTTGGGAATACCTGTTGTTGGTAGATACCTATTTTAATTAATTTCACTCATTTATTTATTGGTGTATAAAAGAACTATGAATTGACTACAATACTTTTTTTAGATTTTGAGTATAATAAGAAACTATTTTACAGATGTTTTTTTTCTTGGAAAATAGTAAGTTTAAAAAGTTTATTTAACACATTGACAATTAAAAAAAACTATTCCAAAAATATTATTTTTAGTTCTTTAGATCCTTTTTTTCGTAGATTTCTATGTTATGACATAGTACAAACACTATTATTACTACTCCGCTCATAATAGTTAATTAGTTTATAATGATTTATCATTGCATACAGTATATAAACCAAATTATGCTATATATCTTACTTAACCAATTACTCACCTAAAAGTGTTCTACCGCTAGAAATATTTTTCAATGAAAACGGAAAAAACTTTAATTACTTAGAAAAAATAAATTTGATGATTTTACCACAATATATTTATTTGTGTTGTCGTATTATACGCAAATTCCTAGTCAGGAGATGAAACAATGGGTTTAATATACTTAAAAGAATACTTATGTTCCATTTAACATATACCTAGTTGTAATATAATTTTTTGAATTTCTACAAGATTAAAATTACTTTAGTTTATTGTAATAATATATTAAAAATGAGTTTGTGGCATTTTAGGTGGTGATAAAAATGCATGTATTATTTTTTATTGCAGATTTTATCTTGATATTTTCGTTTTCAACATTTATATATGAACAAAATATGAGTTTTTTTTTTTTGAGATTTATACTTGGTTACGAAAGAAGAATAACACAATTAGTATGATTTGAATTCATTTATTTCATAAGCAAACATTTTAAATGCACAAACTGGTGCAACCGAATTGCGTTTTAAAAAAAAGAACTATATCATCAATTGATAACTAAGTTGCGAACGTGTATTAGTCGAGTTGCATGCGCTTAATACAGACTATTCGGTTTTCTCCGATAGCTAGTATATTCGATACAGTAATGGGTTTTTTTTTTCCGAGAAATGAGCCTAGATTAGCGAATGATGATTAGATAAGTACCTATATTATTATATACAATAATATAATTTTTGACAATTTATTGGTTATTAATATCTAAAATTCAATAACGATTTTTAATACCTTTGACCAAAACTAAATGGGGATGTACTTACCTACTTCAAAGAAAAACAAACAAATTATACATCATATCAAAGGATTTAAATTTCAATGAATTTTCAAATAATTATATTAAAATATTATGTGCATGTACAAAAAAGTCCACTAAACGCGCATGCAATTCGATCTAAATATAATTTTCCCACGCATTCGGAAACACAGACATAAACATAATATTACAGCTAAAATATTTGATTTATTAATATTTTATATTCAGAGTTGATAGTCAATAATCTGTAGTTAATATTGACTGGAATAATTCTTGATACTATAAAGAAAAAAATTCTTATACAAAATTCATAGAATAACAATTAATAGATAATAACATTGCTAACGAAAAGCAATTCTGAGCGGAGTTCATAGGTAATGAGTAAACATAATTTAAAAGAATGTAATAATCATCAAAATATTGGCGACTCACAAATAAATTAAAATTAATACTTAGCTCCACTAAGAATCTATGAAACAAAATTCTCTAAATAATAAAAGCAATTATTTTTGTAAATTTTCTCGTTCATTGGTTTTTTGACTTTACTCTATTAATATACGACAAATCAAAACAACGACTTCTTATTCACCAACTAGATTAAAATTTTTTCTTTTGGTTTTTCTATTGGAGCAATAGTTCTGGCAGAAAGCGCAAGCAGTAAAAAATTTGAAACAGAAAATCAAAAAACAACTTTCTTTGTTAGCGACTAGATCCAAAATTCGACAAGAAAAGATCATTACTAGTCATTTTTTGATTGAAGCAAGATTTTTCGTAGAAATAGTTACAAAAATGTAAAATCATGAAATCGTTACGCAGCGCCATTTATAGGCTCGTTTACCCTACGTTTTTCTTCCAATAAACATTATGAAAACAGCTTGAAAAATACAATATATCTTTATACATATGGTTTATAAATATATATAAAATAAACATAATTTTAAAACCATTCATTACATTCCTCGCTCCACTCAGAATCTAAACAAGATTTTAATATAATAGGTATTTAAATATTTATCTACATGTCTTTAGATTGAATTGTGTAACCTTCACATGTGCCACGAATAAAGTTAAAAAAAAAAAATAATAATAATAGGCTTGTCGATAACTACAGTTCGGCAATGATAGAGTTCCATTGTCCTAAAAAAATCTTATCTCATTAATAACATATTTTTTTTTCAATACATATAACAAAATAATTACAATATTAGAGTTTGTACACATTATTGATAAGATTTTTTTTTTACAATCCATTTTACACGTGCACGCGCGTTTTCGTCAGTCGTTTACAATAAATAACGCGGCAATTTTTAAAATTATTACAAGGGTAGTACAGTTGTTGAAAAACTAAACATTTACGTAATAATAAAACGTTGACATTAACCAAGTACTATTAACACACAAATAAAACCGAAGATTGCTTTTGTATCATCTGTAGAGTACCTATATCCTACGGGACGTTTCAATCGTTACTCCCGTAGTGATTTAGTTACCTAAAAATGGATCCAAAATAAATAATAAATTAACCGCAACACACGGGAGATATTGGATAATTAATACGTATTGTAAACAAGTTTAATATTGTAAAACGCCCTTTATCGTTGATGTCGATGGAACCGAGGTTTTACACCGCTGCGCGAGTCCTCCGGAATTTGTGTGTGCAGTGGCATCCAAGTTCCTTCGCGGGCGTACACGATTTTTCGTTTGAAATTTACACGGAAAAATCGTCTACGCCAACTTGGAAAACGTGACGCACGCGTGTCCGGTACGCTGAAAACCGGACGCGCGATTTCCCGTCAACGAAGCTTTAAGTGTTTATCAACATCAAAACCTAAAGCTCTGATGGCTGAGAAAACGAACGCCGGACGTATACATTATTTAATTTACATCGAACGGCACGTTAAAATATAATGACAATAATAATTACTATGATAATATAACAAACAAAAATTTACCTACGTTAAATAATTATAATATAATAATATCCATCGTCGTATGTGCGGTAGGGCCGAAGTCTCTCGAACCCGATCGGTTTGTAGTATAAATTCTAGTCACACGGCCGAAGATTATTATAACACACGGTGTATCTAGAAAATTATACTAACAACCGATCGGTCGAACGTGAATTCCGGAACGTACAATTTTGATGTCCGGGGAACGTATCAAATATTCTTGTGGCGAACGAGCGAACCGGCCGATTAACGAACGCGAAATGCGGTGACCCGAGCGTGAACCGATGCTCTCCGACGGGCGACAAAGTGCGTCAGGTGAAAAGACAGGGTGGTGTGCGGATATCGCCGTCGGTACACGCCATTGGTCAACGGTCCGGTATAAGCTCCTCCTAAAATCACGCGCGCTCTGCGGCCGCCGATAATCGTGCGCGCTTTCCTTCTCCTTCCCAGCGATATTTTCAAATAATACATGTAGCGACACGATACGCAGAACTCGAAACTCTTGAAGTCCTTTTAACGTATTTTTTTGGCTATCGTGTTTTAGGTTTTGAGCGTGACGAGGGATCTATTGGTTTTATTATTATGTGTTTTTTTTTTTATAATGTGCGAGCAACTTTTCGATCAGAATACTTATTACAATCGAAAAATGACAAGAGATCGTTTTTGTTGAGTTTCGGATCTGGCTGACGAGGAAGTAAGACATTTTTTTGATTGTTCTACAGTAATTGGGTAAAACGTGAGGAGACGCAAAATGAAAACTGTCAAATTTACGTCGTTAAGATTATTTAACGTTTATTTCGTTGTTTTAAATTTTAGGTTCTGAGCGGAGCTCGCTCGAACGTATTTGGTTTTATAATGATGTTTATTTTTTTCTACTGATTTTTATTTTTCTATGAACGACTTTTCTACCAGAAATTTTGCTCCGATTTTCAAATGTAATAACTTTTCTGAAAGGAAATTTTTGTGGAGTGGTACTTTAGGGTGATCATTTTTCCTAAGAGTTAATAAATTCATAATAAATCGAAAACAGATATGGAAAAACGGTAAAATTACGAAATGAAATATTTGAGTAAATATTTCTGCCTTTTAAAACATGTATAAGTTATAATCGAACTCCGTCCAGAATCGTTTTTCATGAGCAATGATTAATGTGTACCGATGTACATTAAATTTCTACTTTACCTTACTAACTTCTCACCAAGTAGCCCAACCATCATGCGAATTATGTTAGTTTGATTACACTTTATGTTTTCTACTAGAAATATTGCTCCAATAAAAAAACCTACTAGACATTTTTTTTTCGTTGCATTTTTAATCAAATTGGTGAGTTAAAAAATCGGTTTTTAATTTTCCTTATATATTTTTTTTTTATTGTTTTAATTCAGTTAAAAATATTCATAAGACAGAAAACTTGCAAATTGCCTTTTCTAGGCATAGTAAAATTTTAAAAAACATTTGACACATTCTAAATTTGTTAATTTTGTTTTACGTGATTTGTAATTAGTAGTTACTCTGTGCATAAAATCATAACAAGAGGTTCATAATGTCGTATTAGTGGTTAACAAAACAAAAAAAAAGTAGAGTGTAAAGATATTTAGTATCATATTACGACGAAAATCGTACATTTTACGGCCTTTTAGATCATGTATAATCGAATTTCGCCCCGAAACTTTTCGTTAGCCATGGTTTATCGTCGTTTACAGACATACATTAAATAATTTTTTGTATCATACCTAACCAACTTCCTACCAACAACATGGTGGCACACCAGTGACCCATTCCCAGTGTTCGCTCTTTTTTAAAATCATTTCTGAAGCGGATATCGACGGACTCTTGAAGGTGTATTTACATTTCGATCTATATTTTATATAATATGCACATGACGCATTATATTGTGTGGTTATGCAGTTCAAACGTTAAACAAAGTATAAATGCAAGAAGCTTTAAACATAACGACAAGTGGTGTATTATTATAATCATTTTTTAATTTAAAATAAATGTATTAAGTGAAACAAATTAAAAAATTATAAATTAAATATGTAGACACACTATCGTTGCTAGTAAATTTAAGGAGCTGATCAAATTAGTATAATACATTTTCGTCACTACTTGTATCACACGATACACAAAAACATAATTTTCGATACCTCGTAACTATAATCGAATCACCGAACTCGTAAACATGTATCTATGATACTCGTTATCGTATTAACGATTAAAACGTGTTATTTTCGCCGTATTGCAATTAACAAGTCCCTAACTACGTTGTTTATGACGTAATTTATACAAAACTGTGTGAACTTAAAATATTTTATTTTGACCAAATGCTATAATTTTTTGTTGCTCATATAATGTTCTTACCGTTGAGTTTAAGAACCGGTTGCTTTTCGATTATTTTAAGACTTAGTGGTGTTATACTAATTTGTAAAAATTAGGTGGGTACTGTGTAGAAGATTATACGTTATTGCTTCTGGGTTTTTTTTGCATTCCTTTCGCCACCGATTAAAACTATACCGTTTTTACAATATTTTGAGATGATTTTAACGTGTCTTTAAAAAATAATCTAATATATAAATCGACTAAGTGATTAAATAAATTATTAGTATTAATCGGCCAACCAAGAAATTTTATTATTATTTTGTACCATAGAAATAATTTAAGTTGGTAGGTATAATAATGGTAATAGGTCTTTAATAGTGTTGATAAAGAATTATTGTTATATGTTTTAATGTTTGTCGGGTTATAACGTAACACGTTATTGTTCAAATTAAAAGCCGGAAATTCTGATCGATTTTCAATAGTAATCTTAATACACGCGCGTGTATGTCTAGACAATGAATTCGTGTTTGATATTGCAGCAAATTTAATAATAATAATAATAAAAAAAAAATGTGCATAATGAGTTTCATTCTTTTAAACAATATCGTGTTGTTACTTTGTGAATGGCAGTCCCGAATTCTTGGTTTATGTTTTTTTTTTTTAGACTCTGAGCGGAGCAAGGACTATTGGTTTTATAATGATTATTTTGTTTCTGTAAACAACCTTTCCGTCAAAAATTGTTCACAGATTTTTAAGTGTAACACTTTCTGAAAGGAAATCTGACTAGGGTGGTGCCTTTGATTTCTCCAAGAATTTTCATAATGAATGGGAAAAACGTAGGAAAATGTACGAAATGTATCATTTCCAAATCGTAAATATTACGGGCTTTACAATACATTTTTAACTGATTTCTCAGAATCGTTTTTTCGTTAGCAAAGATTAATCGTAGCATACAGATATACATAGAATTTCCTCCTCTGCCTTCACAACTACTTATCTACAATAACAGTGGCTCATCCATCGTGCGAAGTATATCCGTTTGTTTTTTACCATCACATTATCGTCGATTACAAAGAAGAAACGTTTGAGCGAATTTTTGTATAGTTTTCGATTTAAGTAAATTGGATATTTTTTAAACGACCTAATCTATAAAAATTATACGACTTAGGTGCCTGTATTGCCTAACAAAAAGTACATCATAACGACTTAAGAAATTAAAAACAAACGAACATATTTCGCACCACGAGTGGGCCTAGTTATAGGTGAGAAGTTGGGAAAATTGAATGTAAAAACTAATCTTTACTAACGAAAACGATTCTGAGTGGAGTTCAAATATTTTGAAATGCCGTAATATTTACGATTTTGAAAATAATTGCATTTCGTAAATTTCCCCGTTCATTATGAAAATTATTCCATTCATATACGTTTTCAATATCGTTTAATCAATCTAAAATAATAACCATACAATTCGATATTAGGTCGGTAAATTTTGAAAAAAAATTGTGTGCGAATTTTGAAATTATTCGATTTATACAACAGAGTTGGGTGTAGGTGGTAATCGTTAAATTAATATCCTCCACATACCTATTTGTAATGTTTTAGGTTCACCATTAAAAAAAAAAAAAACAAATAGTTAAAACATTACCCCATTACGGCGAATTTACCGGTGTTTTTAACTGGCTGAGTTAAAGTAAAATAACAATAATTATTTATTACTTGAGCTAAAAGCGCACGCTAATTGAACGGATTTTCTCAAATCATTAAAATGATAGTTCTGTTTACAATATTAAACGCGTTTCATTTTCAACGTACCTACCGATTGAAACGGTTTGAATATTATTTTGTCTACTGGAAACCGACGTCCCCGGACTTTTCGTGTTAACACCCAGATTCTCAAAGCAAAAGAAATACAAATAATCGACAAAAACATAATATAATATTCCTTAAAATATTGTATGGTATACAAACTAGCGTAACATTACACTAGTTTTTAATTTTTGATACAATAATAATTATTGTCAATACAAATCTAAATTCGTAAACGTTTAAAGGCCATATAATAGATACTCTTATAACTGAAAGTATAAATAGTCCGGTTTTCCGGATAACAACATCTTTTCTGGGAAAACAACGAGTGTATTAATAATCGTATACAATACCGACGAATAAAATATAACAACGTAATCGGAATTCCATAGATAGCGGGTACGTAATTGATTTTTAAAATTAAATATTTATGCTTTCCTGTTAAGTGTCATTTGGAAATATTTAATCAAACCGTCTTATTCCTGCCGTGGCTAAATTTAGCGAAAAGTTCCCGATAAGACTACCAATACGAATAGATCCACCCGTCAGAAAACCGTGCCGTTCGATAATATAAATATTATATTTAAAACTAATTTTTGATACGTGATGAATTCGTATAATACGGTTTTATTGTAACGTCTTATAGGCCGTTTGAAAAACAATACATAATACGATTTGATTTTCCCGTCTGGGAAAGTTATTGTCAATGGTTACAACTATTTTGCGATAAAAAAGAAAAAAGTATTTTATATTGTATTTGGAAAAAAAAACCAACCATACGCTATCTTCGTGTTTGTTTATGTAATTCCGTAGGTAATAAAAACGTTTTTAGACTTTTTACGGGTTTTTACACACTAAAAACGTTCCGATTACCAAAAGGAATCCGTTCATAAATCGGCACAAATTTCGTTTTATTTTTTTATTTTTTTGATTTTTCTCTTTTATTCTGTATTACGAGTATATTAAAATCGGAGGATAATATTCTATAAACAAAAAAAAAAAAACATGACCGAAGTATTTGCTCGATTACGCGGGGTAACGGCATTCGTCTGTGAATTATCAAATGTGAGAATATCAATCACCAAACAAATCCGTTACCACGCGTATTCGCCGAGCCGTTTCTTCTGCATATTATATTAACATAATCGTCATCCGCATTGGACGAACAATAAACGAACGACAATTGTTATCGGCCGTAGTAACGTTGAAAACGTCGTAAAAACCGATGATCCGTCGGCGTACGTTAGCCCGCCCATCCAGTTTTAAGTGTTATTTATCATTTCGGACTTGAAACCCGGATGGACCGCGGGTTAACGTAAAGACCGCGTTCGCCGATAATTCATTAACTAATAATAAATAATAATAATAATAATAATAAATAAACGTTTCGTTACAATAAAAAATAAAACAATATATACACGCCAACGCGTGCGTTGTGCGGTCGACAGCGTGCGTAATATATTATAGTAAAAAAAATTCGCGCGGATTCGAGATAACGTTCGTCAATCGCGAGACGTACCGTCGCGGATTACCTATATAGATACACAGTACCGCGAGAGAAAATAAAAAAAAAAAAAAAATCGCGGAAATAAAAAATATTACGATATTGCGCGTCACGTACTTGCAGATAGTCGACTCGTGTCGTTACTATTATTTATTGATGCTGTCGGTGGTGGTGGTGGTGGTGGCGCGGTGGCGGTGTTGTTCGCGCACTTTCCGGACGACGGGTCGTGACGACCGACGGAAGAGACCGGGCCGCCGCGGGGCCAGACCCGACGCTGGTACTGGACGCGCGGCGTGCCGACGACGACGGACGGTAACGGACCGAACCGCCGTGCGTACTGCCGCGGAATGATACGCCGGGTCCTCCCTTCGGCGCGCTACGGCGAAGAAACGATATTCTCTCCCCGACCCCTCGTTTCGTTCGTGTCCTTGCACGGCGACAATGTCGCCGGGACGTTGGTGTTTTTTTTTTGCCTATGGTTAGAATCGACAAACGCACACCGCACTACCTGCTAAAAACGGCGGGCAGAAAAAAAAAGAAAAAAAGGTTCGGTTTTCTTCTCTCCTGTCCCCGGTCCTTTTGTGCTGCGATCATCATTACCTGCATATAATACGACGCGTTAATACCGTCGCCGGCAGTATTTACAGTGTCGACTTTCTAAAATTTTGTTCGGCCGTTATTTCGTTGTTTTTTTTTTTTTTTTCCCATCGACGTACGACACATGATATATTGTTATTGTAAAACTGACGGTATGGTTACCTACCTCTATAACGGGCGGATTTCTTTTCGAAGCGGCGAACGCGGTGGAGATTCGATCGGTCCAATATCTTTTCGGATATTCGGATGTTTTGAACGTCTTATGCATAATAATATTATCGCGGCGATTCGCGTATGTTTCGAGAGAATGCAACGTGCTCACAACTACTTGTTGGTTCCTTTTTTTTTTTTTTTTATATGTGCCGAATACCGTGTTTCGGCCAACGAACCTAAAAATAATATATTATGAACAAAATTTTTATCCTGTCAACTGCGAAATATTCGGCGTACGTTTTCTACTATATTTTCACAATCGATGTCTCATCTTACCGACGTTAATAATATTACATTCGTACGATTCCGTTTCCGTCGACAACTGGAATAATGCAGTAAAAATCTGATTACACATTTTCCATGAACAGCGCCGTTTCCAAACAAACGTCAATCGAAAACTGGTGTGGTAAACGCACCATATTTCTTATCTAGTGTATAATATTATAATAAAACGAACACGCTATTTTAATGACTTTTTCAATCGTATATTAATCACGTTTAATTGTTATTTTTTTAATTGGCCTGCAAGAATATAACATAATAATATATATTATTATGAAACGAACTAATAATTATTGTTATTTTCGTCGACGGTTTATTGATTTCAAATCGATTACGTGGAGATTATAAACTCTGAGAATACGTAAACGAAATCTTGAATTTCGATTTTTTAAAGAAAAAATTAATTTTATCATTATTCCGAATTCCAGAAATAAAGAACAACGGAAAACAAGATCAAGGGGAAAAAGAACAAAAATTTAAAATCTTTAAATTGGTAATTTACAATTATGATGATTATTAACAAGGCAACTGGTTTTGGCTTGATCATCATAATTAACATTAACCTCGCTGAATTCGTATCATACGCCATATGAGAGTTAAATTTAATTCTTATTTATTTATAGGTATTTAATGTCTAACAGTTGTTTTTAACTCTCATTTTATTCAATATTTTAAGAGAAAATCTATTTTTATTAATAATAATATCCCAGCCATATATTATTAAATAATCTTAACATAGAATAAAATTTACTAAACTTTTAACTGTGATTGTCAGCAGACTAAATTTGGTACCTACCGAGCCGATAATTAATTTAAAAATCACAAAATTAGGTTATTTTATTATTACAGGTTTCATTCAAAATCAGTAAAAAAAAAAAAAAAATTATAAAAAATGTCATAAAATTATCGTTATATTATGTTTGACAATACACTTTTTGTACATCTCTTAAAAATTTTAAAAAAATAATTGTATTTTGCTTATTAATAGATCGGTACCATATACAGTTTTTCCAGAAGAAAAAAATCCTATAGAATTTGACTGCTAACATTTAGAGTTTTAAACACACGCGATTTAGGATTAATGACAAAACACTACACGTAATGGCAATATTTTCGATAATGAACAATATATGTATCTATTGGTATAAATTGGTGAATTGTAAATATAATAAAATTATAAAGATAAGCAAGCATAAGTTATCCGTACCTATAATAATAATATAGATAATCGTTGTTTGGGCAGGTCACATACTGAACGAATACCCTAAATTTATGTATAATATGATAATAATATAGAAACTGAAAACCCTATTGCAACCTTATAAAATACCGTGATTTATATTGGATAATTATAAATTACAGTCTAATACAGTGTCACTGATGATTAATAATCATAATTATTATAAATTACTGATTTTAAATTTTTGTCTTTTTTTCCTTGATCTTATTTTCCGTGGTTCTCTCGTACGAAATAATAATGCAATCCGCACTCGCACGTCACTCCGTGAAAATGTGATATTTTGACTTACGTGTTTTACGCGGTTTTTGAAGATTCGAAAAACTTATACAAAATTGTAGATAACAAATCTATATTGTATGTATTTAATCGATTCGCTTGTTTCCACTAACAAAATTTAAGATTAATTAGATTTTAGATTCGGAGCGTAACGAATTTTTTTTTATCTGAAAATAACTTTTTCGCCAGAAATCTTGCTCCGATTTTTATGTGTAGTACCTTTTTTAATATGAAATTTTATCTGGTTGATATTTTAAAGATTTGATCTTTTGATTTTACAAGCGGTTTTCATAATAATTGGGAAAAACGGAAAAATGTACGTAACAGCAGCCCATCCATCGTGAAAATTTGTCAGTCTTTTATTTTCTAATCTAATTGCATACAATACTCATTATAAAACGGATTAGGTTTATTGTAAATTTTAATTTACTACGATTACGTTCTTTTAGAAAATTGTACATTCAGTATACCTCCATACGTTCTTCTAAAATAAGTTATACTATTGTAACACTGTATACTGATATTATTGAAATTGACAATTTTTTGCTCGTCTAGTAATATAAACTACCTATATAATTGAGATTTAAAATACACCTTAACGAATTCTTCGACCATTAATATTATTAATGTTTTATAAATTATTGTTTGACGGTAATGCTCGTGGCGATAATTTATAAAATCATAATGGAATGGACAATAGAATTCATATTAGTGACAATCTAAAACAATTTTTTGTAGTATTTTAATATTAATACTTTTATAATTTTAAAGAAATCATGGAAACCAAAAAGACATACCCTTCAAGTGTATAATAATAATATAACTATGCAATGTAGGTGAACAAATATTCAAGGATACTATGTATTATCATATTATTGACATTTTAGAATATTGCCTGCCCTTATTTTTAATAATAATTTTATTTAAAAAGTAGCCATGCGCAATAGTAAATCTGAAAAAAAAAATTAATGGATTCAACGCAAAGTTATTTTCATACTTGCATAACATATTATTGTGTACTTTTTACAATACACACAGTCACTACCAGTGGCGCCGATCATCTAATTTATCTACGACATAAGTCGTAGTAGATTTTGTAGCTGGAGGGGGGGGGTATCAAGGGATTGAAAAAAAATGGCCTATGCATTGAATTAGTAGGTGGGTACTTTGATTTGCAATAAATTGTTAAATTGAAAAAAAAAATGCGGTCACCTTGATGTACGAAGTCATAATTTAATATGTTTAACACTACAGCGCCACTGGTCTACTACTTATGGATGGATTAATGTCTTGTGAAAATCTCAACCTTTATTTTTAAATACCAATCGTTGTCAAAATATGATGTGAAATATACTATCCTCGTCTGTGTAGTGGCGGACACTGATTGGTTAGGCCCCAACCTAACCGCCGCCGTCGCCATTGAAAACCCAGAACATAATTCTTTTTACACTCGAAGCATAGCGAAGGATCTATTAGTTTTATTATTGTGTTTTTTTCTCTCTGTTTCGAACAGTTTTTCAATGTGTAGTGTCGCACCTTTCCTGAAAGTTAATTTTCTCTAGTTGGTGCATTAGAGAAGTAATTTTTTGATTATTTTTTTTGTGTTTTGCGGGGAACTGGGAGGTTGAGGGTTTTGCGTATCGATTCGTATCTTCGGCATTCCTCAAAAATACACCCGAGTGTGATATGTGTTTGACACGTGTTACATATTGATGGAGGGTCTTTCCTTACATTATTATTTTCTATAGATTGAATATAAACCTATGATCCTGTCTGTTATCGATACATAGTGTTGTTTGCTTGAAAAATGATCACTGTATTATTATTTTCTACTAGTCTGTATTTTGCCATAGACATAATAGAATGCACTATGCACTGCGTTTAGAAAAACAAATGTATAGATGTCCAATAAATCCAGTGAGGTAGCAATATATTTGTAGATAATTGTATTATGAAAGATATTGTATTGTGAAAAAGATTTATATGTTTAAAATTATGATTATTATAAATAATCAATATTGTTTTTAAATTTTAAAAAGTAAACGGACTATCAGGATTTTCAACTTTTCAAGTTAAACTGAACTTGTTTTTATTCTAGTAAGTCTATCGTAACATATGACAGGATTTGTGGTAAATTTTTTTTTTTTAATATTGGTTGTGCAAAGTGTTCAATTGCCATTATGAAAAATGCACAGAATAATAATAGTTTATTCTTCATTACTCAATACAAAGAATCAGAAGAACACTAACGTAACCACCAAATGAAATAATTACCTAACTTAAAATAGCAGAAACAGTGTATAAATCATTTCCTTAATGAATATGACTTTCCAACTATTAATCAACTTACTAATTATTAACAATTAAAATAACATTTAAAATTTAAATGACTTATTCATTCATAATTCATTTTGTAGATAGGTATAACTGTATAAGGTACATTATACCTTGTATATATTAAGTTTGATAAAGATGCAAATTATGTGAACACTTATTATTGTTGTAAAAAAAATGTATGCTATAGTAAAGAAATGATAAAATCTAAACCTAAATGGTTCTGGACTAATAAAATATTGGATTCTTATTCCATGATAGCCCACAATTGACTCTCTCACCCTATGACAATAGCAATTATTTTTGTTATCATAGAGGGATTATTATAATACTATAGCAAATGGTTAGTATAGCGCAATCCATTCTATTATGTACTTTTTTTTTCCGGGAACGTTAATTTTATAAAATACTAATCAACAATATTAATAATCTTTTGCGACGGAGTTTTAAATAATATCGGTTTATACAATACGGGTGGTATCTATTCGGATATCTATTACAATAATAATCGTATTAATAAATATTAATAATGCCTACCTATCGTTCAGAGAATTTACACAAATATAGAATTTTATCACAGTCCATAGGTAGTTAGTTCTTCATAACATTATGACAATATTATTTATTACCCTATAATCTTGGGTATTCATTTCATTCTCTTATCTTATCTTAATTATTATGAGTTATTTGCGCTGATGTTAAGAAACGTCGCCACGCATTCTAAACTCTCTTGATTCTGATAGTTTTAGTCCGTATTTATATTCTCCCAACAACTAAAATATGAGGCTAATATTTTCTTAAAAACTTACAAATTACCTTCTTGCAGTCCTCTTAAGAATTAGAAAAATATGCACAAATAATCATTTTTTATCTAATGATTTAAACGTTATTTTTCATGTACCTTATTAGTTATTATTGAAATTAATAATTATAATCATTTAAAAAATAATTTGTATTTTTTCTTTCACAAAAAAATATTCCAAAATAATATGTTAAATATATCAAGATTATTTGATAAAAAGAACCGTGTTAGGTACATATTGATATAGCAAAAACATACTGAACTATATTGAAAAATAATTGACCAACTAAAATAACAATTTTAAAGGTTAAGCTATAGAAATATAGAATACCTTTTATAAAAATAAACTCTGTTTATAGAGTACTGTCATCTTAACAAAATATACTAAACGTCATATGCTAAACAATATTTCCTGTAAACTCTTTGATGGATGAATCGTCCACATGTTTTACTCTCGTAAGGCAAGGTATAGTCAGTCACAATATTATGTAAAAACATAAAAAACATTCGGACTCTACTCGTAAAATAACAAATATTGTACATATTTAAACAAATTCACTTCTCTTGTCAGTTTTGTGGTTGGTACAACACGAATGTCGGAAAAAAAGAATTAGTAAAAAATAACAATAATTTTAAAATGTTGAAGATAATAATTGATTTACATAAAAACAAAATAATGATATATTATAATTTACATTATAACACCAGAACACTGACACTTTATTGACTTTTGACGGACTAAATTTAGTTCACTCACATAATAGCATACAAGTATGGAAAGGTCTTCATGGGTAATTTAATTTCAATGAATGGAAGAAGTTAAAGATATAATGCATTTTGAAGTTTTAACTTTTTGATAATTTTTTACAGTTAAAAAACTGAAATTTTTAATAAAAATTATATTTTTACAAATTATTATTGTTTAAATTAAACATTTTTTTTTAATTTTCGTAACTAATTTTTATAAATAATGTAAATAAGTTTATAAAGAATAATGTATTTACAAAATAAAATAAATAAATGAATCAATGCGTCGCCTGGAGTATTATAAGTGTATTATACAGCTGGTTTCGAATTAAAAATTCATCATCAGGTATATCACAGTCAAGATGTAAAACATGATTCTTATACAATTATAACACGTATAATAATATACTACTTATTATAATACTCCAGGCGACGCATTAATTCATTTATTTATTTCATTTTCATGTATATATTTTTTATTTATTTATTTATTTACGAGTATTAACCATTTTAATAATTTTGTTTTTACTTTATTATTTTATTATTAATTATATTTAAAATTGTATTTTTTATCTGCGTTCTTTTTTTCGTGTTATTTTTATCCTTAGTCTTTTTTACCGATTACCGTACACCACTACGGTGATAGTGTTTCTTTCTCCCCCGCCCGCGCACTCGGGACCGTTCGGGTCCGAGCATAACATTCTCGCCACAAGACCTACAATAAAACTAGTATACTTACTATTCTTATAATGTTTTGTACCTAAACCAAAAAAAAAAAACGGAACAAAACCCATCACTCGACTCCGGTCGTAAACCCATAAATAATTTGTTTTCGGACATTTTCTCTTAGCGTCGCAGATCCTCGTTCCGTCGACCGAGTGGGCGGCTTAAGTATTTCATTTACATTACATAAAAAAAAAAGCGGGAAATATCCTGGCGACTGACCCGATCAAAAGTAAACAATACTGCTATTTAAAAAAGAAAAATAATAATAAACCGATTGCCTGACACAGCCTGCAGCTCGTCTATACATTTTATTCGCCCGGTCGATTCGAATATAATGAAACCGTTACCACTGCCTTTATATTTATCCTGTGTACGCATTATTTCAAATAAAACTACACGAAGAAAAAATATTAAAAAAAATTCCACATCATACTGTGACGAACATTATAAATCGTTGTTTTCCTTCACTAGGCAGTAAACGGTCGAAAAACATCTAAAGGTGGTCAGCATACGATTTTTTTTTTTTTAATTTGTCATAATACAATTCAATGGAATCGAATTGTCGTTATTTTTTTCCTCGTATCGAATAGACCGAGATCCAAACGTATACCTACGTTGTACAACTACAACAGGTGTTTTAAAATATAAAGTAAATCCATTCCGGTTTTGCTCACTGTGAATATTGAAAAAAAAAACCCAATCGCATATAAGGTCGTACGGATGAAATTTCTTATTGAAAAGTATACCGAATTTAAAATATAATTTTCTTGGTATTTTAATATTTTTATGTTAAAAATGTAAGTGTTATATTCAATTTGTATTCCGGACGTTCAAATTCCCTACATAGTGTTTTTGATAATAAGATAGCATTTCCAGGAAAGCACCCCTCCCTCCTGAACACCGAAGTAAATAGTATGAGTTTTCCTCGGGTGATTGTACAATTTATTTAAGATTTTGTACTATAGTTGTAATTGGTTATAAGAAAAAAAAAGTTAATGTTCAGATCCTTATCCGTTATTATCACGAATAGTGTTGGAAAGCGGTGTTTTTCTGTTATTGTCTTTTACACCTTCAACATAGAAATTTAGACGTGTTCTATTTCCAACGTACCGATTGATCTAGTGAAGCGATAAGAATTCCGAAAACGGATTTGAATTTGTCGCCATGTACTCATGTAAACATGATTAACATTTTCCATTTTTTGAACTACTCCTTTGTTATATTGCTTTTTTAGGGTATAAGGGGATAAAATAAAAAAAAATCGGCAAAGTCGATTTCGAGTAGATTTGACGCCACATTCAAATATGTTTTCAGAATTATTATCGGCTTCCTATTTCCTTAATATAAATTATTAAATGTCTTTTTCTTGGAATTCCTATTCATTTCGGATATTGAAAAACGTATTAAATATTTTTTCTTTGTCGATTAATTGACTTGATATTTTGCCTGACCAATCGCGGAGGTTTTTCATCCGTAAACATTTCTTTTTTAAAATAATTCCAATACTTCGTTTCCCAATCATTCAATTTAAAACAGCTAAATTATAATATTTTTTCTTTTTTTTAATAATGATGTACACTATTGTACAGTAAATATTTTTTTGGTGTTTTATTAAAACACGGTCATGTAAAAATAACGTAAAATAAGTGAACATATTATAATAATTAATAGTGATAAGTAGAGCTTAGGACTTATCGCCTTTAAAATTTGCAAAAAAAAGGCTTAAAAAATGTCAAAAAGCACTTAAAAAAATATAAGAACAAATAGTAAAAGGATTTTAAGGTATCCTGTTTAGTGAATTTCACTTATTAAATATAATTTTTTAATACGATATAAATGATAAACAAAACGTTATTTTGTTTAAAAAAAGTTGTACGTATTGTAAAAAAAATAATTTTGAATTAATAATTTGCGTAGTATTAGAAAATTGTATTTATTAAGTTAGAGCCATTAGAGGAGAGAAATTCAAACCTTTCTGCCGTTTTTGCTTCTTATAATATTTTTCAAGTGTTTCTTTCAGAGGTTTTTTGGCGTTTTTAAGCGCTTTTTTGTAGATTTTAAGTGCAATTATTCTCGAGCTCTAATGATAAGTATCTTCTCATTTTAAAATATTTTGTCTCGATTAACTTTTTTTTTAACCAAATACATTTGATACATTGGATATTAAAAATCGTTTTACATATTATCCAATAAATTATATCTAAATAAAATAACAAAATACCCAAATCGATGATATCTATGCTATATTGTGTAATTTTTTAGATCTTGAATATTGTAATGTTGTCAATATGGTAATCAGTTGTATAGAATTCGTTAAATTTACAAGAAAAAAAAAAGAATCTAGTCATTAAGACTTAAACTGCGATCTATGTCTATCGAAATTTTGAGTTTTAATTTGTTAAACATCGTTTTTTCCTTTATTATCTATTGTTCGTTATTTATGTATTGAAATAATAATAAAAAAAACATATTTTTTTTCAGATCGGTTTCAAAGGATTCAACATTAGTCCGGACAAATTGGACGTTAATGCCGAATTCGAATTCAACAATAAAAAATACGTATTGAAGCACGGATCGGTGGTGATCGCCGCGATCACTTCATGTACGAACACGAGCAATCCCAGCGTGATGCTCGGAGCCGGTAAATTTATTATACCATATTGTGCACAATATTTTACCCTACGAAAACCGTGTTGACAAATATTGTTTTTTACTTTCCGTTCCGTTTAGGTCTTTTGGCCAAAAACGCCGTCGACGTCGGTTTGACCGTTGCGCCTTACATCAAAACCAGCCTGTCGCCCGGTTCGGGGGTGGTCACTTACTACTTGCGAGAGAGCGGAGTTATGCCGGCCCTGAAAGAACTCGGCTTCGACACCGTCGGTTTCGGTTGTATGACGTGTATCGGGAATTCCGGGCCTCTACCCGAAGCCATTGTGAACGCCATCGAAACGGTAAGCGGATCGGAATTCGAAAAATCCAAGTCAATTTTGCCCTAAAACATCATTAACAATACTATCTTTATTATTACAGAACGATCTCGTCTGTTGCGGCGTGTTGTCGGGCAACAGGAATTTCGAAGGCCGTATCCATCCCAACACTCGTGCCAACTATCTAGCCTCGCCTCTATTGGTCATCGCATACGCTATTGCCGGACGTATCGACATCGATTTTGAAACGGAACCTATTGGTAAGTTTTGGTCGGTGTGAAACTATCATAAACAGGATGAGCCGATGGGGCGGCTTGTCCCCTCCCTAAACTTACCCGAATAGGCCTAATGAATTTATTAACAGTGGCGGCTTTAGGGAAACCATGCCCCCTCCAAATAAAAAAAAATCTCCAAATAAAAAAAAAAAATAGAGAACAGGTAGGTATTCTATATATAATATAATTTAGTTAATATGTAAACTTTTATTATTGCAGTAAATAATATTATATTATATCAGTTTATTCGATATCGTCTAATACTTTAATTTAATATTCTTGTTACTTATCTTTATGTGCTGTACGCCATTAGGTATGTTGTTTTCTGATTGGGAGTCCCATTTAAGACTCGGGTTTTCTATTTCTAATTTTAATTTAGATAGATTCCTTATCAACTTTATTATTCTCTATACTTCTATACAGAGTAGGTACTTGCATGCAAGGTCATATTCATGCGCAGAAATTTAGTATGGATTGTGTCGTGAAGAAAATAAGGCCGCTTGGTCTTTATATGGGCTTTACCAAATCTAACTTAACCCTCCCCCATAAAAAGCATAAATTTAATGCAAAATATCAATTTATAAAAACTCATATTGGTTAGTATTCGTGTTTCACAACATTTTTATATTTTTCAACGAATTGATAATTATTACGAAAAATAACTAGATAATTATAATAATAAAGTATATGTAGTGGCTAGAACTTGCATTAGAATATTAATACAAAATTGTTACATAACTAGACGTAAAATTAAATTCTTCATGATTATATTAAGGTTTAATAATAGAAAATAAACATAAAGAAATACTGACGTGATTCGTACGCAGGTGCATCTACTTTTGTAAGTGGGAAGTTGGGATGGTAGGATACAGAAGAGAATTTAATGTATAATTGTACGCAAAGATAAACCATATATGTACCATAATACGGTAAAATAATTAAATAGTTATTATATATTTTCCTTAATAATATTTGTTAATATTGTACCGATTTTTCCGTTTTTTTTCGGTTTTTCACATTTGTTGAGAAAACTCCTGGGAAAATCAAAAATGACCTCTCTAAAGTACTTCTCCAATCGGAGATTCTTTAAGAAAAAGTGTTATTATTTTAAATCTGATCAAAATTTATGATAAAAAAGTTGAATACAGAAAAATAAAGGCCATAATATTATTTTACTATAATTCTACATTTTGTACATTTTCAATTTTCCGAAATTTTATCCCGGCTTTTCCCAGATATTATGATAACCGCTTGGAAAATCAAAAAATAACCTTCTAAAAGTACCATCTGGACAATATTTCCTTTCAGAAATGCTGCCCCGCATACATATCAGAGCAAGATTTTTGTTAGAATTTTTGTACAGAGTATAAGTAGAAATTAATATCTTTGTAAAACCAGTACATTCTCTGCTACACTCAGAATCTAAAATAATAATATTTGGGTGAAAAATACCTTACAACCATTCTCAGACCTACCAAATATACACAAACAATTTCATGAAATCGGTCAAGCCGTTTCGAAAGAGTTTTTCTAACAAACACTGTGACTTGAAAAACTCGGACTGCATTTTATGTATAAGATTTATAAACGGGGCTAGCCTAATTACAAAGACTTGCAATAATAAGTGAAAATAATATACTTAATAACACATTAAAGATCGTAGAAAGCACAAATACATTAAACAGCTAAACAATATAAATACAGGATAGCTAGAAAAATATAAACAATAAACATAAATTCTAAAATAATAAAAAGATGGGTCTTTATTGGTACTTTATTGGCCAATTTCATCAGTTTAAAAAGAGGACAGTAACTAGATGAACAGAAAAAAATTAAAAAAGGGTATATAGAGCAGGAATTAAATAAATATAAATATAATTGTGTTATATTTATGCTCCCCCCTCAAAAAATTAAATCCTAGAGCTACCACTGTTTATTTATCTTAAAATAGTGACTTTAAGTAGAATCAGATATACATTTAAATTTGACGGTAATACATAAAAACTTATGTATAAATCTAGAAAGTACAGACTAGAAGGGATTACAAATCTGTATTTCTGATTTATGCATTACCAGTTTAATAATAATAGACGACTTGTACTCTAACTTCTTGGTTATTATATATATATTATATATATGGTAATTCTTTTAAATTTTATTTTTTTCTTTCCATTTTTTGTAAGATTTAAAATGTTTATGTGTTTAATATTTATGTTTCCTTTTAGGTAATGATAAAAATGGTAAACCAGTATTTTTGAAGAGTATTTGGCCTTCAAGGCAACAAATACAAACTGTTGAAAAGCAAACAGTCATTCCTGCTATGTTTCAAAGTGTCTACGCCCGTATTGAGAAAGGTTCTAATGCTTGGCAAAATTTACAAGCACCTGAAGGTCAATTATACCCTTGGGATACTTCGTCAACTTACATAAAAAATCCTCCGTTTTTCAGTAGCATGACAAAAGTAAAATTATTGAATATTTTTATTAAGAATAAAATACTTTAAAATATGTTTTCATAAACTTATAGACATTGCCTGGCATTCAGTCTGTGAATGATGCACATGTATTACTATTTCTCGGAGATTCTGTAACAACTGACCACATCAGTCCTGCTGGTAGCATTGCGAGAAATAGTGCTGCAGCTCGTTATTTAGCTTCAAAAAAGTAATTCCAATTTTTCATTAATTTTAATAATTTGAAAATAAAAATATTATTTTATATTTTAGTATTACTCCAAAGGATTTCAATTCTTATGGTTCAAGACGTGGAAATGATGATATTATGGCTAGAGGAACGTTTGCTAATATACGATTAGTTAATAAGTTAATTAAGAACACTGGACCTAAAACATTACACATTCCAAGTGGACAAGAGGTTATTTTAATTAACTAAATATATATACCTATTGAATAGATTGTTGAATTAACTAAAGTTGTTTTATATCAGTTGGATGTCTTCGATGCTGCTCAAGCTTATGCTAAAGAGGGACGACAGTTAATTGCTATTGTTGGCAAAGATTATGGATCAGGTTCTTCAAGAGATTGGGCAGCTAAAGGGCCATTTTTACTGGTGATATATTATTTTTATTTAAATATTTCACAAGTGTTTATTCAATATAACTGTTGAGAATTATCTTTTATTTTTATTTTCTATAGGGTATTAAAGCTGTGATTGCTGAATCATATGAACGTATACATCGTTCAAACTTGGTTGGCATGGGAATAATTCCATTGCAATTTAAGTCTGGAGAAAATGCTAGTACATTACACCTTACTGGCCATGAAATTTACAACATAAATATTCCACAAGACTGCAAACCATTGCAAAATATCGAAGTGACTGTAAATAAAATTTGGTTTTATTTTTTTATTTTTAGTTTATATTCTCCTCAATTTCTTCATTATTATTTTTCAGACCAATACTTGTATTTCATTCAACACTATTTTACGCTTTGACACAGAGGTGGATATTTTGTACCATAAACACGGAGGAATTTTAAACTACATGATCAGAAAAATGTTGGATTAAATTGACTAGGTGTATAAATATTATGTTAACCATGACTATTATTTAAATCTAAAATTATTGTAATAATGAGGTACAGGTATTGCATTTTTAAACAAATTTTTCATTGCCAAACTATAAAGATAAATTATTAAATTTGTATAAATAAAACAAATAGTTAAATTTTTTTACCATTTCAGAGTGAATATTTAGGTAATGTTTTGGTTTTATGTACAAAAATTGTCTGCCAAATATATTTATATCATTAAAAGAATAGAAAATAAAACCATTAGTCTGTGCCATGTATATTACATTTTTATCCCTTTAACTTTTAAGAATGAATACAATTTATAACTTCATTAAAAATGTATGTAAATTCATAAATAGCAATGGAATATAAACACACTTAGCTAAGACATTTTCATTTTATTTATGAAAAAAATCCATAATATTTTAAATCATTTTTTTTCTTAATTTACTTGTACCGAACTTAAACATTAAATACATTTCAAAAAGCTTTACTGCTATTGTATTTGTAAGTATTTAATTTAATTTTTAATTCATAATTTTAATAAACAACTTGAGGGATTATTTTATGAATGCAGCATTTAAAATTTTAACTTGTGCCAAGAAAAGTAAAATGAAAATAGTGCGTCTATTTAGTAAAATGTATAATGATTCCATTAATTTCAATTTGTTCCCCTTACTTTTTAATAATTATATAATTTTGATTGATAATAAATATTAATACATTTCATTACAATATGTTATTAAAGCCGTGTTAATAATTATTTTAATTATTTACAACCCTTATAATTTAAACAATAATTTAAGTTAGGATGGTACTACTTATATTACCATTAACTGAATAGATGATGAACTGTATAACAAAAAATGATGTATGAAACAAATGTTAGTGAATATTTTATTTTCTTAAGTACTCAGTTATTCAGTACTGTAGTTAAACCATAACTGTAAGTTATACTTATGACTGCATGAAATGTATGTTAATTTTTATCTATTCTTATTATTTTTGATAAGAATAATAATAAAAGTTATGTTTTGCATTTTAAATTGTGATTATAACAACAAGACAATTTAAAAAAAAAATAATTCAAGAAACAGGCAAAATAAATTGCTTACAATAGTATTGTACAAAACTAAAATTTTAATTTAATATAATTTAATTTTTAATTCAAAATTGTATAAGGATATTAAATATTAGTAGTTTACATTGTTTGACAATAGATGATTATGTTTGGTATAAAAATATAATTAAAAAAAAGACTAATACTTCTAGATATATGTATATGAAAATAAAAACAAAAAACTAGACATTTAATTACTATTGATTAATTGTTTTGAAATATGTATAAACTACAGAAATGTTGATATATTATATAATATTTAATTTTCAAGTATAATTTCAATAAAATCATAAAATGTTATCAATGTTTATTACAATAAATAAATTAACAGATAAAATATTTATATTTCATCCAAAACTTGTTGAATATCTTCCATAATATTAATATTGTTTACCAGCAATGTCATATCTTGGTTTTCTTCAAGTTGATCTTTTGATATTTTGATTGCTGAACTATAATTTTGCATATGCTCTTGTTTATCAAATAATTCTTCAGCTCTTAGAAATAAATATATAATTTAAATTTAAACGATATAAATAAATAACAATATATATTTTTTTCCATTCATGTTTTAATATTATATAATATCAGTGACTTGGCAAAATCAAAATTTTTGAGAGGTAAATATTTTGGTGAGGCTCACAAACCACCTAACTCGACAGCTAACAAAAAATTCTAGTCTTGAAATTTTTAAATATCTTAGGCGCAAATAAGGTAAATCTTAAGACTTATTCCCTTTTAGAATCTATCGACGAATAGTCCCTCTAAAATGTGTAAAATGTTCGCGTCCTACTATATGTCCCAACTTTTGGTTATATTTAGTCATGTTAAATGATCTACGAAATTTTTCTTTTTAAATAGCTTGAATTAGCATATTGCAGTAGTGAAACGTTAACTTTTTAAGTTCTATTACTAAAAACTTCATAATAAACCCCCCATTTTGAAAATACTGGTATATATAAACTTAAATTTAACTGTAATACATTTTATATTGGTAAGACGAGTAGAAATTTTAAAATAAGTTATAAAGAACACATTTCTGAAATAAATTTAAAGACTGCCCCTAATTCAAATTTTGCTAAACATGTTTTAGAAAATAACCATAATATAAGTTTTGATATTAATACAGACTTCATTTAATTTTTTATGTTCAGTTGCATTCTACATTTTAACTGTAATACATCTGATGATGAATTTTTAATTTGAAACCGGTCGTATAATACACTTATCATAATACTCCAGATGACGCATTTATTCATTTATTTATTTTTTATTAACATATTTATTTAAGAGTATTAACCATTTTAATAATTTTGTTTTTACTTTGTTATTTTATAAAATATTGAAGCTAAGTACTAAAGGATTTAATAACATTTAAATAAGATACTAAGGACTAACAAAGACACTCCCCTAATCACCACTGCATATTACTTACTTTACTTTATATTTATCCAATTCATTTGTTAACATCACTAATTTAATTAACAGATCTTTGAGTTGAATACGTGCTGATATTTTATTTTCATAATCAAGTAGTTTTAAGGGTTCTATAATTTCACTGAGTAAAGTTTTAACAGTATCTATTAAATAGGAAATCAATATAAATTATATGTACAATACAATTTTTAAAACAATAATTTTTTAAAATATCATAGTTAAAGTTCTTAAAAAAACTAATAACCAAGGTAACAACTTACATAAACTTTTAAAAAGTTAATTAAATAAAACAATACTATCTAACGTTGTAATAAGGAAAATTAAATATTTTATTGTACCTATCATTTTTATGAACTATTAATTTGTAGTACATTTAATTAATATTATTTTTATAAAATATAAAACCGTTAAAACAATGAAAATATTACATGTAGGCAAAATGCATTTATAGTAAACTCACTTAAATCATTTTCATCCATTTTTTTATAATTCTTCACAACAATTTTAGATACTGTATTAGTAAACAGTGACATAATCTTTTCATCTGGTTTACTAACTTCAACATTTTTATCTAAAATGAAAATAATAATTATAGTTAGATATACACAAATTAAATTTATTTATTTATTGAATAACTAATACAATATAACATTACACACAGAGGGTTTCAATAACTTCAGTTTTTTTGTCTAAACTATTTTTTTCTATTTTTAACGAATTTATTGATTTTAATTTGTCAATTAATGATAGCATTTGTTTTCTAAGCATATCAAATTCTCCCATAAAAACTTTTTTTTGTTGATTAATATTTGAGTTTATTTTTTCTTCATTAAGTTGGAATATATATTTTGCTTCTAAACTACTCAGATATTCATCATACGCAAATCGAAGTCGAGTAGTTTTGTCTATTTTATTATTTCTACTACCACTTGCATTTAAATTTGGCATACTACCATTACTATCTTTTCTTCCAAAGGTAATATTTTGGCTAACATCTATAATAAAGTGAGATTATAATATTAATGCACTTGTTATATTTTAATTTATTACTTATAGTAGGTATCATCAGTGGTGCTATTTACCATTTCTGGATAAGGTACTTTTGGATCGAACATTTGGACATTTCTCAGAACTTTTATTACTATTGGTACGATTAGCACTATAACTTGAGCCACCTGGAGTTGATTGTCTTTTATTAGCAGGAGTTTGAGTTGATTTCCTAGCTTTATTTTTATCCATACTGTGAAATGCAATGATTTTTTTTAATGTTTATATACTAAAGGTACTTAAAACATTTTAAAACAATCAGAATTATTAGTATTTAGTTTTTACCTGAAGGTATTAATTAGTAATAACAGTAGGTACCTACTTCTTTTTCGACTTTGTTTAATGCCATCAAATAATATCAGATAAATTATAGATAGGTGGGATGGCCGCCAATTAAAATTATAAAAACCCTATTTTTCATTGAAATAATAATAATTAATTATAACGTATAAATATCTGTTGATAGTTAACCACAGATAAATTATAAATATAATATTTATATACAATGTGATTTAAAATGTAAGTATTATATTTATGGAATGTACTTGAAGTAATGTAGAAAATAAATAATGTCTATTATGTAGATTTAAACAATTATTCGCTGCTTATTTCATACTAATTACACACGTTATAAGCAAGTTGATTTGATTTCGCCAGTAGCCATAAAAGAATTTGGCGGGAAAATGATTTGTTTTGAATGTCAATAATATTTGTGTATGTATTGGACTTAATATTAGTTTAAAATTGTACCATAGTAAATATCTAAATATTTAAATTTACTTGATTTAAATCATAATAGTTTATAATTTTTTGGCATAATTCTAGTTTGTCTCCCACGTGTTATTTTTTTCAAAATGTGTGTTTTTGTGTGTACATTAAGAATTTAAAAAAAAAAAAAACAAATCTGACAAACATCGTTTGGAAGTTATGGGGGAAAATTACATACAGTTCGGGTTTTTCGTTTCACATATTTCTTAGTTAGAATTTTTTTATTTTCAAATATTTTTTTTTTCTAAAATTACTTATGATAAGGAAGTTGTGATCGGGTTCGATGAATAGCGTCTCCGATATTTATGATAGTAAACTACATACGAAAAATGTCGTTCTAAGCAATACTGAAATACAACACCATCTGGGAGTATCCGAGAAAATTATATTTGAGAAAAAATAATTGAATAATAAATTAGATTGAAATAATAAATTATTGACCATAATACGTCAAAACCTTTTTAAATTTTTACTTATTTAAAATATATAATATGCTTTTATAATTTTAATTTTTTTACATAAATGGTTGACAAATAATTGAATAATTGACTAACAAATTACCTATTATATACTTACTATACGAATTAATAATACCTAAACATTTATCTACACATTTAAAATAAAACCAAATACTTGGAAGACTATACGGCCAAGTTCTTCGTGATATCTTCTAGGTAATGCTAATGGGCCGAATAATGGGACGCAATTCACCTAGTTTTCTAAGAATGGGACCTTTCATATGTAGCTACCTATTTCATTCTTATCCTCATAATTATAATTATTAAATAATGTTGTATTGAACTATTGCACCGCCACAAGCTACACTTTGGGGCAGCGTCAAAAATTTAAAATTTCTCATGTATTATCTCGGTTTCGTAAATTTTTTTGATAATAAATGATTACTATTATTATAAACACTGACACTTAAGGTTAACTTTCGATGCTTTTCATGGTAGATAAATACAAATTCCATCAAAATTGGTGTTCTGGTTGAATGGAGTGGGAACTGTATAAATAAATATGTGACATAATACCGATGGTTACCTATTTAGCTCCTTAAGCTTTACAAGAGAAATAAATTTTATGTTTAAAGGAGTAAGTATAGGCAACTCCTTTACTTACTCCTTTAGTATTAAAAATGTAACGAGCTTCCCAGTTCAAGTATCCCATATTGTATTGTATTTTTAATATTTGTCGAAATCATTTGATTATATACATCACTATAATTCTGATTGTATCCAAGCCCTAAGTTACTACTATTGATTATTTTTCCTTTCGGAAATCAGATGATATTAATAAATCAATGGTTTGTCGTAAACTATTTACATGTGGCGCTGTTCAAATTTAGTGGTCAATTAATGTACTATGAAAATTAGCTGTGAATGGTGAATCTGTGATTATCGATGTTTTTGTAGGGGTAGGCGGTAATGTCCGTGATTGTTTTTATTTTAACGTTATCTTCAGTCTGTTTGGTGTGTGTACCTAACTGTTTTTGTTTTTATTTGTTTCCCATCTTTAAACTGTGTTAATAAATATTAATTTGTAATATTTAATCATTTGATTACTTATTTTCACTTATTCATATAACACTGCAAGCGTATTTCAGTTTTGTAAGTGTATATTAATGACAACTTGTATTGTATTATATTGTATGTACAGCAACTTAACTCTCATTAATTGCTTATAAGAAGCACTGCTTGGATTTGATATTCGAATTGATGTTTCTTTTTTTGTTTAGTTGACAATATCAAATTATGTCAAAATAATCATTAATTTACGAAGAATTCGTTAAAATGCCACCAGTGTTGAAATGCATAGAAATGGACAACTTCAAGTCCTACAGGGGCCATCATATGATCGGTCCCTTGAAGAACTTTACAGCTGTTATTGGGCCTAATGGTTCTGGTAAGAATGAATAACAGTTCATTTGTTAGGTTTCTTTCAATGATGAATTTTCTTTTTATCAGGTAAATCTAACTTTATGGATGCTATAAGTTTTGTGATGGGTGAAAAAACCACAAGCCTTCGGGTGAAACGTCTCAGCGATCTTATACATGGTGCTTCGGTTGGACAACCCGTTTCTCGCAGGTAAAGAGCATAATTATTTGTTATGTGAATAGTTGTAATAATTATTAAGTGTACACATAGGTATTGGTATATATTTTAAGCGATGTTTAATAATATGTAATAATCTAAACCTATTTTCCTATTTAGTGCTAGTGTAACTGCAGTTTTCAAAATGGATAGCGAAGGAACTGAAAAAAGATTTACAAGGACTGTGGTAGGATCATCTTCAGATTATCGAATTAATGATGAAGTATGTTATTTTGTTTAAAGTTATTATTTAAATTACTAATAATTATATTGCATTTAAAATCCACAAAAAGACATTTAAAAACATCAAAAAAGGATTGAAAAATTAATGAAAAAATATTTTGAAAAGCAAAAATGGTAGAGGGGATGAAAAGCCTTATTTTAACTTAGTAGTTCTAACTTATCAAATAAAATTATATAATACTACAAAAATAATTAATACAAAGTAATTCTTTTATTATACTTTTAATTCTATTTTTTTTTTTAAGTGGTTTGAGTTATTCATTGTTGTAGTGTTATTGCTTTTTGCAGACTTCATGTGAATATAAATCTGTTCTCTTATAATAACGTTTTTATTATATTTTTTATTGTAGGTAACCTCCAATCAAGAATATTTCGCACAGTTGGAAAAGATTGGTGTGAATGTGAAAGCAAAAAATTTCTTGGTATTTCAAGGTGCAGTTGAATCGATTGCTATGAAAAATCCAAAGGAAAGAACTGCATTGTTCGAAGAAATCAGTGGGTGTGTATTTAAAGTTTAATATTTATAATATGCATTATTTTAGATTCTGAGTGGAGCAAAGAAGTTTATAGTTTTACAAAGATGTTTATCTATTTTATTTTTTATCTGTGTGCAATTTTTCTACCAGAAGACTTGCTCGGATTTCTATGTGTAGCACCTTTTCTGAAAGGAAATTGGTGTGAGGAGGTTCCTTTAGGGAAGTTGTTTTTCAATTATCTCAAGTTTTCTCATCAAATTTGAAAAACCAAAAAAAAAATATTAAAAATGTAGGTATTAGTTAAAATATATTACCGCCTTCTTTTTTTGTGTGCACAACTTTTCTGCCAGCACTTTTGTTCCAACTTCTATTGATAGCAATGTTTCTAAAAGGAAATTTTACATGGAGTTACTTTAGAGAGGTCATTTATCCATTTTACCAAGAATTTTCCAGCAAATGTGAAAAATCGGGGGAAAAAACTGGGAAAATCAGTACAATATTAAACAAATATTATTAAAAAAAATATATAAATGGTATTTAATTATTTTAATATAAAATGACATATATATTGTTGACAAAGCGTCACTATCAACTGAACTCCGCTCAGAATTTTTTTGGAATGGTTTATTGTCGCTTACAGGTATACATTAAATTATCTATAACAGTGACTGCACCCGTCCCCATTATCCTAGGAGGTCTTTTTTTAGTTCAGGTTTTAATGTTTTTATTATTAATTTTACTAATAGTCCTACTACACACTGCGTATAACCATCAAATTAATGTAAATAATAATTAAATTTTAGCTGTGTTCAGTAATACAGGACTTTTTTTTTTTTTATACTTCAATTTTAAATTTTTTTATTAATCCTTTAGTGTTACTTCTCAATCTATCTGTAATTCACATTGGATTTTGAGCACAAAATCCAATGTCTTGTTGGATCTTACTCACCGATGTTCTAAATTTTAGATCACTACATGCTATAAATTTAAATCTAAATCACAGACTTGCATATAAATACTGCCTTTTATTATTAAAATATTTAAATTTTAGATCAGGTTCATTAAAAGAAGACTATGATCGTTTGAAATCAGAAGTGATTAAAGCAGAAGAAGAAACTAACTTCACATATCTCAAAAAAAGAGGAGTTGCTGCTGAGCGTAAAGAAGCAAAGTTAGAAAAAGAAGAAGCAGAAAAGTATCAGAAATTAAAGGACGAATTGGTCAGTATTTGTTTTATTTAATTTAAAATGTTAATGTAATCAAATAATCAAATCAATTTATATAATGTAGTTAAATTGTTCTTAAGTTTTTATAGCCTTTCATTCAGGGCTTTTACTGCTTCTACAACTTTCCGCCACCTTTCTTTATCCCCACTCACTTCTAGCTCCATTCTTGTGCTACCTTTTGCAGGTCTGCACTCAATGAATCAATCCACTTTATCCTAGGGCAGCCTCTAGGTCTTCTCTCGTTGACTATTTTTACCAGTACTTGTTTACAGATACTACTGTCACTCCAAACATCCCTATCTACAGTATCTATTTGCTTCTAAAAAAAAAAGAAGGTACATTTCCTCATTTGTTTTTATATGGTACTCTCCATTTTCAACAATTGGACCATAAATTTAGTTCAATTAAGATTTATTAATAATGTCTTGCATATTTATTATATTATGTTATACTATTTTATATATTTATATATTGGATGAAAGCATATTTTTAAAATCTACAGGGAATATAATTTCTGTTAATATGTGTTGGTTATATCATAAGTATAATGAATGTTTACATTTGTAATGTGTTTAGGCCCAAAAAGAAGTTGAATACCAATTATTCCGCCTGTATCAAAATGAAAACATGATTAAGAATTATGAACAGGATTTAGAAGAACGTAAAAAAGAGGTTGAAAAGATAGAATACAAAAAGGAAAAGGCTGAAGAAGTGGTCAAGGAAAAGAAAAAAGAGCAAGGCAAAGCAAGTCGGGATTTAGCTAAAGTCGAACAAGAAATCAGAGAAATTGTAAGGCTATTTTGATTTATCTACTATAGCTTTTTAGTTTTAATTATTATTTAATTTTAGGAAGTTGAAATTAATAAGAAGCGCCCATCTTTTATCAAGTCTAAAGAAAGGGTAGCACATATCCGTAAGAAATTGAACACGGCAAAAAAATCATTAGCTGAAGTAGTATTGGCCAATGATGCTCATAAGAAGGATATTGATGAACTGGAAGCTGAACTTAAAGAAGTTGAAAAACGACGCGCTGAGTATGAAGAACAAGTTGCTGGGGAAAGTCAAATGCAGGGAAGAGATGTGCAGTTGGAAGATGCTCAGGTATTTTTATATTGATACTATTATTAAAAAATTGTATAAAAATAGAAACTATCCTGTATTCAAATATTTGTAGACATTTATTTTAAATTGTAATTCTATTAATTTTTTTTAAGGTATCTGAGTACAATCATTTAAAAATTGAAGCTCGTAAACAATCAGCTCTCTATTTACAAGAATTAGATTCTATTAATAGAGAACAGAAAGCTGACCAAGACAGATTGGATAATGAGACGCGTTTGAGATCAGAACTCGAAAATAAAATTAAACAAAAAACTCATGAAAAAGAAGAGGCTCAGAAACGAGTAGACAAATTAACTGAGCACATCAAATCTAGTGAAAATGCACTAGAAGAACAAAGACGTTTATATGATGAACTTCGAAAAGATGTTGGTTCTTCCAAAGACAAAGTTTCAAAGTTGCAAAGAGATTTAGATAACGTAACTGAACAGTTGGGAGATGCCAAAGTAGATAAACATGATGATACCAGGCGTAAAAAGAAACAAGAATTAGTTGAAAATTTTAAAAAAGCATATCCGGGTGTGGTAAGTTTTTGTTAACTATAAAAACATAATTAATAGTTTATTTTCTAAATAATGTCTTTTTAGTACGATCGTTTAATCAACATGTGTCATCCTATAAGTAACCGTTACAATGTGGCAATCACCAAAGTATTGGGTAAATACATGGAAGCCATAATTGTAGATTCTGAGAAGACGGCACGTTTGTGTATTCAATATTTAAAAGATCACATGCTGGATCCAGAAACTTTTTTGCCTATTGATTATTTGCAAACAAAACCACTTAAAGAGCGTTTAAGAAATATTAGTCGTCCACACAATGTTAAGCTTATGTATGATGTACTGGAATTTGATCCAGAAATTGATAGAGTAGTTTTGTTTGCAACTAACAATGCATTAGTGTGTGAATCTCCTGATGATGCCAATCATGTTGCTTATGAACTAGAGAGAGATGGAAGATATGATGTAAGAATAAATATTTCAATATTTTGTTTCTTATTCATGTTGTACAATTTTATAAATAATATATATTCGATTATTGATGTATCAATGTTAACCATAGTTTTGAAAAAATAATATATTCATATTTAAATGTTTTATAGTCAAAATATTGTTATTGGTTTGTTTCATTAAAGTTATACATTTTTTGTATTAGGCTGTAGCCCTAGATGGAACATTTTATCAAAAATCTGGTATTATATCTGGTGGTAGTTTGGATTTAGCTCGTAAAGCAAAGCGATGGGATGAAAAGCATATGACTCAATTAAAGGCTTCTAAAGTAATTATTTTTCCTAAATTGGTTTACCTAATAATATTATGTTGTATTAATTAATAATTATTTATTTTAGGAAAAATTATCTGAAGACTTGCGTGATGCTATGAAGAAATCGCGTAAGGAATCTGAATTGAATTTGGTAGACTCTCAGATTAAAGGTTTAGACATGAGGCTCAAATATGGGAAAACTGATAAAGAAAATACTGTAAGTACATTATTTTAGTAAATAATAGATGTTCATTTATATTATATAAACTATAATTTTTTTGTATTTATTTAGTTAAAACAAATCCGAGATTTAGAAAAAGAACTAAAATTCTTAGAAAATAAATTAGAAGGAAGTGGAGTGAGTATATTTTTTTTTGAAAATTCCAATTATAAGTTATTATTATAATTTTTTTGGTTTTGTTATTTAATAACTTATAAATAATTGTTTTGGTTTAGCCCCGCATTGAAGAAATTGAAAGAACAATGCGTACTCGAGATATTGAAATTCAATCAATGCGCGGCCGTATGAATTCAGTTGAGGATGATGTGTTTGCAGATTTTTGTCGACAAATTGGGATGGCAAATATCCGTCAGTATGAAGAACGAGAACTGAGGTCACAACAAGAAAGAGCCAAAATTCGTTTGGATTATGAAAACCAAAAAAATAGAATTATGAGTCAACTAGATTTCGAACGGACAAAAGACACACAAAGTAAGCTTTGTTGTAGTTAAATAGAAAATTTAAAAATGTTATTGACATGTTTGTTTTTTTTATAATAAGACAATGTGATACGTTGGGAGAGAGCAGTACATGACGATGAAGAGGAACTTGAACGTGCAAAACAAGCTGAACAGAAACAAATGGCTGAAATTGAAACTGACACGAAAGAAGTGGATCGGCTGAAAGCTCAACGGCAGACTAAAAAACAAGAAGTAGATCAAATGGATGAAGTGATCAGCAAGGTATATTATTATTATTATTATTGTTATTAAGAGGAATATTTTAATGTTTCTGATATTACTTAGGCACGAAAAGATGTTGGTGCCATTGCCAAAGATATTCAGGCGGCACAAAAGCAGGCAACTAGTTTGGAGAACAAAGTAGAAGTTCGTAGGGCCGATCGTCATGCAATTTTAACTCATTGTCGAGTATGATAAATGTTAAATTATTATGAAATCATACAATATACAATTTTATTATTATTCGTTTATTTAGATGGAAGATATAAATATACCATTATTACAAGGTAATTTGGAAGATATTATTCAAGAACAGTCAGCAAATAACTCTGAAGATCAAGGACGAGACAGTACAGCAAATACTCAAGAGATTTATGATCAGGAAGCAAGGTGAAATATTGAATATTGTTTAAATAGAATTATTTGGATAAATTTGACTTCAGTTTTTTATTTTTTTAATACAATTTATTTAATTTTACCATACATTAGATACCTTAAAATAGATAAATATTCAATTAATAACTTGAGTTAATATGTAATGAAAAACGTGTACTCACGTATATTTAATACACTTGAATTTACTATCCATGTTCTCGTGTTATAGTGTTATAGTGTTCACGTGAATACTTGAAACTATATGAAAAAAAAACGTTGAATATGTGAGTACAGAATACAATTACATACATGTAAAAGGAATTTTTTGTACATAATTTTTGTAAATTTAAATGATAGTTTCAGATATTTACACGAAAGCGTGTACTCTTGAAATAGGGAGCTTTAAGTTAATTAATTTTTATTTTAAATTGCCAAATACTGAAAATTAGCAAGTAGAAATTCTAAACAAATTCTAAAATATCAATTTTTAAAATTGTTTTTTTGTTAATTATATAATAAAACAAATTATAAACATTGCATAGTTAAAATGTCTAAATTGAAAGTGGAATAATTTTTTTTAAACTAAAATTTTATAAAATAAGTACCAATAGTTAAATTATCACAAATTTGATGTAAGATTGTACCTTATTATATATGAATGGAGAACCGATATTTATATGTTAAACATTTCTATAAATCATTTATATTAAAATTTGTCCGGCAGTATTTAGGATATTTATTATTTATATGCAAGCCTTTATCTGTTGGAATAAAACCATTTATCCACTACTCTCAACTATCAATATATAGTGTTTCTACTATAAGTTATATTATATATTTCTAATTTTTTTAATATTTTTTTATTTAAATGTTTACAGGATTACTGTGGATTACTCATTATTACCTGATCACCTCAAAGATTTAGAAGATCTAGATGAAATAAAAAAAGTAACCGATAAAATGGCTAAATCTATGGCTGAACAATCAATGAAATTACAAAAGATACATGCTCCTAATTTCAAGGTAAAATTACTGTGACAATTTAGACAAAAATAAATATATATTTATATATTGTCGTTCTTGTTAATTTTTTTGTGATTGTCAAGTAACATTTTAAACTTTAATGTCGTTATTGATTAATATAATCAAATGTTTATTTAATATTAAAATTCAACTTTATTTATTGTTAAATATTTTGAAATATGAAATAAATATCTTATAGGATTAAATCTTTACATTTTTATGAATTTGATAAAAAAAATAAAGTTGAACAAAAAATGTATATTTTATAAATAATTAAAAATATTTCTTTTCGTATCAGTGTTCAAAAATCTTTTTGAACATATGAACCACCAACTAAATATTTAACTGGTTGCCCATAAAATATCCTTTTCAATGATTTTAAAATATAATCTGGCAGTTTTTTTCTCATATTTGATATTCAGTTTTATAGACTATCAGTTGGGATAAATTACTTTTTATACTTCTATGGAGAATCTCAATATTTTTAAAATGAAATCTTTAAAGTATATTTTTTATAAAGTTAAGATTTTACTTATTATTAGGGTTTATTTTTTTTTTTTCATTTAACAAGGACATTAATTTAAAACAAAATATTTGTTGGTAAAACAGGCAATGCAAAAATTAGATCAAGCTAGAGAAAAAATGCAAGAAACCGACAGAGAATTTAATAGTGCCAGGACTCGTGCAAAGAAAGCTAAACAGAACTTTGAACGCGTTAAGAAAGAGAGACATACAAAATTCACAGAGTGTTTTGAGCACGTAGCCAATGAGATTGATTTAATATACAAGGTATTTTTTTTTGCCCTTGTATAAATTCTAGAATGTTATTATTACCATAAAAAATATTGATTTTCTAAATATATATATATTTGTGTACTGTTTTTAGGCTTTGTCTAAAAATCAATCAGCACAGGCTTTCTTAGGACCTGAAAACCCTGAAGAACCTTATTTGGATGGTATAAACTATAATTGTGTGGCTCCTGGTAAACGTTTCCAACCAATGTCTAATTTGTCGGGAGGAGAAAAAACAGTTGCCGCTTTAGCTCTGTTGTTCGCCATTCATAGGTATCTAGATTTTATAAATATATAAATATTTTTTCATTAAAAATATGTATGAATATGGCGTATGTTTTTAGTTATCAACCAGCTCCGTTTTTCGTACTTGATGAAATAGATGCTGCTCTAGATAACACAAATATTGGTAAAGTTGCTTCTTATATTCTTCAGAAAAAAACTAATTTACAAACTATTGTTATATCTCTCAAAGAAGAATTTTTCCATCATGCTGATGCTCTGGTTGGAATTTGTCCTGATGTAAGTCATAAATCATCATTGTTAATGCATTTTATATTAATATTATTTTGAAATACTCAAGTGTTATTAACACAATACAACAAACATAAAAATCATTTTGTTATTGAAACATTTTTTTTTTATAGGAAGGACAGTGTTTAATCAGTAAAGTGATAATGATGGATCTCGCTGATTATCCATTAGCCGAACCTGATGATAGTATAGCGTTCTCTTTACGTTAGTCACTGGAGTTGAAATCTTGTAGTTTACAAAAAAAAAAAAAAAAATTACTACTGCTTTTCTATCTAATTCAATCAATTTATATGTTTTACTTGATTTTTTATTGCACTCGATTAAATAAGTTATTTTAATATTATTATTCCAATAATTTAAGTTTTAGAAATAAATAGTTTTAAGATTTTTATGTCGAAAATTCAATTTTCTGAATAGTGTAGAGAAAACATTAATTTATTGTTTTAATAATAAATTATTTTTTTTGTACCCTTTGGATCAGTAAATATGCACAAATTTACTTAAAATAATTTCATAGAAAGATTGTACAGGATGTACAGAATTGTACAGCATTAACAAAATGGTTAGTAATGTGGATCTTCATATCTACTTTAGATACATCCTGTCTGCTTGTAATTCTTGGTGTTATTTTTCTGCCTAGAGCATAGATTCATTTTTAAATGTAATAATTATTTTATTATTATTAAAATTAAAATAAAAATACAACACTGGCTTTAACCTTTCTAGACTACACAAAACAGTAGCTAACTCAGTGTAAAAATAAAAAATGCTACTTAAAACAAAATTAAACATTCTTAGAATTTATTTTAAAATAATATTTTATTAACTACTAAAAAACAAAAAAACATGAAATTATCATTTTAGATTCCAACTGTAGCGAGAGAGCTGTTGGTTTTACTAAAATGTTTATTTCTTTTTTTTTCTAGTTTGTGGACACTTTAACCTAGTAAACTTGCTCCAATTTTTACGTTTAGCAAGTTTTCTGAAATCTCAAGTTGTCTAGATGGTATTTTGAAATAAAATTTATTCGAAAATCGCAAAAAAATATTACGGCACTTCAAATTATGTATTACCGAACTGTGCTCAGAATCATCTTTCATCAAACAATGGTTTGTCGTTGCTTACAGATATAAATGAAATAACTTTAGGTATCCTACCTTCCCAACTTCTCACCTACAATGCTCCCATCCCCAGTATCAGTTCTTTTTTTTTATGCGTTTTTTCCTAGTAAACTTGCTTAGATTTTTTTTAGTAATTATTTATTTATAAATATTAAATAATATATATATTATTTTTTACTAATTTATAGTAATTAATAATAACCCCTTTCTTTTGTTTGCTTGTTTAAAATTTTAATTAATTATTAAATTATCCACATTTAGCAGGGGGGCAAACAAAATTTCAGGAAGGGCTCTCGCCCTCTCCTGTCATATACCTGGATTCAACACTGGCGGGCAGTCGAATAGAGTGTGCTCAGCCGTATTCTCCAGATGTCAATAGCAAAGACACTCTGTATCCGGGGAACGCCCCATATGACAGGTATAGTGCCTGAAGCACCCATGCCTCGATTGAGCCTGTGTGGTGTGAAACGAGGGATCTTTGAGACGTCTCGTCACCCATCTTATTAGGTCAGGGAGGATCCAATATGATAATATTTATATTAGCCCTTTCTAACTTAACCGTGGTCAAATTTTCAAAACATTCTGCCAATTTTCGAGCTATTTATATACCCATTTGAAATTATCGCGTTTTTTTTAGTTTTCAATTGTTTGTTTTATGTAGAAAAAATTGCTTTGCTAATCAAAACACTTGCTAATTTAACACAAGTTAATTTTATAAGCATAAGTTCAAATTTTAACGAAAATTGTAAAATCACTGTTTTTCTTAACAAGCATAACCGAAATGGTAGAGAATAATGAAACTTAAGTTATTTACGTTCCCATTACAATAAATTTAAGTAGATAAGGTACCTATTGTGAAAAATAGTATGAAATTGACGTATCAAACATAGTATTATAATTGGATATCGAATAAATTGAATTGCCGTATATCATCTAATTTTGAAACTAGAAAAGTCGTTTGACCACCAAAATGTATTCAGTAAAAAATAGAGGAAAAATATATAGTGGTTAAAAAGGGGGTTGCGTTTTAAGAAATCAAAATTGTGTGACAGAAGATTAAATTATAATCTTTCTTTCTCAATTCAAATTTTTAATTCATTATTTTTAAACTGACAATGAACCAGATATTGAGTTATTAAATAACTATTCAGTTTTACCATAACGATCTCGATAACTTGAAAACAGAAATATATCATTATATTAAAACAGTTTCTTTAGATATTGAAAATTTTAGTGGTGGTTTTAGGAATTTTTTCTGGGAGTCTATTGATATTACTTATATATTTAACATAAACAAATATTTTCTTGTTGATTATGCATTAATTTAATTAAATTGCCCAAATTTTACTGTTAGAAAAAAATAATTTTTTTTACTTACATAATCTAATCTAACTTATGTTTTAGAAAATTAAAAAGCTGTCCTAGGATAATGGGGACGTGTGCAGTCACTTATAATTTAATGTATATCTGTAAGCAACGATTAACCATTGCTAATGAAAAAACGATTATAAGCGGAATTTGGTTGTTAGTTTGCTTTGTTTTAATATATGTGTATATTATGATAAAATAATTACATATGCATTTTATAGTTTCTTAATATTATTTGTTTAATATTGTACCTATTTTCCTGTTTTTCCTATTTCCTATTTATTGGGAAAACAACTGGAAAAATCAAAAAATGACCTCTCTTAATTACTTTCTTAGTCAGATTTACTTTCAGAAAAAGTGTTATCATTTAATCATTATAAATCGGAACAAAATTGCTAGTAGAAAAGTTGTCCACAGAAAAAAAGACCGTAATATTTTACTAATATATTACACACATTTTTCCAAGTTTTTCCCACTTGATAAATATATAATATATATAATGCATAATATAATATACTCCAAACAATGTATATATGACGTGTATAAAAAAAGAATTATAACTCGTATTTATTTACCAATTATTTTCGTTTATTTTTTTTTAACTTTTTAATGAAAAATTAATTAAAAGTCCAGACCCCCTAGACCCCTCTCCGTAATTCCGCCACTGGACAATTGTGATGGTATAGCGAAATTTCTTTATGAACGTAATTTTATTGTTGTTTTTTCAAATGTATATATTGCGTTGAGATTATATTTGGCAATACCGTTGTCAAATTGTGAAGCAGAACGTTAATTTTCATAGATGGCTCTAATTAAAAATCGACTAAGATCTAGACCACAGATTGAAGATAGGTGAACGCATTAACAATTATGTCAATTGAAAATGACATGCGCAAAAAATTCTCATTTGATGACGTTTTAGATACTTTTGCATCAAGTAAATCAAAAAAATTATATTTTTTAATATATTAACTATGTAATGTAAATTTACTTTTTGAGGGAAAATATTTTTCTTATTTAACTAATAAATATCAATTGACATATTATTATAAAAATACTTTTTTTGTACAATTAGGGACCCCAAAAATACATTAGCTGAGGGCCACTAATTTCATGAATCCGGCTCTGTACTTACTTATAATCATTAGTTAATCGTAGAACTACAGCCAATAGCAAAACTGTTAACGTCACCGTCACTAGGTAAGTAGGTACCTTACCTATTTTTTAACTAAACTGAAATGAATTATGAAGTTATATATAAATATGATATATAATATATATATTATAAACTTGCGATTTATTGTTAATGTTGTTTCGAATAATTTGCATTCAGCAATAATTTAGTAATAATATAATAGAGACAGATTGTACGGCTTTTGGAAAAAATGTGTGCCAAGCCCCCCTCATATATTTTTTACCTTTATATAAGAGGCGGGTGGTGGTAAGTACCCCGTTAGTTTATTGACGACGAAACCGCCGCTAATTTAACAACCGCCATACCGCCTACAACAGTGGTACACCCATCGGTAGTATCGGATAATTTTATACATTTTTTTTTTTTTCTTCTAAACGCTATAATATACATTTCATACACGCTATATATAATATAATGTACATCTGGCCACGTGGTCTTTAACGCGGATCGTGCACCGAACGCGTTCAATTAATTTTTCGTTTTCCGACGCGTTTTGTATTATATAGGTGCCCCCCCCACCTATCATGACCATAATATAATATCATATTATTGTACGCGTGCAGGGCAACGGCTCCGCTCGTACGGTTTTTAACGCACTGCGTCGATCGCATTATTATATTATACACAATCGATCAATTCGCGTCAATGATCCGCGTATAACGAGAGCAACAGCAAATTTATATAAATTATAAATATAATGGTTATATATTATTATATATGGGGTGTGTGCGATGTATACGCGAATATCCGTGCAATCTTCCTCTTTTATTGCACACACACATTATAGGTAGGTACATATTTTATTAACAATAAACGGGATATTATTATATAGCCGATATAAAAAAAAAAAAAATAAAAAAAAATACCATACCGTACCTATTCTAATCCACAAAGAGACAACAAATACGGATACGGTGTAATAATAATAATAATAATAATATTATATTATTATATACGGCTCGGACCAGGTGCGCGCTTTATCATAAACCGATAAATTGCCAGGCACGTACCCGCCGAAAATAGGTTACAAGGCCTTTACACGCGGCTGGCCTCTCTCACTTCCCCCATCCCCTTCCCCCAGACACATACGCACACGCACACACACACGCTCACAGACACACGTATGCACGCAAACGATCGTTCATTCCGTAATTTCCCGTAGTAGACCGTATACGGAACGATTAGGCGTTAGGTTAGATTATAATATACGTTCATTGGAGCCTGCAGACATTTTCCTTGGAGTGAGAGGAGATGAAAGATTCAGTATTTTGTACAATTTATGTCTTACATACCTGTGTACAATTCGGATGAAAACAAAAAAAAAAAAAAAACAGACATTTAAATATGACAAATTATTGTAATAAACGCCACTCATTTGTCTCCCCTCTGAACGCCCGTGTATGTACGTTAGACGTACCTACAATATAGTTTAACGATTAGTTAGGGCTCGGTTTTCAATATCGGTACACGTTTTCACTGTGACTTGATAAATTGATTTAGGTAAGGCCGTAAAGGATAATTTGTGCTAAATGTCATAGTTGAAAAAGTAAGCGACGAGTGGGTAATGGGTTAATCGAAATTTGCTATGAAATTTGCTTTCGTTAGGAATGATTTATCGTTGCGTATAGATCACGGATGTCTAAATAGACAACCGTAGTGTATATAGATATACCCAGGGCCGTATTTAAGGGGCGGTTAAGGGGGGCAATAGCCCCCATGATATATGTTAGTGGGCGCTAAATTTTCACGGAGACTATAAAGAAGTTTTCGGAAAAATTATAAATTATATAAATAATTCATATATTTTATATACGGGGTGTATTAATCTATCATAAGACACTCAATATCTCGGAAAGTATTAACTTTTTCGGAATTTTTTTCCTAGAACATTTAAGAAATAAGCTGCTCTACAATTTTATATTTATGTTATTTTTTGTCACCCGTATTTTCGGGGGTAAAGCAACAATTTACTTTTGATTTTCAAATGGCCACCTTAGGGTGGTCCTTGGACTATAGATGAAGACGATTTTTTTTCGATTTTTGATTGGGCTACCACTGAAATTTGTTCAAACCCACAAAAAAAATGTATTTTGTAAAGTTTCGTAATAATCTGTAAACCTTAAGGCGTGCCTCAAGAGGGTTGAAGTTCAAATAAGGGTGATTTTTAGATTTTTGTGATTTTAGTCTAAAATTTTTAAGACAGACTAAAAAGTGTAAGAACAATATATTTTTTAAATTGTTTATCCCACAGAAAATGTTATTTGTACATTTTTCATTTAACAACTCATTCACCTACAAAATAACAATAACTAATTTTTAGTATATTTTACACGGTAATAGCTTGTACAATATAATATACTCTGTACTAAGAAAATTTACAACATAACTGCATAAACAACTTTATAGTAGCTATAGTCCACTAATAACATGGTTAAAACGCATGCTTCATAGAAATGAAAAGCAGGGCAATATTAACTATACACGTTCTAACATGTCTGCCTAAACTATCGCAGACATGATACCTACTCACGTTTTTGCGACGTCGACTAGGTCCTGTGACAACACGCAGTCTTCAAATGTTAAACATGTCTTTACAGGTTTATTATTCACTCGGTTTTAGACGTATTATTTATTGTTTATATTAATTCGAACATTGTCGTCACAGCTCAGTTTATAATTGTCCACACACCATCGACGAACAGACTTTTTGACATTTTAAAAATGGACAGTAAAATCAATATACGTAAACGTATTTATTTAATTGGTACTAGTTCTCATCAACTGGTTGGATGCAAGCCACCATCAAACAAACAAGTTTTATCGGTCTTATTTTTTAATATTCGAGAAGTCGAGTTTAGTTTACGTGAAAGTGCGCGGTTAGTGATTGACGAAACGTTAATGTTTTGGAAACAAGCCCGAATACCTACTAAGGAAGTTCCTAATTGTGTACCAATGTTGGAAGAGTTGTACAATACATGGTGAAGTTTGCAGAAAAATTCAAGTCGGAGAACAAATACTCAAATTAAAAATGAAAATGAGTTTGTACAATGTTTTGACGAACTATTCGACATTGCCCATGCAGATGCATTGGATATAATGACTGTTGACATAGACAAACAGTTTTTAATTAATCAGTGACAAAAAGGTCGTCCAGGAGCGATGACGGGTGTCGATTAGATAAGTCAAAAAAGAGAATTTAAACGATCTAAACAATTAGAAGAATCTGAAAAAAAAGAAAACTTAATGATAACAAAATAAAATCTATCTGTAAGTATTTCGTATTTTGTGTTTTTATAGTTTGTCGTATAATAAGTACTTTTAAATAATATAAAATTACGAATTAACTTTTAGTTGAATCTGTGGAATTATGTTCTTCGAGTGATACAGAAGAAAGTTTGTCTGATGATTGTGATTTAGCCCAAAACATATAAGATAATACCAAAAACTCTATTACTGTGGAAAACTGTGAAGATTCTGCCGGCCCTTCAACTACTAGACGAGGAAGAACAGCATTCATCAACGATAAACTGTTTTAGATAGATGCAAGGTAAGTGACAGAGATACAACTCATATTATAATTGCCACGGCTCAGGCATTAGGACATGCTAGACATTTTTTTTTTTGGATTCTGAAAAAGTCCAGTATAGGTAAAACGGTCAACCATATTGTACTTGCAAAAAAAAAAAAAAAAAAATCGAAAATTGATATAATGGCGTCACGCCGATCAAATATTCGATATTTATAACAATATAATATTTATTCGGTCGTCGCGGGTACCTGACGCGGAAAATTTCTTTATATTGATTTGATATTTTTTATTGTACGGAATTTACTAATCGCGTGCACATCAAGAAAAATATTTTTTACTTTTCTGCGAATTGATAAAATCACCGGCGGAATAGAAGGTACGAACACAATACGTGTGTTTATGTATCGATATTTTGATTTGCTTAGCGAGATATTACGAGAGAGTATAATATGAAATATGGCAATTAAAAAGTGTATACTTAAAACTCGCTAAGAAACATTAAAATATCGAGAATAAAACAATGTATACATAAAAAAAAAAAAACAGAATCTGAAAACGTTCTGACTTTTTTATAATTTTAACAAGAATAATTAATATCTAGTCTAATATTAAAACTTGGTGCATACAACTGTCCCTGCTAAACGTCTCCTCAATATTGTGCGTTTGTGTAAGACGAGGACTATACGCGCGCGGGTATTAAATTCGCTCTTGTAACTTTCTTTAGGTCATCAGTTGTTTACCTGTAATTATATTAGGCACATTATCTACTCGTATATTCCACAGTTTTGAGTATACGTATTTATTTTGTTCCGGTGGTCGATACCCGTGGTGTAACAAGACTATTAAAATATGCAATTTTTTTTTTTTCAATCACTATAGCTTTACGCTATAATTTTTATTGTGTATTTTATTTTTTATTTTTATAATCAGTGATAACTATTTTATACGTGTACCTATTAATTTTTATCCTCCTCATTGTGTTTGTTTTGCTGTTCGGTTCGGTAGTGATCCGGAGCGTGGCGTAGCGAGGGAGTGCGTTTGGGTGTTCAAACACCGCCAATTGACTATATTTACGCCGACAATTAAAATTTTTACTGTTTGCAGTTATGAATTTCTACAATATGAGTCGTGTTTCGGATAGATAATTATTAAGTATATGTTATATGTGTTACACGTGCATAAAAATGTTACAAAGTTACATCAAAACACAAAATAAAAAACCCCCCTCAAAAAATTCTGGCTACGCCACTGCATTCGGATGTAAACATAATGAACGATTTGAAAACAGTAAAAAGAACATTATCGCTTTCGGCATCCTTTAAGATGTTTAATAATATTATTTTAGTTTGCGCTCTTTGGATAAATTAGTATGGTAAAATTACATATTGACTTTTTATAGACAGCACCGACTTGACAATACTTATAAGTACCTATATTATTATCAATTTTCCGAAACAGTTTTTTATTTAGAACAAATTTACTAGGTTCCTAGGTACAATAATATTATAGATACGGTTGATTAATAGTAATAATATACCTGCCTAATTTATTAATTTTTTTTTTAGATTTAGTGTTTTGTTATTTTATTGTTATTCTTTCTGATAATTTTGATTTAAACCATTTGAGAAGGAATTTAAATCTTTATATAATTATTGTTTATAAATTACAAATGGGTAAATATTGTTATTGTTACCATTTATTCATAAAAATGACAAAGTTTTGAAAAATAGTGTCGACGACATTAAAACAGATGACGTGTTGAATGAAGCCGAAGAGTTCTCTAATAAAACATCATTGATTGCGATATTAAAAGAATATCTTAGGAAAATTCGTTCAACCTGTGCACATTGCCACAATGTGACGTTTAATACTACAATAAATGGTAAATAATTAGCATTACACGTACTTGAAAATCACCGTTTTGTGACTCTAGAAGTTGGATCTTCTGAAGAGGTTGCTGAAAATATTGAAATTGAATTCAGAATATCTAGACAACGTTTATTTTTTAAAACAAGATCATTCTAATAGAAATGATAATCTTCCAGTGACTTTATGTGCAAGCGTAATATTTTTTGTTCGTAAAGTTGTAGTTGGGCCCAAAATATTACTTAATAAATGGACAATTCTCCGCGGTAAAGACAAGCAAAGAATAAAGTTGACGAATGTCCTCAAACCAAAACTGAAAAAAAAAGAAGCACATCAACAAGATTTCTCTGAAAACTAATCTGAAAAAAAGAAAAATTACCTGCGATGAAGATGTTTCGGTTAAAAACCAAAAATAGGAACGAAAACCAGCAAAACCACGAAAATGGAAATCAATATTAAAGAAAATCAAACATGTACTGATGAAGTATCACCCGGATGGCAGATAATTTTGATTGTTAATTGTTTGTTAAAAATAAAAAAAGTCCAATAGAATTGTTTGGCTTATTTCATTAGAGAAATTGTGATAAATGACAATATAAAAAAAGAAATGCTTCACAATATGCGTATTAATATATATTAATTGAAGTTTAATTTAGGTATGTAGGTATTTAAATCGGTGATTGTAAACTCCGTCGTCTCCAAAAAATCATATTATAATTTTTTTTTTAAAATTTCTCTCCTTGTCAATTGAAAAAAAAAACATTTGTATATATGTTACGGTCAAAAGCCGAAATCGGGCAAATCTCAGAAGTGCCTCGGCAAAATGTGAAATGTCTGCTATACTTAGGAAAAACTTCATAATTTGGTTTTTTTCGGACTTATTCTATAGTAGTAACTATATTCATTTGGGAAAAACTGTAATGTCCATAAATTTCAATTTTTTACATTAGGGAGGTATATCATATTTTTTAAATATTACATATAAATAATGATAAAATAAAAATTATTGTTCCAACATTTCAATTCATTTTTGTTCTTGTTTATTATTGTTTGAGATCGACTACCGTAAATATTTATTTTTTTTATCAATATTAAACTTTTATGAAAACACGATAATTTTGCTCGTTTCCGTCTTTCAAACGTACGTCATTTGCGTATAGCGAGAAGATTTTACGCTGTTGGTTTTAATATTATACAGCGAATTGACAAAAATCACCTGCAAAATTGAATGTGTGAATATAATCCGTGTGTTCATACATCGATATTTTAATTTGTTAAGCGACATATTGCGAAGAGCAATACTATGAAATATCATAATTTAAAAGTGCATAGGTACCCATAATACGCTAAAAATATTAAAATATCGCGAAAAAAAATCAATATATACAAAAACAGAATCTGAAAAATATGTTCTTACCTTTTTATAACTTTGATTTCAATAATTACCATTTATATTGAGATAATATTTAATAAGAACGATTATTTTACATATTGTTGTATCAAAAAAATACTGAACTATATTGAAAAATAATCGACTAAAACAAAATAACAATTTTAAAGGTATAAGCCATAGAACACAATGCATAAATATAAACTCTGTTTATAGAGTACTGCCAACTTAACACTTCCACTTAAACTAGAGTTTCTTTTTTAATATTTTAACATTATAAAAATACAAAAATTAAAAATCTGTCAATTTTCATTCCAAGAAATTTTCCAGTATTTTCTTTTTGCATTTTGAATTATTCATGTAATGTTTTAACTACAGATAACACTATATTCTTTTCTCCTGCTAATAAAATGTCATCAACATCGAGTAATAAATATGTACAAGAACATTTATCACTTCGTATGTACAAGCAGTTATCTGATTTACTACGTATACAACCCTGATTGGTAATGAAAGTGTCACATCTTCTATTTCAGTATTTTGGAGCTTGTTTGGGTCCGAAATGGCTTTATGTAATTTGTAAACTAAAAATGAGTTTTCAACAAAGCCTCGAGGCTGTTTCATTATCCAATTGTCCACTGATAAAAGCTGATTTACATCAAACTGACACATATACATATTTTGTTGATTTATGATACACGATAATGTTCTTATTGTGAGTATGTTTGCTACAGGGGCATAAGTTTCCTTATAATCAAAGCCTGGTAGTTGTAGGTAACCTTTTGCCACCAACCTTACTTTGTATCGTTTTTCGTTACCTTTAGTTTTTAACCTATAGACCCGTCTAGCTTTGACCACTTTCTTTCTTTTAGGTAGATTAACCGGAGTACAAGTATTATTTTCTTGATGTGATGCCATTTCGTTGACATTATAATCATATTTATGCCACAATAGTATTATCTTTAATCGTGAAGCCATGGTAAAAATTAGCAAATTTACATAAATACAGTTTTTGTAAAATGGTAATATTATGCTTAATTAATTAAATTTTTGTTATTTCTATAGATTTTTCGTTTAGGACTTATTCCACATCGTTAATCAAATAATAATGCCTATATAATTATATCTGCGAATTATTTCCCTCCACGAATTCATTTGTTATTATTATTAAAATTATTCAGCTAGTATTGAAATACTAATTTTGGGTAACTGGCTAATTAATTTAATGGTAGGTGTAAAAAGTCTTATATAAATGGTTTGTTTAGTGTTGATTTGTTTGATTAATCGTATTTATTAGCAACAATGTATTATAATTAGATACATATATCCGTTCGCATCTGTAAATTTAAAATTTTTTATTGTATAACGTTTATTTTTTGATCACTTTAATTTTTTCGATTTCTGATGTTTTTGATTTAAATCACTCGAGAAGGAATTTATACCTTCATATATTATTGATTATAAATTATAAATAGGTAAATTATATACATATCTAACATATAAATAATACATTTTTTTTTTTAGATTTTGAGTTTTGCTCCTTATAATTATTATTAATATTGATTCATAATGACGCCAAACAATGTAATGAGAAATAGTGTCAACGAAATTAAAACAGATTTGTTGAATGAAGCTGAAGAGTTCTCTAATTAAAAAATAAAAACGTCATTAACTGCGATATTAAAATAATATCTTAGGGAAATGCGTTCAACCTGTGCATATTGCCACAATGTGACGTTTAATACTACAATAAATAATTAGTAAATAATGAGCATTACACATACTTGAAAATTAAAAGATTTTCGCACAAACAATAATGTTCTAAAAATATTGTTATCAAATGATACAAAAACAAAAATCTGCAAAATCACGAAAAGGGAAATCAATATTAAAGAAAATCAAACATATTCTGATAAAGTATAACTCGAATGACATGTAATTTTGACTGTATAAAAATTAACAATTATTAAAGTAGGTAAGTGTACATTTAGTAGTTAAATTGGCAATCGCGCGTTTTAGTTTCAGTTTTTTTTCTTACCGAAACGTTTGGTAACTCTGGTTCATCAATACTGCCATCACTGGCACCTTCTCTCAGTTGATTTTATAGACTGCTGTAAAGTATGATTTGATGATACAATATTTTTAGAACATTGTTTTTTGTGCGAAATACTTTTCTTTTTCGTTTTTGTTTGAAGATATTGGCCAACTTCATTCTGCATTTGTTTTTCGTCCTAGATAATTTTTCTCTTTTATGTTGGTTTTTGGTCTGCTAAGGTAAAATTTAATGATACAATGTTCTTTGAACATTCTTGTTTGCTTAAGTTCTAAATGTACATTTACCTTCTTAATTGTTTGTTAAAAATAAAAAATGTCCATTAATATTGTTTGGCTTATTTCCATAAAGAGATTGTGATAAACAAAGTTATAAAAAAAGAAATGCTTCACAATATGCATATTAACATATAATATCAATTGAAATTTAATGTTTTCAATTGTAAACTCCGCCAGAATACCGGTTACATAAAAAGGTAATTTAATTGATGATTTTTAACGTGCTGCATCGTTAAATATCGTATGACCATCGAATATGAGTCACTCTGTATCAATTAATAAAATCAATCGAAATGTGTTCCCGAAATAATTCATGTGTATTGAATATAACTTCAAGACAACTTACAGATAAGTTAGTACGGCCCATACACTTATGAATGTGGTTTAAATGAATTACTTATTAGTTGATACAGAGCGACCCATATTCGATGTTCGTACGATTTTCAAAGTGTGACACGCTAAAGATTATCGATTTCCCTGATATATTGGCGGAAATTTAGAAAACTAAGAAAAAATGAATAAATATCAGTAAAAAAGTGATATGAAGTGCCTTATATAAATAAAATTCAAAATGAATGAAAAAATGCATATATTTTAAATGGAAAACTTCATCTCATTATATGACAAATTAAGAACTGTCCTAGGAAGCCTAAATAGGGTTCAATATTTATTTTTATTATTTGAAAATAAAATTTGTGGTTGTCAAAAAAAAAAAAAAAATCGTCATCACTCAAATAAGAACCACCCTAGAGTATATACCATATATATTAGCTATAGGTTATATTAAAGAGCTATACTAATTTCTACATGTTCTATAGGCCGAAATCAATGAAATAAGTAGTTCTGTAAAAACTATACATGCCATAATTTTTGTCAAAATTTAATATTAAAACGTTAATGAAAAATAAAACTGATGTGTTAAACTAAAATTTATTTTTTAGACCACCAAGTACAACTTACAATGTAGCTTGTGTTAAATTTTAAAGAATTCCTCTTAAGTCATATAATTGTAATAACAGATTCCTTTATCAAATAAAAATACATATAAAAACACGAAAATATCAAATACCTATAAGTAGCTTAAACATAGTTAGAATGTTTTGAACATTTTACCGCGTCTACCAAAGGCCTATAAATAACTCATAAAATACAAGTATTTCATGAAAATTACATTAGGTCTTTACAATAGATTTTAACCAAATAACAACAAAGGTCGTACAGTGCCGTATTTCTTACGTTTTATCCCGGTTTTTCGTAATTATTAGGAAAACCATATGAATATCCGAACAACGACTTTCTTACTCACGAACTAGACAACATTTTTTTTTTTTTTTTGGACGCAGATTTCCTGTAGAAAAATAAAATCTTGACATTTATTTCGAATAATAAAATCGTCGCGCCGCGATTTGAAAAATTAACATACGAGTATTTACACATTGAGGTTCGACCATCATTAAATAATAAGACATACTCGAATGGGACTTTTCGGAATAAAACACGAGTATAAAAGTGCACACTCAAAATGTAGAAATGCGTAACAATTTCATAGTTACTTCGCGCCGCGTTCGTACGTACGTTATTATCCGTTCGGATCTAAATCGTACTCGATAAGGATTTCGATCAGACAGCGGCGTGGGCGTCACGCAATAACCGCGCGCGTACGGTACAAAATATCGCAACCGCTCGCCGCAACGCTCCGGATCCCGAAGCGACGCGTCGGGTAAGCGCTCGGACGGACGACGCCCGTTCGCGTCCGTACGGGTCCTCGATAAAAAGAAACCCCGCCCCGTACAAGTACACCGGATACCCGTAACAAGACAGATGCATTTGTCCGCGTAAAGTACGCCCGCGGCGTATACCTACACACACACACACACACACACACACACACACACCCACCCACCGGTATTCACGAAACTCGCGAACGTGCCGCGTGCGTTTGCCGTCGCCGATCGCGTTAGTGCCCCGTAGCCACGGTCGTCGGCGGCGGCGGCGGCTTATTCGTGCGGTGTATTATTTCGCGCATTGTGCCGCGGTAACAATTCCCGCGCGTATAATATACTTTACGGGGCCGATAGCAGCGCAACATCATATAACGCGCGGGCATTGTGCATCATATTGTGTGTTTACGATTCACCGCGCGTATAATAATTGTTATTGTACAGGCGGACACGACCGGCCGTGGACGGTGCAGCGGGCGGCTCCGCCGGCGAGATCATTTGTCGCGCGAGCTCTAATTGTCCGGTCGTTTTTTTTTTTTTTTTTTCCCGGCCCTCGTCCCCGACACCCGCCGCCGCACAAGCACACGCACACGCACACGCACACGCGCGAGCGCGCGCCCCCCCCCGCGTCACGTTATTACGGCGCGGTAACTATAACGCGCGTTTTTATAGTGGACAAAATTCTGTACGAACCCATAATGTCACGACGGCACTTTCGCAGGTACCCGCACTGCAGTAATACGCGCCGTCCCGTTCGTGTATAATATGACGTGCCTCGGCCGTCGCCAGAAGTGGACGGGCGGTACGTTGTCGCGTACAGACATAATACTGTCACGTAAACGACGTAACGTGAGTACCCGTCTACAGGTGAGTAATCGCGCGACGCACGGGTGCTTGCGCGTCTATACGGGACGAAAATAACCGACGGGCGAAAAAATTCCGCGGAGCGAAACAATCCGATTATGATATTCGTCAAAATTCATCTACACTGGTCAAATGAACATAACATATACCAATTTATTATGGAATTGAAACACTTAAGTAATCAAAATAAATAAGCGTTTTTAGCTATTCGGGCGCGACTTTAAGCGCCAAGATTGACTGAACAAAGAAGAAAAAATAAAGCCCGAAAGGCGTCTAACAGATTAATGCGATTCTCGGGGTACAAAATATTATCTAGACAAACGATAATAAAACCGCATACGGAGATATTATAAGACAAACTTTTATGAACGGCTGTCACTTGCGAGGCTTAAAGTTTAGATTCGCTAATTATTTATATCTATCGTCGATGAAACTGGCGAAGGAGATATAATAGAGAGCTGTGTGATATGATGGAAATTTGTACTACCGCTGAGCTATCGGACAAAAGGATTCAATGGGTTAGAACACACAACGAAGAGAAGAGAAGAGGTGAAGTCCATACGGTTATAGAATAATTTATTATGGAGCGTACATCTCAAGGAAGAAGACCTATAGGGAGACCTCGGAAAAGATGGATTGACTTTGGAAACTTAAGAGAGGCTGTTGAATACAAAGTCACAGGTGGCGAAGTGTATTAACAGCTGTAAAAACGGCTTAGACAGTAATATGCCGTTAAAAGAAAAACAACACGATATTTATTGTAGTTTTAGACATTTTATAATATTATTATTGTACCTATATAGTTGATACGAACATATAAAAGAATGTTTGATAAAACGGTTTTGATGTAATATTTGAAAAATGTTTCGTCTCGTTATGAAATGATAGTCTTACAAAATCTATAGAGGTAGTCTAAAGCAGTGGTTCCCAACCGGTGATCTGTAGCCCCCAGTTCTAACGATTTTTTCGACTTTATTAAAAAAAAGAAATCCGGTGTAAAGCCATAATGAACACTCACTAAGCAATATCACATATTATATCACTCCGGGGAATTGCTTTACT